TATTATCTCGTCACGCTGATTTTATCTATTAACTATGTGATTTCCTTTGTATTGAATGAATTCATGATGCTTATTTGGAATTTAATCTGATCATGGTAATGAAATCATCGATGTAAAACAAATTAAATCGTTTGGCTTTCTTTATATGATGTTCTTCGAAATCAAATGTTTAATCAATCGATGATAAAGTCCGATAGTTTATAACATTTGACTTGATTGATCGTATTGATCATCTTATTGATATTGAAAGATGTACATAATTCTAATTTTTGAACACAAAACGGAACCAGAATTGATTAAAGAATTATCGTAATTGTTGAATTAATCTGATGAAAGTATTTTGTGTGTTTGAATTTATTTACTATATTCAAAATTGAACAATAGAATTAATCAATCTGGATTTTGTGTAAAAAGAAAAATTTCATCTAAATTTTTTTCTGTATTTATAATCGATGAATTCAATTTTGAAGAATATTTTTCATAAAACTTGCATGATTTCTATTGAAGCTGTATTGATTATTTCTCTTCGTTGAAAAAACAATTTATTGATGATTTTTCAAAGAGCATCCAAAATGACTGAAACAATTCTTTATCTCGATTCGAATCTAATCTATGTCACTACGATACCAAAAGTAATTTTATTGATCAGAATGAGATTGACAGTAGAGTTTCATCATGATATTGAAATTTGTAAAAGTATGAAGATCATTCTGAATAGAATATAGTTTTTAGTCTAATTTTCAACTTTGAGAATTCTTTCGATTTATTATGAACGAAAATCATCACCGTATAAAGTCAAAATGAAACTTGTCTTTGATACTCGAAGATATTTTTATTTTGTTCATAAGATGATGAGCATTGTTATTCTCTGAAAATCAGATGATTTTTTTTTATCCTCGTCTGATGGTTATATGATAATAGTGATGAAATAAATACACTTGATTTTCTCATTCATCATGTTCTTTTCTCTTGATGAAATTCATCACTTACGAATCTCTTATCTGTTAATGGATCTGAAAAACTCAATTCATTTATTTATCATTGATCGTTTCTACTTCTATAGATATTTTCCGTATTTTATCCAATAAAAGAGATTTCCTAGAAAATCATATGGATAACATCACATTATTTATTCTTTTTTTTTCTAGTTGATATTAGAAGAAGTTCACATAGTAGAAAAACCGTTTTGATGAAAGAAAATTTCTTGAAAAATATTTTATCATCAAATACAAAAGAGCATCTATAAAGAAAAAATGGTGGTTTTCTTTGTCATGTTGCGATAATTTTTCTGTTGATTTGTTTCATTCGATTTATTGTTCAAGAATATCCTTCAAATTGATAAATCAAAATTTGATTTATTTGAAATTCTTCGAGAAAATATGTTCGATAAATAATGTTTATCATCATTTGTAAGGAAGATTTGAGAAAATATCAATAATCCAAAATTCTACTTGAACAATTAAGAATAGATTAATCGTCAGTTTACGATCAATAAATAACCACGAAAACAAGTTCAATTGAATTCGAATTGATATTGTTTTTATTCGTGGTTATTTTAGGCAAATCTATATTTTTATTCTCCAGAATATTTCAATATGGCTTTCATTTGAGTTTTTTTATTTGAGATCGATTGATCGAAAAGATTTACCTAAAAGTTTCTGAAGAAGTTCTCATACCAAGTTTCTTCGAAGAGAAGATCTGTTCAAATTCTTCATTAATATAAAAATCTTCATGATTTAATTCAATCATTTCTCTTCATACACACAAACCGAACAAAATCTTACTTCATCAAAACTTGATGATTCAACTACTGCCTCAGATAAAACCAGAGAAGAACATTTAACATTACTGTTATTTGAACCGAATACGGTAGGCTCGAAGTTGAAGAGGACGTGAACTTTTTCTTTATGTTAATGTAGTCTACTTTGTACCCGAAGGCTTCGAATAATATGGCGGCGAAGCTAGAAGCAAACAACGTATGAAGTTCAAAGAGTATTTCATGAACAGAAAAACACCCGATCTATTCAATTACAACGACAATATTGAGTGAAACTTCATTTCCATTAACACCAGTAAGTCTATCTGCTCACCAACTGTCTAAGATTTTTTTGTTCGATCTAAATTGGAAACACAACTGATAGCGGCAAAAATGTCGTTAATTAGTTGCATACTACTTTAGCATATCCACCTAACTTGAAAAAATTTAATATTTTGTTACCTTCATTGTGCTTAAACAATACTCGTTTTAATAGGTGGTAGGAGAAAACTATTAAAAACAAAATAATCGGCCACCAAAAATATAATGCTTCTTTTTTTTTCAATTTTCCAAGAGAAATGAATGTGCAGCCGATCCTCAAGAAGATGATTTATCAATTGTAATGAGCACACCAAGAGTAATAATTATAATGAAGTTATAATCTAATGTGAAACTATGCCGAAAATCCGAAATCGGACGAAACAATTGCGATCACACGTATGCATAATTTATTTCTATGGTATTTTGTTTCCTCTGATTTCTTTTTAGAGTTCTACTCGTTTAATAAACAATGTTAGTCGATCAAGATGCAGAAGTAAAGTGGTTCCACCATATCTTGAAAAAGTTAAGTCAAATCGTTTATTTTCTAAAGGTTTTGAAGAACTATGCGCTTGATTACTTTCAATACTTCACACCAGATCATTGGTTTCTATGGTGGATATTGCCACAGAATATGAAATTATTCTCAATCGGCGTCACGAGAGAATCACGATGGACATGCTTCGAACGGTTTCAATTCGAAACCGTTTGAATAATAAACTTGATGGCGTCTTGCACTTCGAAAAAATTAGAAATAGGAAGTTAGTAAATGAAATACCATTTTTTTCAATATTTTAGATGGAGACATTGGTGAATTGCAACAAAATATTTGTATAAGATGTGCAAAAAATCTTCGTCTATGTTTTAGGGTGTGTTTGTTGCATTTGTCCGATATATCATTCTATGTTCGTTTTGCACTATCTGAACCTAATGTGTGACACCAGCCAGTTATACTAGAGAATCGTAATCAAAAAGAAGCTTGTGAAAAATTTCTAGACGTTATTGAACTACTTCGTTATTCACTAAAGAGTTGCACACATTTATTAAAAGCATTGACACGTGATATTTCCACATTAATTAATTTTGATACGAGTCTTTACTGGGACTGTGTTCTCCTTATACTAAAAAACTTTATTAGCGCATTAACTCCAAAGGATGATTCATTTGTCAATATGAAAAAAAGAATTTAATTTTTATGATCTTATGAATAAAAATATGTATATAAATTCATGAAAATGACTGAAGATTGCTTGGTGCTGCTATGATCTCATTCATGTAGAAAGCAAGAAAAATATTACATCGAAACACTGTAAGTTTTACTTGCATCAATTAAAAACACATGTACAACTGTTTTAGACCTTTTGTGAAATGATATCTTCAGACATGAAAGCTCGAAGCAATTATTAAGCGTTACAAATCGAATAGGACATACGTCTAGCTACAACACAATTGTTCATCTTGATCATAATGCGGCACATGCTGCTCGAGCAACAACTAATCCGTTTATAATTCTTCAACAAAACAAAAAATCAACAGTTTTCTCATAATTTTACAGTAAAAGTTGCCGATAATTTCGATATAAATCCAGATACATTATATGGTAACAAAAGTATTCATATTCTCAACCAAATAATTGTCTTAACACCGAATAATGACGAAATTCCAACTGTAGTAGCTCATGTTCTTGGTGATGCATTGAATGAAATAGTTAAATTAGATGCTTCTTTTGAATTAAGTGTTCGCCTTATTATATGACTATGAATATAGATAATATTCGTAGTCAAATAAGAAAAAGTAATCATATCAGTAATAAATTTTAAAAAAACTTTCTTTTTTCCTACTAGTTCTATGCTTCTCAACCTATTACAACAATATCAAGTGCAAACTTATTACCTTTTTCTTACAAAATGTTTATCGGCGATTCATTTTTTCTGCCTCTTTGGACCATGGATTATTAAAATATTCAAATCATAATACCTGTCTATCAAGTTATTTTATTACATCTCCTCTACCTGTCCGAATAGCGCTTATGTCCGGATTTTTCGCTACATATTTACGTTGTGAATCACGGTCACTTCATACAGTCTTCTTTCTCATGCCTATTAATGTGAGAAACCTAGCTCTGAGTCGACTGCTGAAAGTTCTTTCGAGAAAACCAAAAAGCTATTCGTCGACTCCAACTTTCAAAAGGAAGGAGTACTAGTAGTAGATGAAAAGATCTATCGTTCATGTTTAAGGATAAACATTAATTTATTGAGTTTTTTCTGTATCTACTTGATTTCTGCTCACAGGTAAAACGTCAAAAGCCCGATCTCTTTCGAAATGCTTTTGTCTATGTTGAAGATTTTCATTTAATGAAAAATATGATTATAGTGATATAGGATCTTCGCAAAGGATCTGGAATTGAAGATGTACTTGAATATTTGAATGAGTAGTCAAGTTTAAATGTGATGGATTTTGAATATTTTTTTTATGTAGCAGTGTTCATCATTTCAATGAAAGTTTCCTGCTGCAAATTGCTTAATACTGCTCTAAAGATACTCTGGCTGGAAGCATTTATTTCGAATACAAGCTCGAATTCATCAACAATTAATTGTCTAAAACAATTGAAAGAAAAGATAGAGCAAATACCATCTCAGTTCGTGAAAAAGAATATTTCACAGATCTTGTTTCAATGTTTTCTTGAGAAAATCCATCAGACTGATATTTCCACATCTTTTCAGAAATGGACAACTGAATTAGCAGCTAAAAATACTACATTTCGTCTTTGGAATTTCGTCTTACATCGTCTATTGGAGCCGTTCTCGAATTGTATGCATCTGTCCGAATTTGTAATTTTTCGCTGCGAAATACTGCTCCTCACCGATTTGCACCAATATTTTTTTCAATTAACCATCGTAACTACAGCCGATTATGTGCACAACACATGTTCGACTTACAGAATTGCTTTTCATATTTATTCGAACGTATATCACGTGCTTTTGCAGTTACTCCATCGCGACGAAGATTTTCCTGTAAGTTAAAATGTCTCTTCCATTCCTTTGTTAGCTGCTCTTTAGCTATTGCACTTGATCAAATTATTGAGTGTACCATAAACAAGTACGGAAATGGAAAGAGTGATAGCAATGGTAGATTAAATGAAGCAATGATAAATGACTGGACTGGTTCATTTGCTTTTCGTGCTCTGGCTGCATTGACTTTACATGAAATATGCAGTGTTAAAACTGGTGATAATTCTATTGATTCTCACGTAGAATGCTCGTTGAATCGACAAATTTTAGATGATGATGATTTATCAATGATAGTCAAAAAGCTCAGTCAAGAAAATCCTTTTAGTATGATTAATGTTGAATGTCGTAAAGTACAATCTGGTCTTATAATACATAATGGCGTTATTTCAAACATTACATCATTATTATGAATGTGGTGAAAAATCTTTAATTACATTCATCAATCAACGAATTATTACTAAAGTGGTACCTGTGGATTCTCTACTGAGGACAATGCCATTTTTAAGTAATTAGCTTTGAGAAAATGATACTACGCTGTTCCAATTATTTTCAAAAGAGGAAAAAAGTTTGACTAAGGAAGTATCCGTTATACGACGAGTAAAGTTGTTGTACATGTTGGACTTCTTCATATCATTTCGAATCTTTTGCCTTTCTGGAACTTTCACATGCCGATACGCATGCCTCTAATAGTTCACATAAAAAGAATAAAGGCTCATCAAATTCTGAAAATATTGAAGATTTTAACACTTTGGTTAAAAAAACTGATGACGAAATCCGTAAAACAATTATTATTGCTCAACAAAGAAATATTAAACAATTATCACAATTATTTCAACGTGAATTTTTACCAGTACTGTTTTCTCTCTGCAATAGTACCAGTATTAATTTATTAAATCAACAAACAAAAGTTAAAGTTGTCGATTTCTTAAACAAATTGGTTCCATCATCGTTCTACTCGTCATGTCCAACCTCAACAATTGAAAGTGCTGTCGTCATTGATGATACAAGTCTTTTAGAAACAAAACCTCAACCTGATGTACAAACTATACGACAGTATGCTAATCAGTTACTCGGAAATGATATTAAAAATCTATTTAAAACATATGTAAGTTACTTTCACTCCTTATATAAGATTTGAAACTTTTCGTTGTGTTTCAGAATCGTACTGATATAGTGTTTGCTTCTTTTGAAAGAAAAATAATTAACAAGTTTATCAAAAGATATGAAAATTAGGCAGAAAAATGTATTTATAATTTAAAAGCTGATGATAAATTAGAATCTCCATTTTCAAAGCTTGTTTGTTCACATGGTGCAGCCTTCACTACTTCTATTAAAGTATGTTGGATGGAACAGAAATTAATTGGACTATTACTTAAAGATCGGCCTCTGGTGGTTGGTGGACCTGATGAGATGGCAATAGAAATTACAAAATGAATGTGTACCGGTACTAGATTATATTCTTGATTCAACACAAGTAGAACCTAATACATGTCTAATGTTACACACTAATGCCATTAGTGTTGATGAACAACACAACACGATTAATTCAATCACCTGAGTTAGTTCACCGAAAGTTCTTCCTTTTGAGTAGAAACCATGTTCTTATTTTCTCGGTTTAAAAACATTATTTATACTCAATGTGGTCTGTGTTTTAGTACCGATATTGTATTATTAGCTATTGCATTTAGCTCATCAATTATTCTTGACTATCTCGTCATTAGATCGTTCAACACACATACAAAGAAAAGTATATAAATTGATGTCAAATCAATCTCAAATGATCTTCGTCGCTAGTCCACCGATCCAAATGTGTTACTTGTTTTGCATTGTCTTTCAGGATGCGACAGCACAGCATATATTCGGAATATTACCGAGGAAATTTTTTTTGAACATTATTTTAATAATCCACTTCGTTATGCATCACTTATCAAATTAACCTTCGTACCACCGCCTCAAAATTCAATCCATGCAGCTGAAGAACTTCTTATCAAATGTTACTCATTCCGTTGTACCGCCAAATCATTAGATGATCTTCGTGTGCAGAGTAAGTGTTGACAATATCTTAGTTAGCATTTCATTCTCAATTCTTGTTCCAAAAAACTTGTCTTATCTCTAAACTAAAATTACTCACTTCCTAGTAAACTTAAAATGGTTTTTGAACGTTTCAACACGCGATCGACTGCCGAAATCGTTTTTGGAATCGTTCAAACGCTTCTGAGAGTCGAAAATATATATTCGAAGTTCCAGTAATCCTTCAATGGACTCATATAGTAACAGTTTCTAAAGCCTTGAAAGGTTTTCGATATTGGAAAACGGATTGTTCTTTTTCTGAAACCCTTGAAGGTTTTCTACAATGTTATCATCTAAGACGCTTTTAGAGTTTCTAAAACTTAGAGTGCATATTATCGACGCGAAAAAAATTTTACAAGATTTCCGGAATGATCTTGGATATCCTTCTGACTTCAAACATTCAGAAACCGTTTTTTATGGTTTTTGTATTGAACGGATTCTTAAAAAGTATACGCCCTACATTTTTTAGTTCTTGATGTTCATTTAGTGGCCTCTGTGTAGGTCAAAGACAGATATCGAAAGAATATTGCCTCAAATCTGTCCCTCCCCCTCCACCATGGCTTTTCGTGAACATTGCTTAAGATGTTCTCGGCAATTGAAAATATGGCTCGACCCTCTTGAACCAAACATCATAGCTCCTCCAATGCTTCTTAGTGGTTATGAATATTCAGTGGATAATCATCGACTAAAAATTAAACGGTCTACAGTAAGTGATCAACCGAATGATTATCGACTTGAAATGTGCGGTGATTGCAGAGGAGGCTGAACTCGTTGCAAGTGCTATAAAATCAATTTATCACGCACATTTTTTTGCAGATGCAATCAAGATATTTGTTTTAATCGTGTATGTATTCAGTTTCTTAAACTCGCTACATGTTCAATATTTAAAAAAAAATTTCTTTATATAGAATATATATATTTTCATGTTTAATCAATTACAGAAAACTTAAATCAATTGGAATCAACAACAACATCTATACAAAATGATCGTGAATTTGATAGAATATTAATTGCATTGCAATCCAGCAGCATCAACAATACAATTAGCGATCGGTTTTCCTTTTTTTATGGTCGCAAGAAGATCTCTCTTTTTACATTAAATAGAGTATCTTCGAATCAATCTTATGCCGAATCTCAAATGAAATATTCAATTACCAATGCATGTAAGTCGATCAACCGTTTCCCATCAACCAGTATTACACGTGATCATACCTATTGCTTGAAAAATGATCTTAAAATTGTTACGCCTAAACGTCGAAGACTATCATCAGCATCTTCGGTATGAGTTGTCGCGGGTTAATTATCATTATTTCATTCATTTGTTGACAGAATTTTACTAATAGTCAATTCATCTTTCAATCACCATGTGCTCATTCTTCTCCAAAATCCGACAGGACAATAAATACTCTTACACCATTACGTTTTGTAAGTTTACCTTATATCTTTATATAGATTTGTAAGTCATTTTCTCTAGAAAACACCTTTACTACCACCAACATCAACGCTTCGTCGCAATGCTCGTTTTTCGAAAATGTTTTTGAAAAATAAAAGCTAGTAGTCAAACTAGCGAAATGTTAAATGTGTTGTTTTTTCTCTTGTCTATCTCTCTCTCTTTTGTTGCTTCACCTTAGTTTTTTATTGTTTGGCACTTTTTGGGATCAATGGTACCATGTACTTATTTTTTTCTTGTCAATTATATCATACAATTAACTTTTTTTGTTAATGACACTCTGTACTTAAGTTTTTTTCTCCATGGTGTCATACATTTAATTTTTGCTGCTATTTATTATATTGTTCAACATTTACGATATACTTTCGTGTCAAATATAATTTCTGTCTTGTGAATAAATATTGATTTTTCAATTGAAACAAATTGTTTTTTGTCTTTTGAAGATATTTACACATCATCAATTAGCTTGCTGAACAAGATACAATTATGTTTAGCTAGGTTCATATTTAACAAAAATAACCAAAACAGAAATATGAGAGAAGATCGAAATCTAGCGCTATGTGACGTTTGATTCGATTCTCTTGAAGCAACTATTTTGACACTGTATGATAGCGTCCTCTATTTTTTTTTCCTAGTTTTACAGGCCACTTTTAAAAGAAACCTAAAAACACAGCTAGATAAAGAATAATTTGCTCTATCTATTCATATTAGAGCTATATATAGCTCCATCCAAAAACCAGAAGACCAATCATTGAGCATTTGCTATTGTTTCACTTCACTTATTTCATGTTCACTGTAGTTTGTCAGATAAGAGTCCGCACCATTGACTGGTTTAACTCCGAAAAAAATTCTTCACGACCATTCGAATGCTTCGAAGTTCAATGCAGAGCTCTTAAGAGAGATTCTTTCATCGTCTGCAAGACAGATAATGCTATCAATTGGACGGAATTGATGAGGCACTAAGAGGTGATCTTGTATGTTTTTCGCTCGATTTTTCGATATTTGTTTGTACATATTTAAAAAATTTGTTAATAATGATAATTTTTATTTTTTAGATGGATGCTAGTCGTAAAGCATTATTTCAATCTCCACATGTTCCGACTGTTGAACCAACAATGGCAACAACAACAACAAATAATAATGCAATGATATTAAATACAATTGAATTAGAAAATGCAACACAATTTTATCGTTCAGAAACCGAAAAAGAACTACATTCTCAACATTTACAAAAAATACGAGAAAATATTCAATCATTAACAGCTGATGCATGGCTTTATCAAGATCCAGATAAATTAATTGGTTTTCAACGTGTAACAACTCATTAAAAATAAAAATAAAATTCCTTGTCTTTTTTCTCTTTTCTTCAATGTTTATTATAAATAAAAAAAAATATTCGATTACATTTTCTTTGATAGATAGAAGAAGAAGAAAAAAATGAATTTATATAAATTAAATGAAGTTCTTCCACTTATTAATGATAAACATTCATGTTTGGAATATAAATGTCAAAAACTACTTGTACCATTACCACCAAATCAAATAGGAAAAACTAAAACAAATATTAAACGAATACTTGAAGAAAGTTCAAATGAAATAACAAAAAAGTATATAGATGAAAACTATTTATGAAATTTTAAATTATTTACTTTTTCTAATATTTAAGATTAAATGGATTTTTACTTGCTATTGGTAAAGTTCATTTATTATCTGATGTTGGTCAAACATTTCAAGATGAACCAACATTATGGGTGCCTGTGAGACTTAATTTTGTTTTATTTGTACCTGAACGAGGTCGACGTGTTCATGCTATTGTATCAAAACTTGGAAAAAAACACATTGGTAAAAAATTTGCTTTGAAAAGAAAAATATTTTATTGTTGAATATTTTAGCTTGTTTGATACATAGACGTTTTAATGCATCATTTCATCGTGATACAATACCACCTGTTTATCATAATTTTATATTTAAATTAGGACAACCTGTTCTACTTGAAATAATTGAATGTGATGTTGTAGACAAAATTCTTGACATTAAAACAACACTTGTGGAAGTAAAAAAAGAAATAAAAAAAGAATAATGTTCATGATTTTGTTTGTTTTTTTTATTTGTATGAATTTTACAGTTTCATGTATGATTTCGAAAGATATATGACGTTATTCATTTTGCAAATGACTGTATAATGTGAATGAATAAATGCACGAGTCCTATCTATTACAAATTGTTAGGTTTCTTTTACAGATACCCTACTTCACTTTCACAAAATGAATCCCCAAGAAAGTTCCACAAAATGTAAATTCTTCGAGATTTTTTTTTAAGAAAAGTGAACCAAGATAATGATCAATAATCAAGGCAGAAAAATTCTTATTTTACTAGAACAATCGATACACTGAATGACTTTCTCGGATCAATAAACAAAATTTTTCACATCAATGAGGCTCATATAAAGGTAAATAAGTTTTTAAAGAGAAGACATACGCAATAGAAATAAATATAGATAGCTATCGAGCAGTAGAACAGCAAATAAAATTTATTTCTATGTTTATTCATATAAAAGACATTTATCAGGTATTACTATTCAAATTATGAATTGTAAAATCCAAGGTCACTGTATATACTTCCATAACAATCTTTCTTTATCCTACCGGTTAACCCTATCCTTTCCGTTATTGTTATACAATAAGGAGGTATGTGGTGACATCACATTTGTTTTTTTTTGTCTTAAGCAGTCTCATCGATGTAACTGTATACATCATAAAGCAAACATGAGAATAGTCGTTACAATATGTTGTATTTGATCAAAAGAGGTAATGAGACATTGAACATAGCCATTGCTTTGTTTTAGAAACCATATCCAAGAAAATTTTTATTTACATATACAAAATGGAGATCTTGAAAAAATAACTGATACAATCCAATCATTTACATAACGAATCACATTAATGGATCTGGCAAAATGCAAATAGTATGTTTCGATTGAAAAATTTTATCACGACTATTAAAAATATGAAATAACAAGCATGTTAGCTGTTTTTAGAATATAAGAAATGTGTGATAATCGAGGGAAGAACAAATGAAAATATTCAATGGCATTTTCAACAACAATATTAAAAAAAATGATCATGAAATCAACTGTTTCTCTAATTCTAATACATTTGCTGATTATAAAAAGTAAATAAAATTATTTTAGTTTTACAATGTTTATTTTTCTTTTGGTTTGTTTCTTTAGTTACACATGGATACTTAGGATGTACTGATAATTTAGTACCTTGTTTGAATAAAACACATTGTATAAATATTGAGGACGTTTGTGTTGGTTATAATAAATGTGTCGACGAGCAAGGGAACAGTATTTGTTAGTATCCTTTTTTATGTACGCCTTTTTTTTATTGCTCAAGTATTTTTCTGCAGGTCATCATTGTCCAATAAGTGAAACTGACTCAATAGCCTGTGTAACTCATATCGAATCTGTGCTTGCATTTGAATGTTTATCACCTCATCAAATATGTGATACTAGAAAAGATTGTCATAATAATGAAGATGAACATTTATGTGGTTAGTTGAATTTGTTAATTTAAAAATGAAAATGATAGTAGTGTTTTTCGTATCAGATATTCAAAAATGCCAATTTGGTTTTTCATTATGTACAAATGGTACATGTATTGAAAACAGTCATTGGTGTGATCGAAAAATAGATTGTGCAGATGGAATTGATGAACGAAATTGTCCACATTTAACAACAAAAAGTAAGGAGAGTTCTGTTTTCTTTCCAGAGTTTCATAGAGAATGGACCTCTTAGTATTTCATTAGTCTTTCTTTTAATATTTATTTGTTCAAACTTTTTGAATTAAATTTGTCATTCAGTTCTCTACAGTTTTGTTAATATAAATAATATTCATTATTTTCAAAAATAAACTTCGAACTAAGCATTTTAGAAAAACCATTTTCTTGTAAATCAACCTCGAAGTTTTTGATTAAACTCTTCAGTTCTTCAAACTTTCGATTATTCGATGATCAATGTTTCTAGTTGATGAATATAGAGAAAATTGTCCTGGTATTATCGTTATGTCGAGTGAATGATATGATGCTTCACAACGTTCTGATGAATTATCCGAGCTAACACCGATAGTCATTTTCGTCTATGAGAGATTAGATCATGCTTACTAGGTCGACTTTCAGAAGCGCTGAAATATCGAAATGAAACCTTCGGAATACAATTGAAATATCATCAACACCATGTGAAGTCTAATTGGACAGTTTTTTCTCTTTTCATCAACAAGAAATATTTGGCCATTGAATAATCCACATTTATTTAATATTGAAATCTGTAATAAAAAAACTCCAAGATTGATTTACAGAAAAATGTTTATCTTGAGTTATTAGTTTGATGCGTATTTTCGAAAATTACGAACACTATTTACTTTAACATAATTATAGAGCACTGAATTGCGAATTTTATTGAAAAAGTTTGAACAAATGAGTATCAAAATAAATACCATTGAAATATTAAAATCTTCATTCTTTATGTATTCAATATTTTATCTTCATCTACATTTTCAGTACGAAATTCTGATTCCATACTATCAAATCTATTTACTTGTCCATCATCAGCACTTATAAATTTCATAAACATATCAAATAATCATTTTTGTGATGGATAGTAAGTAAATAGGGGTCAAGATTTGTTATATGCAAAAATTTATCAATAATTAAATTTTATAGTAAAGATTGTCCTATGGGTAATGATGAAAAAGAGTGTACTGATGGATGTTCTTCAAAATCCATATGTATTACAAATTCTAATTTGACTTGTATTCAACATCCAGCAGTTGGTGAACTTTGCCGATGTAAGAAACAAGGTTATCGATTGACAACGAATTCATTACAAAATAATACGCAGATATGTCAAGGTTAGTTTTCAAATATCTTGTTTTTTTTTTTAATTTAATAAATAATTGTTTGTTAAATTAGATTTTGATGAATGTAATGATTCTCTTCGAACATATTGTTCGTTTAATTGTTTAAATACAGATGGTAGTTTTAATTGTACATGTCCGTTAAATTTTACTCTTAATACAACGACAAAAACATGTCAAAAAATAAATGGTTTGATTATTTTCACTTGTTTTCGAAAATTACTTTTTTTCATTGTAAATCTTTCAATAGATCAATCAAAATCTAATTTATTAATTTTATTTAATAGTAGTATTATTCTCTATAATATTTGGAATGCTAATGATCGTTATTCATCAAAATTATTACATACAATTAATATTGAAAAAAATCATTATTTTGATCGTATACAATATGATTCAAATAAAAAATTTGTCATCTATTATGATGAAAAACAAAATGCTATTTTATGGTTCATTTCGTTCATTTTTTTTCCTTTAATTAAATGTGAATAATCTTTTTTTTTTAGTTTCAGTACGTCAAATACAATTTTAAAACCTATAATCCTCATTTCTAATGTCACTGTTCATGGTTTGGCATACAACGAAAATGAAAAAACTTTATTTATCATCGAAAATCAATCACGAACATTACGTATGTATACACCGATTACTTGTGATATTTCAGTTAGTATCAAAATGCATTCTTGGCAATTAAATAACATTTCGAATACAATACAATCAATTGAAATTGATGCTTTTAATAGAAGAATTATTTTTGCTTCTAATTACCAAATTATGTTATCAAATATGTCCGAACCGAATTCAACGAAAGTTTTATATACAACTGACCGTGAAATAAAAAGACTTATTTATGGTATGAAAATATTCGTTAAGACAAATGAAACCAACGAAGGATAGATAGTTCTCTGTTACTTTGAACAGTTAATTTAAATTTTTCAAAGTCATCTATTTCGATCATTAAGCGTCTTAGTCTTTAATCCAGGAATGTGCAGCGCCAAGTAGGGGTTAGAAAATTTCTCTCAGTCAGGGTACAGAGTACGCAGTCAGCGTACCATGCATATTTCGAACGTGATATTATTTTGATATTTATCATTTTGAGTCTTTTGATCAGAGTAGGATTATAGGAGGATGAGATACAAACTCCTTGAAGTACGGGAAGGATTAAACAATTTCTTTAACGAGAGAATTCATCCGATTGATAGTCTCTGTTTGAGCTCAGACGTAGAACTCATACTTTAGATAAAAATTCTGAAAGGATTCATGCCATGGAGTCTTTCTTCTTGAGTTATAGTCATTTTACTGAACTTTCATTCTATTGCAGAATATCATGAGCAAAATCGTAAAGTAGACTTTCGCTCTGAAATTCTTCGGAACAAAGACTCTCATCATATCTTAAAAGTACCAGCTTAAACGAATTTTTTCTTCTTAAGATATGGTATGCCCCAAAATTTTGAACTCCTATTGAAATTCTTCTGTGAGAGTAACGTGTTTTTGAAAACGTATTATCTCAAAAGGGAAGCATTAGTTTAAGCTGAAACCTTCAGTATATTATACGGATTATGAGAGCTATTGTTTCCTGCAGATCTCTACTTTAACCTTAGTACTGATATTAAAGAAATTTATAATATTGTCTTTTTTGTATTAGATACTTCATTCAAACGCATATTCTGGACAATAGCTGATGCCAACAATAATAAAAAATTTCCTGTTTATACCTGCGATAGTGAATTTAAACAATGTTATGACACATACCTACGTTTACCATACGCATGGCCATTTACATTTTTTAATGTATGCATTTTTTTATTATTATTTATTTCGAAAAAATTATTTTCTCTTAATTGATAATTTAGGATGGCATACTCTATTTATCCTTATCATTAAAATCTTTAGATATGATTCAAATCTATGGAAACAATCGTTTTTCTAACAATTCTATAACATCAACACAAGAAGATATTCGTTCATTTTTACTTATTGATCAACAACCAATTGCATCAGTAAATCTCTGTATGAATTATTCAAAAAAACGTTGTGAAAATAAACTTTGTTTACAAATTAATTCAATCGAAATAAATTGCTTATCAATTGATGAAAATATTATAACAAAAGAATTAATAACATCAACAACAAATACCACGAATTCGACTCTACAAAATGAAACACAATCGTTCATATATGATGATCATATTTCTGAAACAGAAAATCGACGAAAACATTATCGCTATAGACCATCGAATACTATGCTTATTATTATTATTATGGTCGGTGCTTTAGCAGGCGTAAGTCAAATTTTTTGATAAAAAACTTTATTCACTTTTTTTCAATTTTTTTCAATAAGATATTGGCACTTTTTGTTAAACATTGTCAAGCCTATCTTAATAAAAAAGCATTATTGAATCATCAACATAGTAATGAACAATATTTATCAACAGGGGAGCCAAATTTAGATGAATTTACTGTAACATTTAATGATCAAATGAGTGAACAATCTGCTGCTGATAATGTACGTAATATTCTTATTGATAACGACACTGTTCGTTTTGTTCAACGTCGAAAAGATTCTGTTTGATATTAATTTTTTTCTTTGATTTTGTTTTTATAGACCTGTGACCGATTGCCACTAACTGATTACTTACATTATTAATTCAATAAGAAAAAGTCCTATTTTACTAACAAAACGTACCAAATGTAGTTTGTAGAATTTTTAACGTTAGGTATATTTCTTTGCTTTACTCTTTTTAGTTGGGCATTCCATAGGTGATTGTTTTTGTTTTTAAATCCTTCTTTTTTCATAATGCTTTCAATATGCAAGAGCATGTCTTCCCTATTGTGTCTCATTTTCTAGTTCTGCTTTTATTGTAGCTCAAGAACCTTGCTCATGTTTACCATGACAGTGATTTATACTTTCGTTTTGTTTTTTATGGGTTTCTTTTTTTAAGTTTTCAAATAAAGATTTTCGTTATCATGGTATGATTTTAGCTTAATACATAGAAACAATCATTTTGTATTTAAGAAAAGGAACTATGAATCTTAATCATTCTTTATATTGTTAAAAATCATTTTTTTCCGAAGTTCTCCATTGAACGAAGAGAATTCATAATATATAGATGAAGCTTTCACATCGAATTGCAAGATCAATTTTTGATAGTAAAATAATTACTATGAACAATACTTTTCACAAAAATCGGTAACGATAGAAATCAATAGACAAATCAATCTTATGATCTGTCTGACTAATCTTTCCAGACATGATTGCTTTAGATGCTTTATAGAATATAGTATCACGTTTTTTCTTCCTTTACTGACGATTATAAATTATGTCATATATTGACAGTATAAGATATCAATAGAGTTTGTCGAGTTGGTCGCGAACTTCGATCCGGTCAGATGCGAGTTTGCAAATTTTGGACCCAATGGACTCAAGTAATCTGAGAAATCTGTAATGTGCGCTAGTTACCGAATACAAAAGAACCGACAAAAAAGTATCTTGTTTGTTTGAAGCGACTATTCAATATCAATTAGAAAATTTTATTAAGAATTTCAAGGCACGGCTCGATTGGTTGCAAGTCAGAAAATTTTTGATTCGACGGACTTTAGGCACTACTAAAAAATTAATGGTTTTTATTTAAAGAAAACTTCAATTATCAAGAATTTTGTTAGTATTCGTTTTTTTCTGTCTTGTTCATACGACAATGTTCAGAGCTGAATTTTTTTGTGAAATTTCCATGATGTATCGCTTTCCTTCAATACCGATTTGATTGCCTTTGAGATTTAGCATAGTGAGCGTCTAAAATAACCAGTAAATAATGCAGAGAAACAAATTAAATAAAAACTTAGATTACATTGTGTCGATGTAGGGCACTAACAAGATGTTGTACTCCTTGTGATCCGACCTCATTGTCTTCGAGGTCAAGTGTGGTGAGAGTCTAATATAATCAACAAATTGGAAATGTAAGCGAAAGAAGAATTGTTACTTTATTTTGCTGTAAAACATTGGCAAGAGCTTGAGCTCCTTTTGTTGTGATTCGATTATGCGCAAGGTTAAGTGTAGTAAGAGTCTAGAATAATGAGTAAACTTGAACGATAGACTAGGAAAAATAAAAGAAATTCAATTACTCGATTTTGCTGTAGAGCATTAGCTAGATAACTTGTTCCTATATTACTGATCATATTCGATCGAAGATTTAATGTAGTGAGTTTCTGAATTATTTGATTAATCAATGAAATAATAGAATTCAAAGAAGCACAATTACTTGATTTTGTTGTAATGCACTAGCAAGATATTGTATTCCTTGTGGTCTAATTTGATTCGAACGAAGATTAAGTGTGGTTAATGTCTAATATAATGAATGAAATAGTGAGATAATATAAAAAAAAGAAGAAATAAGAGTCGAATTACTTTATTTTGTAGCAAAGCATTAGCAAAATATTGTGCTCCTTGATCACTAATTTGATTATTTTCGAGACTTATTGTCGTCAGTGTCTAAAGTAATAAGTAAATGGTGAAGTAAAATGAAACAATAGTAGAATTACTGTGTTTTCTTTTAAAGCGTTGGCAAGACTTTGTGCTCCTTGAGGTCCAATAAGATTGTGTTGTAGGTCTAATGTAATTAACGTCTAAAAATATATGTGAACATGCAAGGTGAAGAAGATAATAGATAGTCAATATTACTTTGTTTTGTTGAAGTGCATAGGCAAGAGCTTTTGCTTCTTGATCACCGATTTGAATTCGTGAAAGATCTAGAGTGATCAATTTCTGTATAAAATAAAATAAAAAATGAATGATACTCTTCATTGAGTATAAAGTAGCATGATAGAAGAAAAAGAAGGAAAATCATAATATATATGAATAAATTAATAGATGAAACGAATAGATTTAGTTCAAAAACTTACTATTATAACTCATTATTTCTACCGAGTCGAACTGACAAAACAAAAAGTATTCAAGTTGTTTTCAGTCTGCACTCTTCTCTCGATCGATGACATGAATCTCTTAGGGTTCATATTTACTATCTTGTTAATTATATTTGTATGAATATACTAAGTCAAATGATTACCGAATCTGCAAGCAATGCTTCAACCGATTTTTGAACCTTGGGATTGATGCGTGGAAACAATACACTTAAATGTTTTGGCTTTGTAGGTTCAACCAATGGTTTTTGAATAGGTTCTATCATGCTCCTTCTATTTGCTAAATTCTCAGTGAAAGATTTTTTCTGTAGTGGAGATATAGATAATGACCGTGGCATAACGGGTTTTGTTTTTTCTGACCAAACTATTGTGGAGACTTTTTTCGGCAAAATCTTCGAAACTTGTTGAACAAGAGCAATGAGTTGATGTTTTGGTTGCATTTCCTTCAAATGAATGATATGTAATCCATTGCCTGCATCGAAGCAACCTGTTACATGAAATCGACAAGCAGCAGGAATTAATACTTCTTGTTCTTTAGAATAAAATGAATGTTTGCAAATACTTTTGCCAGATTGACTATCAATAATAAATAATGTTCTTGCTCCATTTTGACCTAAAATATGTTCATTGTTGAGAATGTCAAGAGATGTTGTACATAATGTAAAACCCCACCATACAAATATTCTTCCCACAGGATATTGTGCAATTAAATTCAATTTTACAGCATGATAAACAGTAAGACGAGTAGAATTTGATGGTAGTTTATTTAAAGCAGTCATAATTAACTTCAGATAACGAAACCATGGTTTCAATAGTGTTTGATTTCTTGTTTCTAATGTAGTGTTAAGAATGACACGGAACGATTTATTTATTGGCTTCCATTTTATGGTATAGAGTAAAATAGAACTTGATTCATCAGTTGTTAAACTATCTTTTGCTATATTATGATTTTTTTTCACTATCAAAATCATCTGTTCGAGTTCTGGGACAAATGGAACAAGTGGATTGATAGCTTCTTCCAAAGAAACAAATGGTATGTTTTTATCTTCTTCGATTAGATGAAGCATTCTTGATAATTCAACTGTCACATCAGAAACTTTAGAAGAATTTGTAGAATTATCGTTATACTTAGCAGCCATGTTCAAATAAAATCTTAAATCAAAATATGTCTCATTTTTATAAAACCAATTGACATTTCAATACTTAACTTTTTCATCTATTAGATTAGAATCCTGTTTGGATTCAACTGTTTGAATTCGTACCTGAATCAGTCGGATACAGTTGAACATTGCTAATGCCTATTTCTTGTCAAAAGAACATGTTGGAATGAGAACTAATTCCTAGGTTGCGTTCCTGAATGGGTTTACTATGAATGCAAAAAGACCCACATTTATCCCATTAACGTTGCATCAAGTCTTATTCATTAATATTTTTAAAAACTTAAATCAAAGAATAAGGCAAGGATGTTATGGTTTCTTAACAATGGGTGATCGACAAGTTTTTAGACAAGACGTTTCTTCACTTTTAATCCTCTAGAAAATGCTTTCGATGAGTTTGGATCAAAATTTTTTTACCTAACTTGTAGATCAGAAGTTATTCAACCAAATACATTATTTGAAGTTACTTTTTTTTGTCTTTCGACAAGGTACTTTAATTGTCGTTTTTCCTAAAGTTTTACGTTGAAAGGAGTTCTTGAAAAAATAAATGGGTAAAGACTACAGCTTAATTTACTATCATGTTTTTTAGAGAAGTGCTTGCCCTGCAAAACGATTGACTCCAACAATTTTTTAGCATGTTCGAACAAGGAATTATAGGATACACAAAACCTTTTGATTCACCATTAAAAATAATGTTCCTAGCCTTTTAAAAATTTCAATCGCAATCTATAGTTTCTAGCAAGTCAAAAATGAACAAATATTTTATCTAAAAGCTTTTCAACCGTTCATTATTCTCTGAGATACATCATTCAGAACTTTATAGTTATCTGGAATTATGTTGACTCAATGATATATCGAGACTTTAATGAAATAGTTGATATTTTAGAGAAGAACGATAAATTATGAGATCGTTTCAAAATTGTTTGAATCCTCTCTATGGTATATATAGAGAGAATATGAGCCAACAGCTTTATGATAGATTGATTTCTTAGTCAATCATAAAAAGTATACAGAGCATGATCGATTGCCTAAGAAAAAATGACCCTGACAGAATCTCAAAAAGGACAATAACATTTTCAATAAAAACCTTTCATAAGGAAGGACCTTTACTCAAGTAACTTACTAACAGACGATGATATGATACAACATGACAGTTTTTACATTGATGTATAAACTTTAACATTCTAAACACTAAAAAGATACAAGTAACTGCTGACTTTTCACAAGTAAAGAATGAAAGTTCTTATTATCTTCACACAAGATGATATTTATCTTTGACATACAATAAAGGTGATAAATGAACAAAAAGTACTAAAAATAGTTGAGCTCTATTTAATTTTCAGGTACGTCACTTACAGAAGTTTGAATGATTAATAATACAGGCATAATGCTTCTGATCCTTTTCTCATACGTCTCTACAATAAAAACCCAATGTTTATTCAGTAAAACAAAACGAAGCGTTATCAAATATTATAAAACAAGACTTGTGTGGTAAATAGTGTTGATTCTTTTTTCATGAAGATAATAAGAAAAAGAAAGCACTTACGAATTCTGTAGTCATTGTTATACTCTTTGTATAAATATTATATACATTCGATGTATAAAAATTATAGCATTCATTTTAAATATGATTATATCTATAAGAAATTTTTTTCAAATATTATCTAAAAACATCTAATGCAATCATCAACGTACGTGTACACATCAATCGAAAATAAACGTAATAAAGTGTACAACTGACTAGATAGTATTTTCCAATAATATTACCTTAAAGTAATTTTTAAAAACTGATTGAAATGCTATATATTCTATTACCTACCAGATGCACTTTTATTTCAAATAAATGATAATACCATGAAGAATTGAACGAAAAAAATTGTACGAAGTAAACATTAACATAAGCTATTTTATATTTATTCACATGCCAATGTTCACTTTTATCTTGTCTATTTGATTGTATCTCATGGAACATATGTAAATAAGTCCAACGATTTTTGAACTTTCATGCACATCAACTAGAACTAAGCATGTTAATAAAAAAAAAACAATGTAAATATTTAAATTTCATTATCAGCAATGCCTACATGATTGCTTACTATTTATAAAATACAAAAATTTTGTAATAAATACAATTATAGCATAAATTTTATGTGCACCAATGTTATTACTTTCTTTGTTTAGTAACAATTATAAACATCTTTATCAGCCAATTCATCCAGAAACATAAAAGCAACAATTATCAATGAGCAATGGAACGTCTAATCATATTAGTACTATATTTGTTCGGTATAATTTTGTTGTTTCTAGACGACAAAAAAAATACAAGAAAACAAATACATACTGCATAAGGATCTTCGTTTGATACTTTTTTAAAATTCTGAGCATATATTCTCTTATTGAAGATAAGCAAATATTAAAGAGAAACACTAATATTATATTCGCTTGACATTATTTAACAATAGACATTATTTTCAATAGACTGTAGTGTGAGTACCTATATTAATATTTTTTTTTACCTATGCCCTTCTTCATCTTGTTTATTTACTTCAAATAATAGTTTCCTTCATATAACAAACAATAACATAATAAGCAAAAACAAGTTTTCGTCTTAGTTCACATGCAATAACAACGATAAGATAAAATATTTTTACTTTTCAACTACAGAAAATATGTTCACTGTACAATTAAATAATAACAAACAAAACAAAACAAAAAAAATAAAACGAATAATAAATATATACAAACGATATATTATACAATATGTCTCATCATTGATATTGATGTGCTTGTGCATAATTAATTCGATTTATTGAATTTGATTTACAACAATAACATCCACCAAATAATGATCGATCAAGTGATTGAATAAGAAAATAAGATTTCAATAAAGATTTTTGTTTTACATGGGCTTGATATACCTTCATAGAATAAAATAAAAAGTGAACATGACAATTCATTCATTCATTTACACTTACTTGCATACTGCGACCATTGATTATTTGTCCATCCATTGATTGAATAGCTCGTATAGCATCACTTTGTCTATAATAATAAGATTAATTAATAATTATCAATAAAAATAAATACATATACTTTTCAAATGTTACAAATCCATAACCTCTTGACTGACCATTTTTTAAAGGTATTTCAACATCATAGACTTGACCAAATGTCTATTGTATCATTAAAGTAAAATAGAAACAGATAGAAAAAAAACAGATCATAAAAAAGAACATACTGAAAAGATTTTTTCAAGTTCAACTGTTGACCAATAATATGGAATATTTGAAATCCACAGACGCATTGGTGTTGAGTGTATTTTCTAGAATTTTTTCTTCATATAACATTGCATACTATGATAAGTAACTTACTTGTAGAGGTGAACTATTATTTGGACAAGTTTTAGTTGATTGCTGAATACGAAACATTGCTGTTTAGAATGGAAATGATGAGAAAATACTGAACAGAACACATCGCTTATATAGATATATATCACTGACCGTTACACTTCAATTAAGAACAAATGAAAAAGGAAGTAACCGTTACGCATTCAAAAACAAGAGAAACCGTTAGAGACACATCGTTATTCTCAAATACAAAAGACATGTAAGCAATCTTATTAACTTTTGGTTATCGTAACCGTTTGTGGTAATTTGAATGAATTGCTTGAACAAAATAATAGAAATCGAAATTTAAAAAAAAAAAAAAACATTTGCTGAATGAAATAGCAGTCGTTAAATATTATATTATTATAGCAATAGCTAATCGTTCAAATAATGAAAACATTGGAAAAGAACCTTCATAATTGAATATAGCTAAATCAATATTCAATAGCCAAAAATTGATTTAAGATCAAAAATTTACTTTGCAAACAACAAAAAAATACCGTAAAAATGATATTTAATTCAAGTCTACATCTTTACCATCTGTTCTTGAAATTCATCTGTCTCCTTGTCACTAATAAATAAATTTTCATCAAAAAGATTTTATTTCAAAATAAATATTTTACGCTCGCTTTTCATCAAATAAGAATGAAATCAAATTTCTGATCATTTCAACAATTAACCAAAGAGAATCATCATGGCTACTACTAATACTTACACAACACGACAAGCTGTAAGATTACCAACAGACCTTCTTATACTCAAAAATTTTCTATTTTAGGCTTCGATTGGTCTTCAACCGGGTAATTTAGTTGGTGAAACACATTATGTTTCAGAAACCCAAATAACACCACCGATAAAACAACGTATTCGAAGTACAAAACTTCTAAGTGTAAGAAAAAATAAAGACTTATTAAAAACATTTCTCGAATTGTTCTTCGCTAGACGAATATAAGTCGATGCCAATGCTGTTGTCCACCAGTCGCATCATCTTTATGTCGTTCATGTTTATGTCCATGTTGGGCTTATATACTTATTGGTATTCTTCTTGCATTACTTGTTGCAGCGTTAGCTGTGGAGCTTGGTTTTCTTGCTCGTATGTTTTCTTAAATAATCAATTATTTTTTTACTCATCAAATTTATCTATTGAAGGAGAAAGGATCCGCACCCGCTATCTACCGCAAAATATATGCATAGAAAGGTGGAATATAACTTTAATCCTTAATAATGACACTAATGCATATGATTCCTCAATTGCAACAAGCGTACCATGCACAACTAATAGTCCAATAGTAGATGGATCTGGAACATTGGCTTGGTCATCTTTTCTATACATTATCATATTAATGATCAATTTCTTCATTTATTTGATGAAATATTAAGTTAATTTATCTAACTGAATATATAAACATTTATTAAACTTTTTATGATTTTCTTTTTTGATGAAATAAAAAAAAAGCTTTTTAGAACTAAATTTAATTCAAGAGAGGGCGTTAGTCTTAAGACAACTTATGAAGAAATTTGAATAATCTATCAGAAAGTCAAGAATTTGCTTTAGAAATATTCAAAATCAACCACATAATTATTTTTATCATTAGATAAAACTTTGAAGTTTTGTTCGTTGCTAAGCAACAGAAAACAAAATTTTTCTATGTATGACATCTTGTAGTTATTAATAATATTTATCAAGATATTTATCGAGATCTCTATAACGTTTATTTCAACATGCTTCAAACGAGTTTCTTTCGTCGACCTTATAGTAATAATACATTAATTTATAATTGGCAAGAAGAGCGAGCTGATGTAAAACATGAGCGGATTCAAAAACCGCTTCCTTCTCAAGTTAATTCTTCTAATCTAATGTATTCTTATCATTTTAATATGAATTTCTTTGTAGTATGATCATTATTTTGCTACAACATACGAATGTGGTTATGGTACTATTCGAGGCGATCCACCTCGACCTGAAGTTCGTAATCTTGAACGTAAGTCTTCTCATTTTAAAACTAATTGATTACTTAAATAAAATTTTATTTTAGTTCCACGTAATTATGCATTTCCTGGTCATCAACCGGAATTTGATTTTCCTGAAATGAAAGCATCAGTTAATACATACTTAACTGAATATCGTGCTGGTTATTGTCGTAATTGTCAACGTGCATTGGCACCTGATGATCCAGCTTGGTCAACAACAACAAAAGTTTGTTTGCATTGTAAAGATCGCACATATACAGTTGATCCAAAACCTGAACCATATACACTTACTGTTGATTATCGACAAGACCCAGCAGCTAAAAATCGTTGTCTAGCTTGTATGGAAATTAATACCGGTGTTAAAAAGATCTAAATAATAAAAAAAAAAAATTATTTTTTTCTTTCCAAATAAATCCTCAATATATATTATTTTGAACACTTTTCTTTTTATAGATTAGAAAAAGAGAAAAATGGAAGCGACGGAACAAGATCTTCTTGCAACACAAAAAGCCCTCGAAGAAGAGGTGCAAAATAAAGTCAAAGAAGCTGTTATGGATAATTTTCTACGAGTAAGTTTTTTAAGAAAATCCAATGAAATTTTTTTTTATATGACTTTATTATGTAAAGGAAAAATTAACTCGAGAAGAAAAATTTACACAAAATAATACATTTAAATTAAATACTCAATGGCTTGCTGTTATGCGAGCAGCTAAATCAAAAGAATTAAAAAAAGAAATTGAAATTTTATCTCAAACATTTGGACGTATTATTGATCGAAAAGATACTGTTATTAAAGCATCATCAAAAGATATTGAAGAAGCTGAAGAACAATATGATATGGCATTAAGAAGCTTTTTTGAAGCCATTGAAAAAATGATTAGTAAGGAAAATTTGATGTAGAAAAATATTTTTTTTTTTTGTTAATATCTTATTTAGCAACGCATACATCAACAATTGATAAATTACTTGACCAATACGAACAAGATGTTGAACAAATAAAATATGAATTTCGTGAAGAACGTGCAAGAATCATTCGTGATCATGATATTTCAAAAACGGAATTACAAGATATTATTTATAATATGGAAAAAACATTTCTTGATGCCGAAACAGCAGCTGAACAAAATTTTCAAGCAAATATGGAAGAATTACGTAATAAAGTTTGTATATTTGAATTAAAATATTTTCCTATGAAAATAATTGATTTTTTTTTTCGTCTTTCTAAGTATCGAGAAGATATGCAACAATATCAATTAAATGTTGAAAGCCGTTCAACAGCATTACAAAATGAAATGACACTTATAACAAATAATTATAAAGAACGAACAAGAGAAAGTAAAGCACAATATCAAGAATATAAAATGAAAGATGAAAAAAATTCCAAAGAAATTCGGGATGCAACAATTTATATTAATCGAATTACTGTAAGCCATAAAGAATATTATATAGTAAATAAATAATAAACTATTTTAGGAAAAAATTAATGGTGTTAAAACTCAAATAGCAGCTCTTGAAGCAAATCATCAAGCAAGAATGAATAAAGTTGCACAGGTAAAATTAATTAAGATTATAGTTTTTCAGTCAGAAAAAGCAATTAAAGTTTTAGACTAGAATTCAAATAAAAAGTTAAAATAGAAATCTAGAAGTTTACCAGTCGAAATAACAGATTGATCCTTGAAGATAAGAGAATTAGACATCATAAAGCAGTACATCGCGTAGGTGGCGAGATTACTCGAATCAAAAAAGGCTCAAAAACTTTTTTCCCGTGATAATACGAGAACAACATAAAACAGAGCGATCGATTTTCAAATTATTGAATTTTGACTCTTAGTAAAGAAATAGTTTTATGCTCATTCATTGCTATGTCTTGAAACTGATGGCAAAGCATTACTTGAAAATTTATTTTATTTTACACACGCAATCACCACAAACATTAGTGCTGCATCTAGATTTTTCTCTTTCGGACAATTATTTTAAAAGTTCCGGAGAACGAACCTTATCTGCGGAGGGACGTCACTCCCTCGATCTCCATCCTAAATAGAATTTTCCAGAAAATACTAAGAAAATTCATGTGTATCAAAAGTCTCAATCAGTGAAAGGCTAGTCCTTTCTACTACTGACACTATGTGTAAAAAAAGAGCTTTCAGTTGTTGCCTGAAAACTATCTGTTAAATTTTTAGTTCTAAAGACTAAGACAATCTTCGCCCAAAAAGTTTTCACTAATTAAATATAAGTTTAGGATGAAGCTTGTAAAATTTTCTGAAATATTCGAGTCATATCAAATCTTCACCTTCGTTTGTTTTGGAGCAAGACTTGAGCTTCGTCAAGCCTAAGGACTCTATCACCTATGGACTACACCAGAAAATTGTCCTTCTTGACATCCCTGAAAACTAGAAAACGTATATATCGTGTAATTCACTCGTTTAACTACTAAAAGACTTTCTCATTAAAAAACATGAAATACTTTAATCATTCAAAAAGAATAATCAACTATACCTGCGAAAAGAATAGCTTGAAAAAAGTGTCTAAGTATAAGACAACAAATATGAATCGAGTTTTTTACTCTAATTTATTCGTTAGTGAAACTATTCCATTGTCTTCAACATTAATTTTTGAAAAAATTGAAATAGAATTAGAATATTTGTTAAGTCTTTTCTTTTTTTTAGGAAAAAGAAAGTATGAAACAGTATTTACTTCAATTAAAATCTCAATTATTGGATATGCAAGAAGAATTACGTCGACGTTTAATAAAACTTGCTACAGCATGTGATACAGTTGAAAAACAACTTGAAAAACGTGTTAAAATAGCTGAAATTATTTTAACATTTGCTGAAATGTGTCGTAAATTAGAAGCTGAAGAAGAAAAAATCTTACCATTTTATGCATCGACATTAACTGATGAAGAACGTGCTGAAGTTGAAACAGCTTTTTATGAACCACCATTTGAAGATTTAGCTAAAGTATTATTTCATAATATTCATTTTCTTTTTATAGACTTTATTCTTCTGCTCTTTTTTTATTATCTAAGGATATGTATACATTTGATTCACTTGAAATGTTTTGGAAACGATTTAGTAAAGTATCATTGGATAAATTAACTCTAGAGAAAGAACGAAGTATTTTACAATCAGAGAATATGCAATTAAAAATGTTATTAAAACAATATCTTGATGGTATATCAGTAAATGATGAAATAATGAGTCAAACAAATCCATTAATGATTTTATCATCGAGACGTGTACTTGAGTACGCATGATTATTTTTATTAATTTCATAAACTAAATATATTTCTTTTGATTTAAATAGAAGTCAGTCTGCTGGAAAACAGTTATCAAATGCTCGACCAATTAAAGTTGTTATCGAAGCTCAACATGTGAAAAGTGCCTTTTGATATATTTGTATACGTCTTTTTTTCCATATATACATTTTGTGTTGTATGTCTTTTTGAAAATTTCTTCTGTATTTTCTAATATAAACATCATCCAATTGATAATTTTAGTATTTTATTTTATTGATATGCTCATCAATGCGCATATATTGAATGAGTATAACTAATGATTGCTTTGTTCTAATTAATGTGATATAAGCAACTGAATGTATACTATATAAAAAACTGAAAATATTATACAAGAATTACCGAAATTTCGGTGATTTTAAAACCCGCGACTGAATTGATCCCATTGACCCTTAAAAAATAAAAAAAATCGAATTTCTTTTTATTAAGTTGCTAGATATTATAGTGCTGAGCAAGACATCATAATTGGTGTGGGTGTTGGTATTAATGAAGAAAAAACTCAGACCTAGACATTCCTACTCCCACCCATACAAACCACTTCACACCTTGGTCCACTGGCCCATTCCCTCACCTATACACTTACACAGCCTAACAGTGATACGAAGAATATCATTGTATCGTTATTAATGCATAGTTGCTAGGTCTAGATGACGTAGAACGTATGGTATTCTGTAGCGTGCTGGAATGATAACAAAACGAAGAAGAAAAAAATAATTCCTTCGTGGCTGGCAAAGCATGCACCTTGTTTTATACTGGAAGATTTGCTAAGCCAGTTAGTCTAAAAGGAACTGCCATTCTCCATTAGGGACGAACAGGATTCACTGCGTCATTAAAATGCTGATTCAATGCTGCTTTATCTGAGTATTGACTTTGCTCTGATTTTTCGAAACTTGAAAAAAACCAACTGTGAACAGTCGACGAAGCGTGTAATTCGTCAATTGATTTCACATATTTTATCTGCGTAAATGACAGCAGGCCCTGATGTGTACCCTACATAAATGCAACAACTATCCGCAAAAACGACTAACGAGGAAATCTGTACATCAATTAAGCATTACTTGCTCTCAGCAGATGCCTAACGCAATGCAAAAGAAGCATATTGCCTTCCTGCGAGAGAATAGCGAGAGAATTCGTGCCATTCGTTTCGAATTCTTGAACCTGGCCAAATATCAAGAAGCGTGAGAGGTGCGGATCGCAATCGACTTCATGGACATCTTTTACACCGTTCACACACAAGTCCAACGAGAAGCTCCACTAATAGAACTGAAAAGCACCCTCTACTTCTTATTTCTGCGTAGATGTTCGGGAATGTGTGGATGTGAGTCTTTTTTTACAGCTGCGCCCACACCCAAATATAAGAGAGTTTCGGACTCATCTTGTCGAATGTATAGATTTATTTAACAGTTCATTCATGGTTCATTGATCGCATGAAAACATCACTTAAACATGAAGTAAAGTGTATTCTTTTCTCGCTTTTACAAAGCTCAACAAGCTTTACTATAAAGAAAAATTAGAATTACAAGTCGACAGTTCTATCAAGTGCATATGTCTCTTGTACAAATCTTTCTTCAGCATCGTCTAAAGAATTTCGTCTGTAATTATTCATGGGATAGCCATAGGCATAGTTGAGTAATGCTGCACAGTAGTAGCAGAGTGATGGTGAAATAGGTGCTCCAAGAAGGAAAGTTTGATAACTGGTAGAACCTTGACCCACTTGATAATAGCAGTTATACTATGGTGCCGTTGTACAGAACGTACTCACGAAGCCATTATTNTAGATCCATCGTTGATTTTAATAGTGCTTGAAATTCATCTAAAACACATATATTCGAATAATATGTGACAAAAACAAAACAAAAAGATTTATTCTGTTTATATGAAACCTAATCGTTGAACTTGATCACGATGTACATCTGCTTTTGAATACACAGTTCGAGGTACTAAAAAATAAAAAGCTGTTAGCTTAATCTCTGTACCATTAAAATGTGAATTTTTTAGTTAATCCTTTGGAAATGGAATAAGGAAGTAGTTCATATATTAAAACGAGATATTATTAGTATACGGTTTTTGATCTTATATCAATAATTTCTGTCGTGATCTTAGACGCAAACGAGAGAGAGGAAGCAGAAATTAGATTGATTCGGCTCGGTATTGGACCTAATGTCCTGTGGGGATGAATTTTTTCGATTTCTGTTATGCTTTCAGCACTCTTAACATGATTTCATTTTTAGTGTTTCAGAAAAACTATCATATCAAACACTAGCTTCTGCCAACGTTCCACTTTACGCAACGTGAAATGATCTTAAATTAAAAATAAAATTATCACGATGCAACAGTCTTCAGAAAATAATAAGAAATGTGTTTTCTCAATAATGTAAGATCACATTAACTACGACCTTTGGGGACGTTCATTATTAATATCGATTCCACAGGACACTTGATTGACCTCATCGGTTCGGTTTAAACTCTGGAAAACTTGAAACGATTCGATCTTTTGTGGTGAGCATGTTGTTAAAGTATTTGTCACAATCTGTGACGTTTCTATGATAATGTCTCTCATGATCTATGGTGATGATTGCAAATTTCTATTCTATATATTTCAACACCTCTTTTAGATCGTGTTTCATAAAAAAAGAAGAAATTATGATAAAAAAAGTATTATTTAACTTACATAAATTATCTAGTTTTGTAAATTGTTCAACTGCTTGTTCAAGGTCTTCTAATTGTCGTTTAAAATGTTTCCATTGCATACGATTTTCTTTTAATTGTTCATCTTTATCGTGAGCTAATGTTTGTAAACGATTCCATTTTTCCATAATATCTATTAAAAAAATTCGTTAAGTCCATATCAATCGATTTTATATCATGCTTACCAACAACAACTGGATCATTATTAAGATCATCGACTAATAAAGGACCTAGTTCTTGGTCAATTTGTTTAATTATTTCACGTAATGCTTCAATTTTTCGACGTGTTGTTGTTAATATTCGAGTCTAAAAAGAATTATTTTGAAAATTCGTTTTCTTTTATTTAGATAAAATTAAACAAAAAAAAATTGTTTTTTTACATAAGTAAATTCAACAGGTAAATCTTCAACATGAACACCAATTGGTGTTTCAGAACGAAAAGTTTCTTCTTTGGCAAGAAAATCACCATTAATTTGAACGAGAATATCTTCAAAATCAGATAAAAGTTCTTGAGCACGTTGATATTGATCACCCCATTCTATTTCATCATATGAACGAAAAAATCGATCTCGTGAACGAAGGTAACGTTGAGGTGAACGAGATCCTATAAGTAAATTAAAATATTAAACGAATAATCAAAAATAAAACAATAAATTTAGATTTACTTGATGAAACTGGTGAAGATAAACGTTTATGTGTTGATGGCGTAGAGAAAAATGTTTCATGAAGTGGTGAAGAACGAGCAGAAGTGATTAAATCCAAATGACGCTAAAAAATTTTAAAAAATGTATAAACTATTTAATACTTTCATTAGTGTTTTTCTTCTCTTACGTCGCTTGAGTTCATTAATTTTTGTTTTAGTTTTTTAATACGTTTTGTTAGATCTCGTAATTGTTGACAAAATTTCGTTAATTCATTCATATTAATTGTTAAACCTCTTGCATCAACTGTTTTACCAAGTAAATAATTAGCACATGTTCGAACATATTCAATTTTCGTTTGTTTTTCTTGAATTTCTCGATCCATATCCTTAACATGAAAATAATATAAAAAAAGAAATATATATTAAATATTCAGTTTTACATCTAATTGTCGAATCTTTTCATTTGATGGTGCTTCTGATAAATGTTCAAGATTAGTTAAAAGTACATCCAAATCAGTTAACCAAAGTGCTAATGAATCTTGTGTTAATTGAAAATCACCATGTACACTTAACATATATTTAAGCTAAAACAATAGATTAATTAAATAAAAAAAAAATACATGAAATTGAATTTTCTCTTTTTTTATTAAATACATTTTTCAATGTTTCATGTACTGTTCCAATTAATATTTCCCAACGAGTATTAACTTCTTTAATTTTTGAACGAATTTCACCAGTAGAATCTGCTGTTGGATGATTTCGAATAATTTCTGAATAATTATCGGTAATTTGTTGAATATCTTTTTCATCATCATCTAATGTTCGTTTAAAATTCTTAAAAATTTCAACAAATAAAATAAGAAATATTATGAAAATTCTTGAAATCATACCTCAAGACTTTTGTATTCACTTCTGACTCCTTGTAAACCTTGTCCACATGTTCTTTTAACTTCACTAAGAAATCGTTCATGATCAGTAATCATTTTTGATGCACGTTTTATTGCATCATCAACACTTCTCCATGATACATGAACTGTATCCAATCTATCATTCATCAAATATTGTATTTTATCAAAATGAAAAAAAAAAACTATTTACTCAAGTTTTCTTTTTCGTATTAAATCTTTCAATGATATCCAACGTTGTTCAACTGATTGAATTGTTCGTGGTATTGAGCCAATATTTCGTGAACGAATATCATTTTCACTTAATAAATTATGTCCAAGTGCTAGAACACTACTAACAATAGTACTATGTTTTTCAATATCCGCTTCGATTGCCTAAAATTTAAAAAATTCTTGTTCGTCTAGTCCGTTGTCTTAAAAAAATGCTGCCGAATTTCACGACCACTTTTTAATTGAAATTTCATGTATATCATTTTGTAGAGCAGTTTGCGACTCGTCCAGCGATATGTAGCAAGTCGCATTTTCGCTAAGTTTTGACGTTATAAAACTTCGTATACTGATTGATGGATACTATACAATATTATAGTACTTGTAACGATTTTGATGTCAGAATATCTGCAAATCAACTTATGCAAAGTGCTTTCCAAAATTCATTACACTTTAGTCATCTTCCATGGAGTTTCAATTTTGAGACGTTTTCGTGTACACAATGCTGTCGCTCAGAGCATGACAGCACTAACAACAAATTTTGGTAGAGATTGTGTATCATCCAACTCTATCGACAATCACTGGGCAAGTTTCACACTAGTGCAATCATGTGATGAGCTACAGCATCGTGTACATTAAAGCGTTTCAAAATCGAAATTTCATGGAAGATGACTAAAATGTAATGACTTTTAGAAAGAACTTTACATAAGTTGATTTGTAGATATGCTGGCATTGCAAATACCATAAAGTTGTATAAAATCCATCAAACATTATACGAGATCTGCCTAGGTCAAAGAAAATGCGATTTCCTACATATCATTGAATGTGCCGTGAACTACTCTACAAAAAAGGACATAGGTGACTTTTCAATTCAAAGGTAGTCATCACATCCGACAGGATCCCTTTTACATACAACAATGGATTGTTGATGACTACGTAATTCATTTGCATTTAATGTATTTATTGACAATGATCTTTGTAGATTTGTTTCAACAGTATCCATCCATGAACGAAGATTTTCTAAACCTTGTTCAAAATCATGATACATTTTAAGAACCATTTCAGTCTTTTTAATTCTAGAAAAAAAGACGAAAAACAAATAAAAAAATTAATATTTATTTTAAAATAAAACAAACCTTTTTTCAACATGTTCTTCTGTTGTATTAAGCGTTTGTTCTAATCGATCAGTTTGTTGTTTTAATGTTTGTAATTGTAATTGATCAGTTATATGTGTTTGTAAAACACGTGCTGCTATAATTAAATCATTAACATATCGTCGTTTATCACCAAGTAAATTTCGTATTTCAGTTTTTAATATATCAAGACTTGCTTCAAGTGTTAAACCATCAATGCGATGATTCAATTCAGTATCAATAAAATGTTCAAACCATTCAATAAGACGTTTACATTTATGTTCAAAATCATGATATTCTGAACGTTTTTTAGTTAAATTATCAATTAATGTTCTTACAATACGTTCAGTATCAGTCCATTGAATTTCAAGTAAACTAGAAAAAAGAATTGATGAATAATGAAATATTAATTTTTATCTCGTTGTTTTTTTTTTTTGGTTACTTCAATTTTTGCATTAATTGATTTATATCATCAGAATGTAATTCAGGAGATATCTAACATTTTTTTTTAAACATGAAAAAAATTTTTTTTTCAATAATATAAATAGAATTACTTCTGTTATGGTTTGCCGTAAACGCTGTAATTCATGTCGATGTTGTGTAAGTTCACGATCTTTACTCTAAATAATTTATTGTTGCTTTTATTATTCATTAGATTTTACTTACTTGACATTGTAAAATAAATTGATCAAGTTCTTCGGTCGATTGTTGTTGAAGTGTACGAATTGATTTTATTGAAATACTCAAATTATCCAATGCTCGATCAAGTTCATTATAACGAACGAGTAACTATTAAAATAAAAATATGATTTTATTACATGTATGAAAAGAAAAGGAATTTTCAAAATTTTTTTTTTCCTTCTTAAACTGGAAAAATCTCAATCTGATATGATTCCTAAAAAAAAAAAAACAGCAACTTATGATAAGCAGATGAGCAGGGATAAAGGATTGGGCAGAATCTATGTTAAAGTTAAGAAAAAAGAAAAGAAAAGAATCGTGCATCTTTCGAAGAATAAGAGCAAATTAATGAACATGCACAAACGTTGATATCTATGAAGAAATATTGTATATGAACTGAAAATAAATGAGTAAAATATAATTTATAATGACGTTTATTGTTTTATTTTCTAATCTCGAATATTCATGCGATCATTCATTTAATCTATACTGATTACCTTCTCCTTTCGAGGACTTTTTCGATGCTAGAATAGAACAAGTATAGGTAACAAACGATATCAACATATTGAATTAATCAAGTCAATAAAATTCAATTGAACTAAATAAAAAATAAAATTTATTACCGTGATAAGTGTTTCAGATCGTTGTTTAATATTAATATCAATTTCATTAGCTGATCGTTGTAAATCATTCCATTCTTTCTCTAATATTGTTTGTGTTTTAACATCTGAATGTGCTATAAGTCGTCGATTTGTTTCATAAATTTTTTCTAGTAAATTTTTTAATTCTTCATTTTGTGTTGCACTTAAATAATTTCCTTGTTTAATTTGATTAATTAAAGCAATAGTTGGTGATTGTAATTGTTCTTGTTCTAATTCATATTTACTTTTAAGTAAACGATAATAACTTTCTAAATAATTTTGATATGATAACCATAATTTAATTATATCTTTAACTTCTTGTTGTTTATTTAAAATAGCTTTCATAATTGTTTGCCAACGTTGTTCAAGTTTAGTAAATGTATGATGATCAATAATTAAATTTTGTTCAATTAATTGTTTACCTTCATTAATTAATTGTATTAATTCTTGTTGTCGTTGATTAAAATCATTGATTGTATTTGATAAGTTTGTATCAATTTCTAATAAACCATGATAATTAGTACGTAAATTTAGTTGTATAACTGCTAAATTTTGTTCAATAGCTTGAATATAATCATTCCATTTTTGACAACGTTTATCAAAATTAAATTTATTATATTGATTTATTTCAAGTTGTTTTATACGATTTTTAATTAATTCAATTGAATGTGAATATTCAATCATAACTTCATGTAAATGTTTAGCTCGTTTAAAATATAAAATAAATTCATTTGAATTTAAACGTTCAATTAAATCATGTTTTGATAATAGTAATGTATGAAGTTCATTAAGTTGTTTTAAATTATTAATTTCATTTTCATCAGTTAATTGTTGAGATTTAAAAGCTATTTGAACTTGATTAATTGCTTGTGTTAATTCATTTAAATGATCTAAATAGATTTTTTCACGTTGTTTTAATTCATTACTATCAGTTTGAAGTTTATCATGAAGTGTACATAATTCTGCATATTGATTTTTAATAACAGAATATTGTGTATCAATCTTTTTGGCAACTATAGGAGGTAAATGATTGCTTAATTTTTGAGCTCGTTCATATAATCTTGTTATTTCATTATCAAGTTGTTGAAGACGTTGTTGAAAATCCTACAGTAAGAAATCATTTATTAAATAGAAAAATGAAAGTAGAAAATAACTCAATAAATTTTTTACTTAACTGGTATAGAACGATTTAAAAAAAAAATGACGAAAATCTACTCATTGTTTTGTTACTATTTAGGGCAATAGTTAAACTAATTTCACCGGTTGAAATGATCATCAGTAGTATTTATAGGGCAAATATCTAACTTCCGAAAATTATTCTTAACAGTCTCTTATAATGTTAACGATAAGCAAAAGATGAAAAAATTGTCGTGCACATATTTGAATTAGTGTCCTGCACAAGTGCGACTTTCTACAATCAGTCCTGAATAGCTGTGCTAGCACCCGACCAGAACTCATCAACGTCTATCAAATATTTTCACAGTCACAGTACGATTTACAAACTTTAATTTTATATGAAAAAGTATATTATTTACTTTCTTCCGTAAGCAGTAACAAAGAGAAGAGACCATCTCAAACTTTACAACAACAAAAAAAAACAAGTGATTCACGATTCCTTTGGTGTCTTTCTGCTTCTAAAATCTCATTAATTTCGCTAAGTATACGTTTGCTTGTTGTCGATGACGCTGGAATGAAACACAGTGTTAGTTTTCCATCACAAATGTATTCAGTTACTTCGTCATGTAATGATTCATCATCATGTGTAGATGAGTTTTCATTAAAATTAGATTCTTTTACGAGAACAATATAGCGTTTCAGTTCTGTGAATTTTTCTCAAGTAGAATAAAAAATCTCATTAATTGCCGGATCGGGTTTGGAATCCGAAGCGATATTTTTTTTTTCATCCTTCGAACCAAGTACCTAAACTGGTTTCAAGACACTAGTTCAAAAACACCGCTGAAAGCGCTCACTTTTAGTTTAGTTATGGTTATGTTGAGATATACTCACTTTAGTTTTGTCTAAAAGTGATTCTATATCTGATGTGAATTTTTCTCGTTGAATTGTGTACCATCGAGCTTCAAGTTCACCAAGTCGATCGAGTAAATTAACATATGAACTATTAAATTGTCTCCAATTATCGACGATTTCTCTCGATGGTCTAATGATTTCTTGTAAACGCTGTTCAACTGTTGCCCATTGTTGTTGAATACGATGTGTTATTTCATTTATTTTTATTGATGTTTGTCCATCACATTGACTGGATAATTGACGACCTTGAGAAGCAATTTGATCGAGATCACGTCGACGTAATTCCATGACTTGTAAGTGTTCCTAAAAGATATTCAATACCAATTAAATCAAAGTACTTTTCACATCAAATGTATCATTAGTTATAGTTGATTGTCTTACATATCACCATCATACCTATCGTTTTTACTACTTTAATCTCCATTATACAGTATTCATGAGTTATTCTTACAAAATATGTCGTCGAGATTATCATATGTCATATAGTTTCATGTGATTCCGTGTTTATCATCTGACAAAATTGAACTCAGTGGTGTATTTTAAAGCTTCTTATCACTTGTAAATGATATACTAATTTATTTGAGTACGTAAAATAAGACACTCGTACATACTTTTATTTAAGACCCTCTACAATTTTGTCAACACCTCACATTATAAAAGAGATGTTAAATAACATTTAAAGATATTCGTGAAAAGGTAGTCAAAACTTGTTTTTAAATCAACTAATTATGAATTAGTATAAAATAGACTTTTTTTTTTTATACGAATCTATCAATGATCTCCTATTCATAATTAGATTTTTTGTAATAATACAAGAAAAAAGCCATATATCACTTTATTATTACCTGAGCTTTTCTTGTACTCATTTCATATGTTTCAACATTCATTGCACTTGTTTGAATACGATCAATATCAGCTTCACCTTCACGTATTATTTTTTCCATTTGAAGTAAAACACGATTATATTCTTGCCAATCGGATAAAATTGATTTCGATTTTAATTTTAATTGTTCAATTGATGGTGATAAATGATCAAGCATATGACGTAAATTTTGTATTGTACCATCTTGATCAGATATATGAAATGTTGTTGATGTAGATGATATTCGATTACTATATGATTTTAATGATGTTAGAACTTGTTGTTTAGATGTTAATTGATATGCAATTTCCTATGAAAATGAAAAATAAAAAACAAAAGAAGAAATTATTTAAACAATTAAAATAACAAAAAAAAAAAAAAAAACTAATTTACATCGCATTTTCGTAAATTATCTTTAGCACCAGCTTCCATATTTCTTGAACGCATAAAGTCAAGATCAGATGTTTGTTCTTGAACCCAATCAGATAATGTACGAACTGTTTGATCAAATTCATTGAATTGATCATTTAATTGTTCTAAAGTCTATTAGGAAGAATCGAAATATTTTTTAGAAAATTTTTTATTCAACATAACTTTTATTCTTACATCAATACGAGCTGATATTAAAGATTTTATTCTTATCCAATCAATATTAATTTGTTTGATTTTTTCCATATAATCAATACTTGTTAGATCTATATTTGCTTCCTGTTGCAATGATTCATTGAGAAAATCAACTATTCTTTGATGATTGAGTACTTCTACACGCATATCCTATACAAAATAATTATTATAGATTTGAAAAATAGAAAAACAACGAAATCATTGAAATTTTCGCAAAGTCAGGCAAATCGTATCTCATCAAAATATTTTTCATTTCCGAAATAATAGTAAAGAAACTCATTAAACCAACGTATTGAATTCATTTAAAATGAATATACATGCAGAAACAGAACATCTTAAATTATCTCATTGATTTCGATCCAATGAAGTTTTGGTCTATGAACACAAATTTGTCGTAATTCCCCGTTATAATCAATAGTAAACAGAAGAGTAGATGCCATACTAGCAACTACTGTTTGGATGAAGAAATTATCTAGCTCAGTTGAGTTGACATTTACTCAAAGATGAACATGCTTATCACCAAGTGAAAATGATAACATATTACGTATTCGTTCATACGAAAAATTCAAGAAAAATTCTTTTAATGTTCATTTCATTATTGCTGCAAAATATGTGATAAAGTTCATAGATGACTTTTGTATAAATAAAGCGTCTGTGATATTTGACATCGTACTTCCCATACAGACAAGTTTTCGATTGTCCTGCAAACGAGATGAAGGAGGATCCTTTGTCCTACGGAATGCAAGACCTGACAAAGAAAATAAAAGTCATACGACAATTTTTTTCTGTTTTTTTTGTATGTATCTAGAGATAGACAAGTTCATTTATCGTTCAAATCTGAGAAGCTGTTGAAAACATTCTTTTCTCTGAACTTCGAACAGAGACCTGGTCGACTCATATATGTATCTCCGTCCAGAAAGATGGTAGAAGGCTGATTTTTTCTCAAGAGATGCGCCATGTCTTATCTTCTATTATACTATTTCCTACTATAAAAAATCTGAGACAGTTTGGATATATTTAAATGAGTTGACGGAAATCATCGAAAAATGACCCATGTAGTATAGACATGCGAATCTTTGTTTTTTTTTAATAAGAAAATGAATGTTAACGCATGTAAATAGTGAAAAATTAGTTTTTTGAGTCCTAGAGGAAAAAAAGACTTTTTTAATCATAAATCCTTTGCATTAAGGTCTAGCAATCTCGGGTTACTGCTTGGGATGAGAATGTACCGAGCTGTGTTCGATTTATGCTTCATTAGACGTTCTTATATAAAAGTGAAGTATTTGTGCGAATGTTTCTTCACTAAAAAAATGAATAAGAAAAGATTAATTTACTCGATATCGCTTAAGTAATTTTTGTAAAGTTTCTCTGTTATTAACAGGTGCACCATGATCATCATCCAATAAACGTTTAATTGTATCAATAAATAAAAGCATTTCTTTACAAGCTTGTCTTGATGGTAAATTATTAATAATATTTTGATGAAGAATACTTTCACTTCGAAAAATTTCTGTCTATAATAAACAAAAAATAATAATAATTATAATTATTATCTAAATTTTATTATGATTATTATTTTACTTTAAGTGATGTCCATTTACGATGAAAACTTTCTAATTCTGCTTCAGTTGATTGTAAATCATATAAATTATAAGTTGTTAAACGTTTAATTAATGCTTCTGTGTTCAAATAAATATCTCCAATACTTTCAAGACGTTTTTCCACCTCCTAAAAGAATAATTCATCAATTAATTAATTAAGAAAGAATAAATAAATAAAATAAATGATTTTAACCATCATTCGTTCTAATTGAATTTTCATTTCATTTATATCTCCATCATATCTTGTTCGAGATTCAATTGAACATTGACTTAATGTATCTTCAAGATTAGCTAAATTACGTTTTATATCATTAACAATAATAGTTGCACTTTTATGACTAAATAAAACAAAAATTAAAAAAATAATAATAAAAATTAATATTACCTATCAAATTTTTCTTTAACATCATTCGATATTCTAATAAAATTATCTTTTACATTAATAATATCATTTTGTAATGAAACAACATTTAATTCTTTAGAAAGATTTTGTATTTCATCATTTAAATGTAATAATTCTGGTTCAATAACAACTAAACGTTGTCTTAAATCCTACAAAAAAAAAGATAAGTTTTCAAAATTTATTTAACGAAAAAACAAAGTTCTTAGCACAATCCATGCGGAATTAAAATCTGAAATACGTGATGCAGCGGCTATTCCTCATCACACGGGAGGATCATGTTATTCAATCGATTTGAGAGACATTTTTAACTTATTCCTTCAGAAATGCAATAAGGAAGTAGTTCATATATTATAGCAAGATGTTATTTCTATACGGTCTTTCACGAACGATAATAGAACATTCACCAATGACAGAATCTCTAGTTTTACCTCTATAATCAAGGTTTGCAGTTCGAAAAATTATAAATCGAAACTTTCTTGCGTAAGACTTTCGAAAAAAAAAAGATTCAAAAAGAGGTTATTTAACGTTTAGACACATGTATTGCTCAATCAATATTTTATGTGAAAACTGTTACTGATATACAGTTTTTCTTTTCTTCTTAAACCTTACTTATACTCGTATTCGAATTCGCCATTCACGGCTGAATTTGATGAAGTTTAACACGTTAGAATTATTAATGTGAAAAAATTCCTTATTTCACTTAAAACTCAGCTTATATAGGCAGAGTACATAAGGATCGCAGTAGTAAAATGAAGATATATTCATTACTGAAAAGATTTCATTTCGAAGTTATAATCAAATTCATAAAAGTGAAAATTTTATATTGTATTTCACAAAAGAAAAAAACTCTACCTTATAAAGAACAAAAGCTGCTTGAATTTGTTCAAAATGCAATAATCGTTTTGTTATTGATAACTGACTTTGTATTCCATCTAATTGATGTCGAATTTCATCAAGTCTTGTTTCATATTCTCTCCATATACGTAATAAATATTCATAGTGTATAGTTTGTTCAATAATTTTATCTTGTAATTCATTTGAACGTTTTTCTAAATCATGATGTTGTTTTAAATAACGTGTACGTGTATCATGATCTAATTGATCATATAAAATATTTAACTGACGACGTTTTTCATCGATTTGTTCATTATGAATTTTATGTTCAGATAATTGACGTGCATATTGATCACTTGTAGATGCAACTTGAATTGAACGACTAAGACGTTCCATTGTTAAACTGAATATATCTTCGTATAATTTACATTCATTAAGATAAATATCTCGTTTACGTTCAGCTTGAAGTAAATATTGACGACGTTGTTCAAACTTTAAAAAAAATAAATAAATAAATAAATTTTTTAAATATTAAAACAAAATGGAATTGTTAAAAATGAATACTTGTTCTTTTAAAAAGGTAATCATTGATTGAAGAAGATGAATTTCAGATGGTAATGGCATAGAACTACCATCATCAAGACACATAGTTTGTCCATGTTGTTTTAAATGAGATAATTCATCTTGATATTGATCTAATTCTTGATCTTGCATCTAGAAAAGAATATATTTTATTTCTAAATAAAAATTAATATGAATATGAAATAAATCTTACTCGTATAAAATGAAGTTGTTCTTCAATTGAATCCTGTGTATTAACTTTTCGTTGTTTAAATGTATTTAATTTATCTTGTAATAAATTTATTTCATCCATAAATAAATGCCATTCACGTTCACGTTGACGTTTACGTCGTTCTCTTTCTTCATTTTGAGTTTCAAATTTAATCATTTGTTCATCAAGTGATCTTAATGCATCTTCAATTGACTGGAATAAGAAAAATTTTATTTTATTTTTTTCAAAATAAATTATTTATTTAAAAAAAAAGAAAATCATGTGCTCACTCGGCCAGGTGTTTGATAATCATGCTGTACAAGTGAAGAAAGTTTATTTAGAGATTCTTGATAAGTGCGATGTTTACGTTGTTGTTCATCTACATCCTATTAGAAATGTGATATGCATGCATTTAGTTTATAAGACACACGAGAGATCGGAATTCTCTAAAGTGTCAAACGGGAAAATTAGATTGAATACTACAAGTTTTGTTTTAAATAGAGAAGTTTATACTTTAATATTCATGATGCAAACTGATGTATTTTGGAGAGTCGATTGGCATCTTCTTAAGACCTTACAAATGTAAAGAAAAGTCAAAATCAAAGTTGCCTCTGAATTCTTCTCATGGGTATGGACCTCGACAAGACATCAATCGAATTCCGAAAACACATCAGTTTGTATAGTCAATACTGAAGAATAAAACTTACAATTTTAAAAAACCCTTGTATTAAGTCTGATTTATTATTAGTAATACATTTAGTTCACTTCGATGCAGTGATCCGTAAATGATAAATTTTGTCATTGAAGTAAGACACTAATCTATTTAATGCGTCTTCGAAACACAGGAAGACAAAGAAGACTTATTTTCATGTGCAGAGATCATCATGATTTTATCTTATTTATAGTTATGTTTCGTAACTTTCAAATTGCGAACACTTTTTAATTAATAATTAGTCAACAGGTTTAATAAGAGTAAAGTCTTTATTGATATCTGGATAGTGAGAGTTGTGGATCGTCATTCAACTCTTCTCCAGATACAGATTGTACCTTTGTTTCAATCGAGATAATACAGTTTGAACATTTTCTGGTAATTTAGGATTAGAGTTGTAAGTTGATGATTTTATCAATGATACCAATTGCGTCTCTTGTAGATTTTCTCTTCTGTCATCATCGTCGGCAACTGAAATTTTTCGACGCTCGTTTTAAAAATTTGCTTAGTTCCATGAGATTATGAAATTAAAAATAGCGAGAATGATGATGAAAAACTAGACATGAATATCTCTGAAAATGGAATCGGGATATCGAAAATTTAGAATCTATTTAATGCCTTAACAGTAGTGACTCAACCGATAGGCTTACATCTCTATTTGAGATTAAAGTTATGATTTGCATCACTTGACTTGATAATTACACCATTTTTAAAGTGCTAGCATGTGCACAAGACTTTGAAAGTACAAACAAAAACGACTGAACCATTCTGATTTTCAAGTCCTACATCATAGAAGTGATTATTATATAAAATAGCCTTTTCATTGTTGTCGATAGTTTAAATGAATATGATCACAATTTGGATATGTTGAAGCCGATCTCAGAAAAACATTGCATTAAATTAAGAATAAAGATAGTTTTTATCTAATTGGTTAATCTAGATAGATTTTCATGCGTGTTTTTTTTTTCTAGAAAACTAAAATCTAATTTTGAAGACTTTCAATAGCATAATAAGTTTTAAAGAAACTATAAAATTCTACACATGCACTGCTAATAAATTTTGATTCATTATCTTACTTTGATTGTTTTCTTAATAAATGTTGTTCTTGTTTCAAGTTCTATTACTGTTTCAGCAAAACGTTCTTTTAAATGTTCAATTTCCTGACGTAATCGTTGTAAAGTATCATTTGGTAAATTTGAACTAAAAACAAAAAGTAAATATAATTAAGTTTTCTATCCCAGTTCAATCATTCCGACGCGCCGAATCCATGAATTTCCAGTCGGAAAACTAGGGACTCTGGTAAGAAATCGACGATCGGATATTTCTAGTCCATAAAACAATCATTTTGATCGTCACAAACTGTGTCTTAAACGACCTGAAATAGCATATCATTTATACAGCCTTTTTTCTTGGGTTTGAATTTCTACAGTGTCAAACACTGAATTCTTTTTTGCAACTTTCTATCATTTTCCGACTAGAAATGGCGCGTATTTCTTGACCTAAGAAACTCTATGTTATCCTTCTAACCTATTGATATTTCGTAGCAATAAATCAATATCATGTGATTTTTCATCAATAAGTTGACGTTTTTCAATTAAACGTGCATATTCTCGTTGAAGAGAATCTAAATCACGTTTATCACTTAATGGTTCATATTTATGTGTTTGTTTAAGCCATTCAAATAATAATTCAACACGACCACGATAATCTTTTTGTTGTTGATTTTGATTGTCATATTCCTTTAAATATTAAAAAAAAAAGATCATTTAAAATAAAATGATTTTATGTAAGAATTTACCTCTTGTTTTCGAGTTACATTTGTTTTTATTCGTTCAATATTTCCAAGTAATTGTTGAATTGGTATTGATATAAGGTGAACAATTTGTGGATAATCATGTGTTAATGTATTAATAATTTGTTTTCGTTTATCTAATTCAACTTGTATATCATGATAACGTTGTAATTTTTCTTCGGTTGTTAATGTTTGGTCCGAGATTGAATCATTTGTTCGTTGAATATTTTCAAGCCATTGTTCATAGAATAAATATTGTTTATTAAATTCATTTAATTGAAGATGTATTTTTTGACTTAATTCTAAACGTTGTTCAAGATTTTCACGATGACTTATCATGTCACTTAACAGTTGATCAACTTCATTAAGCTAAAATAAAATAGACATTTAAATATTGAACGTTTAGTGTTGTTATTATTTAGTAAGAGGACAAGTTTTTAGGGAACAAAGAAAAATTCATAAGAATGAATTCTGAGAAATTTATGATAGTGTATGAAAAGTATTAGACTATTTTTAGAGCTTATGTGAAAAATAATGTTGTTTGAGTTGAAACTTTCATCATGTGAAGAAAACAATAAAATCTAGTGCTGGGCGAAAATTTCCCGAGGAAATTCTTAATTACTTTTTTATTCGTAAAATTATACAAAAAGAAGAAAACGCGGTAGAGTGAATATAACTTGAAGAGTTCACACTTTAAGTCGTATTAATAAGCTTAGTAGAAGAATATCAGTCGGATGAGTTCTCTCATTAGTTAAAGATGACGAATGGAAAGATTATTAAAAAGAATTTATTTTATTTTTTTCAAAATATCTTAATTATCAGCATTATTAAACATTCTTAGGCAAAGTAAACCAATTAGTTTCGTATGATTGTCGTATGTAGAAAGAGAACTGATCTCGTATATTGTTTTAGTAAACATTTATAAATGTTACTTTCAAGGAAGACGAATCAGACGTAATAATTTAAAATAAACATACTCTTCCGAACGTGGTGTATTTTTCTTTGATAGAGACTCATACAAGTTTCTTATCGACTTAAAACTAGAAATGTGTGCTGCTATGAGATAAAAAGTTACCCCAAGCGAAACACGAAAGATTATAGTCAAATATTCTATGTCTATAAACGAATTCTTTTTTTCGTTATAACAATGAGAACATAATTCAAAAGAGATGACTCAAAAAAAGTGTGCTATTCATTGATTAAATAAATCATAAAACGAATAGGAAAGAATTTTTTTAGATAAGATACGAATAAATTCTGCAATAGTTTTCTCTAGGGCGTAACTGGTAGATAAGAAGCTACCGGAACTAAGACCAAAAAACCTTTGCTCTGAAGATTTCTACCTTAGACACTACTATTAATTAGCTGACATATTATGCCACATTTTATTTTTGTTTAGTCACGATCTTTGATAAAAATTTTTAAAGTTTAGCTATTCAAGTTTCAACTTTCCCTGAAAATCAACATTTTGTATCAACGAAAACAGCTTTACCTCAACTACAATATCTAAAATGTCTATGTATATTTTCTCGAAATTGCTAACTATTTATTTGTCATCGAAATAATTTATTGATTTTTTTTTTATATATAAAATATACCTTTTGTGTAGCTTCTGGTGTTCGATTTGTTTGAACTAATCGATTAAGTCTATTTCTTAATTTTTGTACATGTTCTAAAGAAGTTTGATATTCAAATAAAATACTTTTTGCTTTTGGTATAAGTTGATCAAATATTTCGACATCTCTTGTATTAGTTAATTCATTAATTAAATCTCGTGCTTGTTTTAACCATCGTTCACAAGTTATATTTATATTATAATATAATTCTGTAAGACTTTTCATTTCTTCCATATTTTCTTCTTCACTCATTATATCTTGTTCAAGTTGAGTCCATCGACGTATTATTTCATTAAGACGACGTCTAACACGTTCACGTTCATTTGTATCAATTAGTTGTGATGATAATGTTGATGAAAGTAATTGTAAACGATCGATTAATGAACGATGTGCTTGCATTTCATTTGTTAAATCCTTTAAAACAAAAGATTCAAGAAAATTTTAATTTATTTTAAAGATATTTTATTTTATACTTTTAATAAATCTAAATTTTGTCTAAGATCAATACCATGTGATTGTTGTGTTTTGATTTCAATTAATTGAATTATTTTTAATGTATTTTCAATAATATTTTCATATTCATCACGTATTATATCATAAGCATTTAATTCTGATTCTTTTTCATTAAAACGTGCTTTTACTTCAGTCATATCTTCAACAACACGTGTAATTATTTTATCTAAATCATCAGATATATTTCCATATACACGTTTATAATCATCCAATAATTGTTGAAATAATTCAAAATTTATTGTTAAATCATCGTTGATTTTCTAATTAGAGAAAAAAAAAAGAAGAAGAATTGATTTTGAATTTAAAAGAAAAATAAAATAAAATAAACTTTAAGTCTTTGATCAGCTTCATCATTCATTGTTGGACGTAACTCAATCAGTTGGACTTTCGTACGTTGAATTATTGATAACATTGTACGAGCATTTTGACGTAATTTTTCTTGTTCTTGAACTTGAAGATCGAGATTTTCAATTGTTTTTGTTGTTTCATTTTTTAAACTAAGATAAAAATACGAAGATTAATTAAGAAATCAAAAAAAGAAACGTTTGTTTGATCAAATTACTTTAGAAGATCTTGTAAAATATCTTCTTGTTTCTTTTCTAACAAACGAATTATTTGTTGATCACATTTTCTTTCAGCTAATGCCACTATTAAATCATTTACTTCAGATAATTGTGATGCTTCCAAATCAACATCTTTGATAAAACTCTGGAAAAAAAAATCAAAACATTATATTAAAATATGTTCTATACATTGAAGGAATAAAGTCTATCGGGTTGGTTCCGGATACTAAAGTTTTGGATCCTACGGGCTCTATCACCAACAATATTTTGTTACAACAGAATGTGTATATTATACAAGAAAAGAAAGCGACTGAAAATTTCCTTACAACGGAATCATTCGAATTGAACCAATAAAGAAGTTACGGTGAGTCTAGCAAAAGCCTAAAGAGGCTTATTTCGATGTGTCTCTGTAGTAGAGTTACGATTGTTTTATAATATTTTTGACTCAATCTTAGATTATCACTGAAAAATGAAGAAAACAGAATTTTGATCTAAAACTCTGTTCATAGAATATTTTGAAAGTTTCAGTCGAAAAGAATGCTTCTTTGTGGAGATATTAAATTTTCAAGTAAACTTGATTTTTTTACATGTCTCTTACAAGTGATTATTTTTTAGAAATTCAATATTTCGACAAAGAAATATTCTTACCAGCTAAAGCTGTCAGAATATTCTATGAACAAATTTTTACATCAAAAATCTATTTTTTTTTGGTCTACATCTAAACTGAGTCGAAAATTTAGCAAAACAATCATAACTGAACTTCAAAAGTCGATGCACGCATGGGTGTAACTAGATGGGAGCTCAACCACTACTCATCGATTGCGTCTTATTTAAAAATGGATTGGGCATTCTTCTACAAGCGATGGTTATCTATTCGGATAATTCCTCGTTAGTTTCTTCTCGAAAAATACAATCATATACCTTCATGTCTATTGATCGTCTAGTTAAATCAATACTACCATAACCACTATCGATACTTTGATGTAATTCTTGTCGTTTACGATTTGTAAAAATTTTGACTTTATTTAATATTCTTTCAATACGATCACGAAGACTATCATTTTCCTAAATAGAAAATTCCAAATTTTTTATTTTTGAGAAAAATTTTCAAATCTACTTCATAAGATTTTTTTGCTCGATCAAGATTATCTCGAACAGTTTCCACTGAACTAGCCATATCTTTTAATTCTCGATCAATATCTGATGAACTTGATACATCTAACGATTTTTTTAAATCACGTCCAAGATATTGTAAAGCTGAAAATGTTGAATCAATTTCTAAAATAAGTGTTTCCGCACTCTATAACAAAGAAAAAACAATGATTAAAATTTTCTTTTTTTTTTGTAAAAAAAATAAATAAAATTTTTTACATCTGGTGCTTTGTCAATCATATGTAAAAGTCGTTCTGTATCAGATTGTAAACGAGCAAGACTTGAATTAAATCTATTCGATTTTTGACGAATTTCATCTAATTCTTTACGACGTTGATGAATACGAGTTTCTAAAAAGAGTTTTTTTTTGTTTTAATTAAAAAAACTAAATGGTTCTCTATCTCTATTTTTACCAAGATCTTCAATAGTTTGATGAAAATTTCTCAATTGACTATCACATAATTCCTTTGCATTATTTCGTAAATGTGGTCGAAATATATCAACTAATTTATGTGCTTCAGCTAAACGATTTTTTTGTTCATTACATATTTGCTCAAGGGACTAAATACAAAGATTGATATATTAAACTTCATAGAATAAAACAACAACATACGTTTAGTTCACGTTCATGTTCATCAAGTCGATTACGAGCATATCCATCAAAAAATGGTGCTAATTTAAAATCAGCATCACTAAAAAAAAATTAACAAAACAATTCATGAACTGAATTAAGAATTTTAAAATATTCATACCAAATAGCTGTTTTAATATCTGTAGTTAATTTAAGATATTGAGTCATACGTTGATGAATATCATCAAGAATAGTACGTCGTTTATTTAGATGGCTCTATTTAAAAAACAAAAAGATTATAAAGAATTCTATCGGACAAGATGACCACAATCCATTTGAAAAATCACCTATATCATTTTGTAGAGCAATTCGGGTCATAATATTCATAATAGCGTTCTTTGTACGCAAAACCTTCGTATTTTTATTATCTTCTGCAATTATTAGCTTTTATGTTGTTTTTTGACAATGATGCATGTTGAATCAAAGGTCAATCAATTTATATACTTATAGAGCTATGGTGACACACAGTTTCTGAAAAAGTTGCATGGCTGATCACCTTTGTCCTCAGAAGCAGTATCAAAGAATTTAAAACATCATAAAAGCTAAAAATTACAAAAGCTAATAAAAATGCTAAAATTTGGTGTATGAAGAAAGTTATTGTAAGTATTATTAAATGTACACTATGGAAGATAAGACAGAACTCTAGTGAAGTTATTTTAAATAAAATTTGAAATAGCTTGGTTTGGAAATATACTGAGTCCTAATATTTGCTCATGTCACGCACAATTATTATACTATCCGTTAACTGGTTTACGGCATCTTAAAACATGAAGGCTTGATGAAAAAGTAATTTTCTAGATACTAATTCGATGCGGCACGAGTTGCTCTAAAATACAGTATAAGTGGCTTTTCAAATAAATGGTGGCCATCCTGTCTGACAGGTTTCTTTATAATATTCATTGAGTAAAATTTTATAATAATTTACTTTAACTTGATGTTTAAGTTCTTCAACAGTATTTAATCTTTCACGAATTTCTTTATCATTCGAACTAATTAAATTTGGTTCATCACGAAGTGCTTGATCAAGTCTTAATAAACGTTGATCAATGGATGCATCAAGTTGCTAAATAATTTTATATTTAGTTACAATTATATATGTATAAAGATAAACAAAAGACTTACTGCCATTGAATCTTGAATATCATTAACATTATTTAATGATAAATTAAGATCAATTGGTTGTGTTAATTCTTGTATAAGTCTTTTAAACCAATCATTAATAGCAATTAATTCTTCATTAAGTTTATTTTGTGTTTTAACCATATGTTCATGTTCACCACGTGCTTGTTGACATGTTTTTAAAAGTGTTTGAAGATATTCTTGACGTTGTCCTATTTTATTTTGTAATTGTTCATATTGTGAACGTGGAAGTTCATGCTTTAGACGTTCCGCAAGTTGAATTAATTTATTTAGTTCATGTTCACTTTGTTGTAAACGATCAAAAACAGTCTAATAAATAACCATTGAATTCAAAGAAATACTTCAAAAAAACTTCGATTTTTTTAAATAAGATGGATCATGCGCATATGCCTTATTTAGAGATTTACAATATGGAATGGAGATATAAATGACATAGTTATTTACAGGAAGGTGTGAATGTTGGTCTTGTCTTCACCAATGCCCACACTCACACCCTTTATTACCAGTAATGGTAATGTAAAATCCCTACTGACAAGAGAATCTCTCCAGATGTTTCTTTCCAATTTCAATGATTTTCTTATGCTTATAGATATTTAATGGTATTCTAGTAAAAGATCCTAAAATATTTGGACTCTTATTAAGATTTCATAGAACTATTGAATTTTTAATGCCCATTTTACAAAGATTCCTGCAGGTCCCACCCTTTCGGAGCAATTGTATTTTCGAATTTCGTCCTGAAACTAACTCAAATTGAAAGTCTCCGATATAGTAATCTAAAAAAAGAGCTTCAATGCTTTTCATCTGTGAAAGATAATCTTTTCAACATATTCTTGTATTATTCGATAACTTTGAAAAATCCTGGATTATTTCAAAAGCTCATATCTCCAATGCCGATGTTCTAAGAGATCTGCGACTCTTTGATAATCTAATTACATGTGAGACCTTTAAAGTTTCAGGATAAAATTTCACTGGTTACTACAAGTAACTGCGGAACTGCTGAAACTCAAAGATGAAGGATCAGAGGTCAACAGTCATCTTGCTGGTTTGTCTAAAGTTCGCGAGGTAACGTGAATGATGATAAGCGAGTGATGACAATAAAAGAACAATCAACGACGCTTCTATGATTTCTTTGCCATAATTTATGGTAAAAATTCGTTTCATTTTGTTTTTATGCTTTTTCAAGTCATTTCATGTAGGAAATATTTTGAATGGATAAAAGATTAATTAAAATGAAAAAAAAATTGTCAAAATAAAATCTAACCTGATAAGCAATTCCTTTATCTTGTTGATGTTGAGCTGATTTTAAATGGTCAGATGAAGTTTTCAAATATGATTCAAGCTCTTTTTCTAAATGATGAAAATCATTTTCTGTTTGTAAAGCTCTTTCAATTCTTTCAATTTCATTTTGAATTTGTCCTTCAAGATTTTTTAAATTAGCATTTAATTCACCACCCATACGAAAATCAATTCGATGTCCTTTACTAGTTAATAAACGTTGTAAACGTGTTAATTCTTTTAAATAATTATTTGTTTCATCAAGACGTTTTAATAATTGTTTAAATTGTTCTAAACGTTTTTCAATCGATAATAAATTGTCATCACGATTATCATCATTAAATGATGATTGTTGTTTTAATTTTGTAAAATCATTTTGCATTTCTTGATAAAGATTTTGAACATGTTCATTTTGTTTATCAAATTCATCTCGTTCATCTTCAAAGAATATTAAAATAATAACATATAAAATGATATTAGAAAACAAAAACAAAAAAACTTACGATTTGCTTCATCAAGTAATGCAAGACGCTGAGTAAGATTATCCGATAAACGATTATATTTTTCTTGAAGTAAAGTAAATTTTTCATCTAATGTAATTCGATCAGTATCATTCAATGTTGATGAGATAATCGTATAAATACGTGTTAAATCATCAAATTCATTCGTACGATCTTTTGTTGATTCAAGCAACGTCTAAAAAAGAATTGAAAACTCAAACGTTTTATAAAATTGAAAAATGTTCAAGTTTCTCAGTTAAATACTCATTCAATACTTTTTTCGGAATAAACTGACAGAAATCAATTAGAAGATTAGTAGAGTACGGCGGTTCCAAAAAACACTTTCGAACCGTTAAATCACCATATAAATAGAAAAATTATTAAGTCTATGTCAAAAAATCTTCATTTCTTTTGTTATTGAGATGAAAAATTTCAGTATATGTGTATAATATTGTTTTGTTTAAGTACTAATATATGCAGCGTCTTAAATCTCAACAATTAAATAGTGAAAGTTTCTTAAAATATATTTAAAATTTTTGCATCTATCTGATGATTTGACGGTTCCGGGTTATTTGTGGAACCGTTGAACTCTAATCTGTAGTACTCATTGATTGTATTTATAACAAATAAGATGTATTAGAGAAGAAAAAAAGGAAGATTAGTATTTATTTCAGCTACTCTTGTCATCATTAGACACTATTAAAAATTATTACAATTAACTTTTGCGCAGTTGGAACTATGAATTAAAAACTTGAGAAATTTAATATATATCTCAGAGTAGTGGTGTAATCAGGCGAGAGCTGACAAGGAAATCCCTTCAGGCATCAAATCATTTTTCGATCGAGATGACGTTCATTTGATGAGTTATAGAGAGTAAAAGAAAAGTCTTGAATGGGTTTATTTTTCAGACCTTCCTTCTCGAAATATCGAAATTTTACTGAGTTTCTCAACAAAAATCTGTGATCACGTAAAAACTCGACTTTCAAATTTTGCACGAACAAACTTCTGGAAAATATCAGTTAATTGTGCAAGTTTTAGCTTTTCTTGTTTGATACAAAAATATGAATGAAATTTCCTTTTACACAAGAGAGCATTTCGAGTATCTCGAGAGATAGAAGATACTGTAAAGGTTACAACTTGCATCATCAACTAATCTCATTGAGAACTTTGTACATTGAAAGTTTAAAGTCGATTTCCCACATAATCACGACTTTCTGTTGAAAAATCCAGTAAAATTTTGATAGTTCGAAAACTAAGGTTTGGAAAACCAAATCATTCTAGACTTTCATATTGTCCTTTTCAAATGAATTTTTCCTATTAAAAACTTGATAATAAAATTTATTCTTACTTGTACACTTCTATATTTTTCTTTGAGACCATTAGCAGTTTGTTGAAGATCATTGGTTAATGGATCTTTGATTTGTTGTTCAGTATTTTTAATCCATTCACTAAGTTTACTCATAATTCTATCGAATTCTCGTCTTTGTTCATTAGCACCATTTAATTGTCGATTACGATCATGTATTGATTCTTCCAAAGAATTCAGTTTACGAAGTAATTCTATGAATAAATACAAACAAATGAATATATATAAAAGAAAATTAATTTATAAAAGTATTACTAACCATCCAGATGAAGATTAATATCATTTTGACCTTCACGTGAATAGCCTTGTTTAACTTCTTCACCTAATTTAATGATATTATCGAATGTTATTCGTTGAAATTTTAATTCATTTAATGTATCCTAAATAAAAATCAATCAAATCTTTTTTTTTTTTGTTTAATAAAATATTCTATTTATTTTACATTAAATTTCTTTTGTATTCGTTCAATTTCATTTATTTTTAATGGAATCATTTGATCAGGCGAAACTAAACGTTGTTTATCTTCATACCAAACAACCAGACGTTGAGATGCTTGATCTAATTCTTGACGTTGAAGTGTTAATGTATTCAAATGTTCTTTTCGTTTTTCAATTTGTTCTTGTAATTGTTCAAGTTCAGTCTAAGAAATAAAATATTAGAAAATAATTTAAACAAAAAGAAATTTTTACTTGAATTTTATATATCATAGTTTCTGCTTGTTGACGTTCTTCACTATTTAAATCAGGTGCTAATGTCTTGTATTTACCACGTAGTGCATTTAAATGTGTTTCTTCACTTTGAATCTCTCGATTAAGATTCTAAAAATGTTGGTGTCAACTTTTGACAGCATCACAAAAAAATGAACTTTTCAATTTTCAAAGAATAGCCTCTTTTTTTTCCATTTGTAATCGCCTATTCGCGTTCTATGCCCATTTTATAAAATATGTGTGTGTGTATGTGTAATGTGCAGACAGTGATTAAATAAATCGAATGGTACTTAGTGTTAGCGTGTAATTAGTAAAAAGCAAGCATGAATTCCTACATACGGTTAGTTGGCAGCGGAACATCACAATTGCTGTGTTATTATCTAAAATAAGAGAGAAACAAGGAAGACCAAAGCCTAGCATAGTAGGGGAATATGAAATGCACACACACATACACACATTATTAGCTTTGTGGTGAACTAGACTGATGAAAAAAATAAATAAAAACGAAAAATAATAATCAGTCTAAGTGCAACTTTTTTTTTCTACTATCACAAAAACACGGGCATGTAGTGAACTGGCGATTTTAAAATATTCAATTTTATTGTTGTTGTTTTTTTTTTTTTTCAAAGATGTTTAATTAAAAGACTTACATCAATTATTTTTATATTATCAATTGTTATTTGCATTAAACGCATTTGTAATGTTTGTTTAAATGTATTTATATTTAATTGAAATAATTGAAGATTTTTTTCAAAATTTTTATATTCAGTTTGATGTTCAATTGATAATTTTTCGAAATGAATTATACGTTGTTTTATATCAACTATTTGATTTTCAACAGAACTATTAAAATAAACAGAAATTCTATTTATAAAAATAAGAAAATAAAGATTTTAAATTTAAACCGTATATGATTCATATATTCATTTCGATCGATTTCATTTAAATTTATATGAAGTCCATTTAATGTATCATAACATGTTTTTAATTGTATTTCTTCATTGTTTATACTATTTGTTAATCTCTACAAAACGAAAAGAGAAAATTAATGTTTTTGTTTAGAAGATAATATATATATATATATATTCTTTACTTTAAGTTCTTCTATATTATTATTTGATAATCGATAATGTTCAAGATTTGTTCGAAGAATTTTAATATTTTGATTAATTAATAATACGGTTTGATCAAGTTGTTGAACAGTTAGCTGTATTTGTTCACGATTATTTATTAATTTATTGATTGTTTCTTTTGCATTTTCTAAATCAAGGATTAGTTTTAAACGATTTTGTTCAAATAATGGATTATTATTTATTATTGAATTTATTCGTTGAATTTGTAATAATTTTAATTGAATTTCATTTAATAAATCATTTAATCGATTTAATGTTTGATCATATTGAACAGATATTGGTTCAGTTGATAATATAGATAAATGTTTCATAGTATCTGATAACCAATTTATTGAAGATTCAAGTAATTCATTTTGAGTTTGTTTTTCAACAAGTATTGGACGAATTTTATCTCGTTGATGTTGACTCTAAAGAAAACAAAATGATAATATGTTCGAATATTTTTTTGTTCAGGAACACAAAAACAAATTTTAGTACTCGATTAGAAATAGTTTGTAAATGTTGTTGAATATCAGTTAATGTAGGTAAATGTTGATTATGTGTATTCGATATAATTGATTTAAGTTTTGTATGAATTGTTTCAATATATGTATTTATTTCCTAAATAGAAGAAAAAGAAAGATTTTCATAAGATTTAATTTAAATAAATAAATTCACTTCATATGTTTGATCGAATGTCTGTAGATCATCTAATTCATTTGTTTGATTAATAACTTGTTCTAAATGTATTATTTGTTGTTGAAGATTTTTAATTATTTCATCTTGTTCTTGTCGTATTTCTACTGCAGTTAAATAGATTGTCTAAAAATAAATCAAAGAATCACAAAGAAAATTAAATAGAATAAATAAAAACAACAAAAACAAAAAAAGTTACTTCTGTATTTTTCATAGAAAATTCAAATGTTTGACGATTTTGTTCATTTAATTCAAGTGCTGATTTAATTGAACGACATAATTGTGTATATTGAGAATAATCATCAAGTAAACGATGACCAATTATTGATGTTGTATTAAAAGATTTCAATATTGATTCTGATGAATGTTTTATTTTCTATATCGAATAAACAAAAACATAAAAATCAATAGAAATCATAAAAAGAACAAAAACATGAATAGATCCTACTATATAATCTTCATCGGACATCGAAGAATCAGGTTTTTGAACAAGATGTATGGCATTTGTTTGTGTTTGTGTCATTTCAGTAAGAAATTCAGTATATTGAGCGAGAAGTGATTCTCGTTGATTAATCTCTTGCTGGAATAGAAAATTATATTTTTAATTATTAATTCAATAATATAAGATAGAAAGCATTCAATCAAAACTATGCTAATCATATGGATCTTAATCAAGAGTATATATCAGAACACACATTGTTTTATTAAAATATTGAAACTATATCTTATAAGCAGTACAAAAAAAAAAGAAGTTATCTACTAATATACAGAAATAACACCGCGAAGTTTATCCAAGAAGAAAATTCTGTACTTTAGCATAGTACAAGGATATGTCAAAGCTACACAAAAGAACTTTTTAACTATTTCAAGTCTACTATCCATGTAATGGAATATCGATGAAGTATTTGGGATTTTGTGTTAGATAGACGGATGTAAAACGAACTCAAACTAATATATTCGTGAAAACACCTTGGTAGTAGACTTCAAATAAATGAAAAGTTCCAAAGAATAGTTTTGACATAACCTTGAAGTGCGAAAATTTCGCTTTTTCTTCGTTGAATTTATTGCATAAAAAAATGTTGAATTCATTCAGTTAACCATATCGATCGAAATCCTCTGGTCCATTTAGATTTTTTATATTCTCTTAGTGTTTTACTTATATAATAGATAAAAAATTTAATAAGAGTTAATCATATTTGTTTTCAATGAAAAACTTACAAGAATATCTAATTTTAATTGTTCATTATCATTTATTAAATGTTGAATTTTCGTTCCATTAATTGGTGTTTCTTTTGTTGTTTGTAATAATGTTTCAATTGCTGAATTTGTTTTTGTTTCAATTTCATGTTGTAAATTTTTTAATATTTGTATTTGTTGATTTAAATTATCAGGTAAAATATTATGATTATTATCAATAAATTGTTCAAATAAAACACGTTGTTGTTTTATTGTATGTTCAATTTCTTGACAACTATCATCAAATGTATTTATATTCATTTGAATTTGTCTTATCATAGATATTATTTCAACAAAAGATGAATCACATGTTTTTAATTGTTCACAATATTGTTCCACAAGTTCATTTAGAATTCTATTATCATCATCAGTATTTATTGTTTTTAATTCATTTTGTAAATTTTCAATAGATTTTAAAATTGTATAACCTTCACCCATTGTATTATGTTCATCCTAAAATAAGAATTAATCAATGAAAATAAATTTTCGACATGAAAAAAAAGGTTTGCTTTTTGTTTGTTTTTTTACTTGAATTTGATTTATTTTAGATTCAAGTGATGTCGAATCATTTTCATATGATACATCAAGTAAATTTGCATATGTATTTTGTTTTAATTCAAGCCAATTTGTTAATTGTTCAAGAAGATTATTACACTGTTCCTTTTTATTCTGTATTATATCAAGATATTCAGATGTTTCCTAAAGAATATATTAAAAAAAGATATTAGCATAATTCTCGAAGAATTCAAATGAAAAACACGATGCAAATGTTCTTGCTAATCACATGAAGATTGTTTATTCAATCTATGTTGGGACACATTTCTTCATTATCCAGTAGAGATATAAAGGGTACAGATAGAGAAGTATAGAACATTTTACAAGGTAGGATGAGGTAAGGATAAGCAAATTTTTTTCATTCAAGGTACAGAATACAAAACAAAGCTTACCCTTGTACATCTTTAGTCTCCGGAAATACAATAAGGAAGTAGTTCATATATTATAATAAGATGTTATTGATATACGGACTGTCGATTAGAGACCTGCGGAGTTAACTCTTCTCATTCCGAAACCCGACTCCGCCTCCGATTCCGAAATCTTTCTTTTTATGACTCCGATTCCAACTCCGATTCCGAAAATTTTTATTTTTTGACTCCGATTCCGACTCCGAAAAACTCCGAAATTTTTTAACAATGTCATTTAAAAATAAAACGTTCTCAGCAGCCAAAGGACTCTTTNTTAATCTTTCAAGTTTTATTTTTAATTGTTCAATTAAATCTTCATTTGAAATTTGATTTAAATTTTTTGATAAATCTTTTAATTCAATTTGTATTTGTTCAATTTGTTGAAATGATTTTGATAAATTATCAAATGTTGTTTCATTATCTAATTTTCTTTGATAAGAAATTTTATCAAGATTTTCTTCATGTAATTTTAAATTATCTTCAATTGATTTTATAATTAATTTTAATCGTTCAGATTTTAATTTATTTTCAGTTAATTGTTCAATTTCTTGATTAATTTCATTTAATTTAAGACGATAATTTATTTGTAATTGTGATAAATCATATTCAATATTTGTATCAAAAAAGAATAGATTATCATTTGGTGTAAGAATGGAAAAACGTGTTGATTTTATTTGTAAAAGATAATCAATATGATCTTGTAGAAGAATTAATTCATTTTGAATATCCTAAAAATAAACGAAAAAAAAAAAATTAAAAATTCTAATCAATTAAAATAAAAAATATGAAATACTTTTAATTGTTCAAGTTCATGATCATTATGTTGATATAATTCAAGTGTATGATTAAATGATGAACATGTTGTATCAAAACGAAGTTTAAATTCAATCCATGCTTGTTGTTTTTCAATACATAATGAATGAATAGTTGATAATTGATTTTCTAAAGATTGTAATGCATCAAAAAGAAATTGATTTTCATCAAGTAATTTTTGTTGACCATCGGAAGCTGTAGCTTTTTGAATGCGAACAAGAACTGGTTGTAATTCATCATAACGATCTTTTAATCGTTGTACTTGTAAAACTTTAGACTAAATCAAAATTTAGATATGAGAAAAATATTGAAATTTTTAAGAAAATTCACTTAAGAAATTGGAAATATTGAATATATTCTTATCAGTTAATAATCGATTTCAGGTTTAAGTAACATTGCTTTGAAATACAGAGCTTTTGTTGTGCTCTGTATCTTGATTTAGGAAAGCTTTCGAACACTTACCCTAGTAGCGTAACCAAAAGATCATTGATGGTAGGTTAATACTCGATGATCTTGACGTAAGCCGATGCAATAAAATGTGGATGATAGAAATTTCTATGTTTTTCTTTCTTCTAATGGTAGAGCAGCGACCGGCCTAGTCCATCCTTGGTAACGCTACTATCATACACTGTAGAACATCTACTCTTACTTTACTCTACAAAGTTTCTATCACACATTCCCTTAATCCTACCATAGTTGGAAGATTATAAAATTGAGAAATATGACAATGGTATCAGATTGCATATGTGCAGAGTGAACTTTTTTTGCACCGTAGACTCTTATCCAACTGTAACCGACAGGGTAGAGAAGGATAACCTTGCATATCTTTACTCTGAAACGCACATTCGATTGACAGTGTTGAAGTCTATGATTAAATATTTTTTCTTGGTATTTCTTTAGTTTTGACAAGAACGCACTAATGAAGTAGAGGTAGGCCAACTGATTCTTCGCTTTTCAATCGATATTTTGCTTATGAATAAGAGTCGATAAGACTCAGAAAACTGTAAAATCCGTTGTGGTATTGACTGTCCTGAAAGTTCAATATCCCATGAAGAAAGTATCAGTTTTGTCTGAAACTTTTAATGCATGGTAAGAATCATTAGTTCTATTTCATATTTGTCGAAGCGGAAAGATAAATTCAGATATTCAAAGCAACACTCACACATGGCGTCTCTCCTGAATAGTCGAGTTAAGTTATTCAATGATTGTACATCTAATCTCATTATGAGCAGAAGTTTAAATAAAAATATCCTCATTTGGATTTTCTGTAGATACCTGAGCTTGAAGCCGAAAATTGAACAAACTAATTGTAGCATGTGACTAACAGATTATGAGCAAAATATTAACTAAAAAAAAAGTCCTTTAATATATCTTTCTCAACATTATCATATAATGACCTATCAGAAAACTTAGTTCAAATCAATTATTGTTATTACGTAGTTATTCATTGCATGATTCTTTGTCTAGTATACTCTTCGATAGATATGTCTGCTTTATCCATCTGGATAGAATTCTAAATATTTACCTCAATTAATTCTCTTGTTTTTTCAATTGTCGAAATAGATTGTTTATCAAGATTACACAATTCTGTTGTAACATCTGCAATGAATGATCGAAGTGTTCGTGCACTTTCACCATAATTAAAATGTTCATTAAAAATTAAATTTGTATAATCAACTTGTTCCTATTTATCAAAGAAAATAATAAAAAAAAAAAGAATTTCTATGTTTTTTTTTTTTGTACTTTAAATTCATGAAACATTTGTTCATGTTGAAGTTTTATTTCATTTAATATTCGAATATTTTCTGTTGATGTTTCACATTCATTTGTAGCATCACGAATTAATTCGGTAAGAAGATTTTCAACGAGTTCAAGATCATTAAAAACTCTCTAGAACGACAAAGAAAAGCACATTCATTTGAAGTTTAATATAAAGTTATTATTTTTTTTTTTGTGTTATTTAAAACTAACCACTGCTAATTCAGCACGAATACGTTTATCAGAAACTGTATTTGGTACTTCAGATTTTAAACGATGAAGATCATTTTCATATAAAATTAGTTTACGTTTTATTTGTCGAATATTATCATCGATTTTAACATTTATTGATAATGAAACATTGATACGTTCCTTGAAAAAAAAAATACATATATTTTTTTTTGAAAGTTTAGAAAGAAGATTATTTTCTCTTTTAAATGAATACAAACTCGTAAATGATTAACTTTCTGTTCTAAATTTAAATGAATTTCTTTTAAATGATTATAACGTTCTTGAAGATATTCTATAGCTTTGACATCTGAAGATAATAAAAGATTATGATCAGATAATTTTTGTAAATCAATTATAATTGATCGTTGAATAGTTTGATATTCCTTAAATAAGACAAAACTATTAACTTATGACTAAAATACTTTTTTTTTGTTATTTTTACATTTAAATATTGACGTGTTTGAGATGTAAAATTATCTCCTGTAAGATTTAAACATCTTTCAATATCACATAATGTAGTTGTAAGACGTTTTTCAAGATTATTATGTTCATTTAATGAAATATTAAATCGTTGAACTAATTCTTCAAATTGTTGAATTGTTAACTTAAAAGAAAACAAAAGAATTTCAAAAGGAGAAGCAAAAAAATAAGTATTATTTACATTAAATTGTTCTTTGATTTTATTACGTATTTGAATCAATTGTTCAATTTGATGTCGTATTTGTGGTTCATTAGTAAGAATAAGACTTAAATCTTTTGCTAATAAAAGATTATTTTCAATAGTTAAAGTTAAAGAATTTAGAATTTTCATATGTTCAGTCTAATAAAAAAAATAATAATAATAAAAATGAATTCGTAAAATTAAAAAAGAAAAAAATTTTACTTTTAATTGTTCAAGTTTATCGTTCGATGTTTGTGTTGAATCATTTTGAATATCAATTAATGTTGAAATGAAATTTAAACATTGTTTTACATGAATATTACAATCTTGAATAAGATTTTGAGTTTGATTACGAATTTTTTCTGAAATAAAATTTTGAGATTTTTATTAAAATAAAAATTGATTTCTTTTTTTTTTTTAAATTTTTAAATTAACCTGTTTCTTCAAGTTTTTTATTTAAACGTTCACGAAGATCCTTCCATCGTATTTCATATTGTTCGATTGTACGAATAATACTATCTTGATTTGATCGATCTAATGATACAATTATTTGTCGTGCTTCTTCAATAAGATTTTCAATATGTTCTTGATTATTTAAATTTAATGTTAAATTTTTCGAAAATTCTTCTAATTGAAGTAATGTATGATATTGTATTGTTTGTTCGAAATCTTTAGATATTTTTGTTAAAATATGTTCTATTTTTTGTTGAATTTCAATCCATTGTTTTAATGAATTGTATTCAGATCGACATTTAATTTCAAGTGTCTTTTCAAAGAAAAAAAAAAAGAAATATTCAAATAACACATTTGAAAATATGATTTATTTCATCTTACTTGAGCTTCATTATATAATTGTTCTTGTTTAGTTTTGATTTGTTCATAATCGCTTATAAATTCAGATATTTTCGGTTGTAAATGATCGAGCATATCGGCTAATTCACGAAGATGAATATCGTTTTCATTTAAGATTTCTAATTCAGTCTGTAGATAGAAAGTAAAATAATTATTATTAAGAATTCAAATTAGAAGTTTTGATTTCTTCTGCAATCTATTATGTTTGCCGAAGTTGTTGACTTCAACTACGACTTGATTGTGTTAGACAAATAAATTAAAGAAAAAAAAAAAAACTAGATTATATCATATAACATATGTATCATTAGCAATTTTCCAGGTTACATTCCTCTTTAATTCGAAAATTAGCCCCAAAATCTGAAAGGCTTAGCGATGGTATATGTTTAATTAATATCGAATCTATTCTATCGATCAGCGTAGCTGAGTTCAGAACATTCCTGTTGTATCTTGTCATTCACCAGAACATATCTACTCTTTTCGTAACTTTATCTAAATCAAAAATGAATCAAACGAATTAATCCAACAATAAACAATTGAACTTATCGATCTACTAAGTTGAATCGAATCAGATACTGTTAACATGAAAACGAGAATGACAATAAATTTTATGTATAAAAAAAAGTACTACACTAATTTGTGCTTGAAAGTTAACTGACGTCAATTAACATGTCATCTATTGATAATTTCAAAAACATCGAAAAGAGAAATTCCGACTATCTACTAAAAAATCAATAATCAGTATTTTGACGAGAAATGTTCTTTTGTTAAGATATCGAGCTTATAAAAAAAAAAACAATATTCACTTGTACACCCACAAAAATCGAGACCACTTGAAAATTCAATATCTCAACAAAAAGAAAACATTCTGTTCTGTTAAAAGTTTCAAGATATTCTACGAATCATTCGACCTATCGATGGGCAAAATTTCAGGAAAATGATCATAACTTGACTTCAAAGATCCACGAGAGTAAAACTAGCTTTTTTGGGATTAGAATAGTAACTTATACACTTTGATTAATGACTAGTTTTTTTGCTAAAAAGAATATCTCGGACGCGAAATTCATTGAAAAACTTAGTCGCAAATTTAGCATCTTTTGAAAAATAAAACAATTATTCATTGTTCCAACAGATGTCTTCAGTAAAGTTGTCTGCCATTTTTTATACTAATTCGATATTAACGAAACTTTTATAGAATGCTCTTTCATATCTGAGACACCCTCAGTTAGTGCAATCCCATCAAGGCTTCTCCATCACAAATTGTCTTTTTGTCATCAATCTTATTTTTTAGAATATTTCAATTAAAAAGAATAAGTCATGTCCATATGCTTGATAGAAATTATCTACTCTATATTCTTGTTGGCCTCATATGAGCTCAAATTATGGGCCTCAATTTGAATGATTTCCTTATAAGCAGTTACATTATCTTGCACAGTGTAGAACATAGGGAACTGCAAAGTGGTCCCGGGACTAAAAATTTTTCACATTGGTCTCGGTCAGTTTTTATGCAATATATTTTCACGTTTATTATTTTGACATGATTTAAGATCTGTAAATCAGATATTTTTATTTGCTATTTCTATAAAAGTCTTTACGGATTACGAGTCTGTTGGCAAGAATCTGAGTTTTCCGATTGCACAGGTTTTTGAATACATATAAAACAACCAAAACAACACTATATACGTAAGTTTAATTTGTTCATTCTTTGATGATTCCTTTATTGAAGTCTTATCAGATAATAGTAAATAGATATGTATCGCCGTTTATTTTTTTTTTTTTTGACAATCGTAATGACTACTCAGTATAAATAATCAATTCGATAATAAATCCATTAGGTAGAGCAGTAGATATAAAAGAAGAGAGAAATAAGTAAATGACTGCTACGAAGTATATGAGAATTTTTAACAAAATTCAATGGTTATTTTTTTTTATTCGAGCTTTCAGTGAAATTCTTTCACTTTAACACTGGATATAAAAGAATTTTCGTACTGTTAACGAATCAAAATCATTCATGTCAATTTTATGTATTCATAAAAGTACACAAGTCGTAAAAAAAAGTTGCTCGATTTCAGAAATGAAACCATTGTCAAAGACCGGGACCGGGACTAAAAAAAGTGATTTTGCAGTTCCCTAGTAGAACAGGACAATAAAATTGTGTTCTGTTTTTAACATAGTATACATAAAAATTATCAGATAATATGCGTGATGAAAAAAAAAAATTTCTAATGTTATTTTCTTCAATAGATGTATCAAATAATGTCTACCTGTATACGAATTAATCGTTCTTGTTTTTCATCTGCATTAGTTGTTGATACTAAATCATTAATTTGTTTTAATTTTTGCTCAATTTTTATATGTGACTCGGTTATTTTATTTTTTAATCGTTTAATATCATTGATTCGTTGTGATAAATTATCTAATTGATTTTCAATTGTATTTGCTTGTTGAAATATATTTGTCTGTCGATTTTGCATCATTAAACAAGTTTGACTAAGTTTAAAAACGAAAAGCAAGAAAATGAAAAAATAAATAAATAAAACAATAATTCATTTTGTATTTTTACCGAAAAAAATTTGCATTTTCAACTGAATCTAATAAAGATTCCGTTACTTCATTTAATAAATTTGCTTGTCGTTGAACGACTGATTGATTATTAATTAATGATTGTAAATCATTTGATGTTGTTTGAATTATTTCAATAGATAAAGATTTACTATTATTATTCCAAAGATCAATATCATTAATAATTTTATTTAGAATTAATTCACATTGATTAAGTAATTCATTATAAGTATTTATTTGTTGAGAATATAAAGAATATTTTGTTTGACCATCTGTTGCTTTACGTAAAAGATCTTTTAATAAAATTTTTAATCGTTGTATAAATGTTTGTAATTGTTGTAAATGTTCTAATAGATCAGTTTCTTGTGTTCGTTGTGATAAATCACTTGCAAAACGATTTAGACTATTTAATTTACTTTCAATTAAATCTAAGTCATTTTTCATATTCTATAATAACAAAAAAAGAAAATAAATATATAAGAAAATGCTTTTGGTTTTTTGTACTCGTAATGTATCAACAGGTGTTTGTCCATCATTTTGAATTCGAGTATTTATCATTTTTAATAATGATTCTAAATCATTAACTTCATTTGTTAATTGTTCACTTTCTTTTATATATGTTAACCAATCGGCAATACAATTTTGTAATTGTTGTTCGATCTTAATAAACAGACAAAGAAAAAAAAAAAAACTGAAACAAAATATAGTTGTTTTTATGGCATACCTTGAGAATAGTTGTATTTATTTGATGTGATTTAGATTGTACACGTTCCCATTCACGACGTATAGATTGTTTACCATTTTGGCCAACTAGAGTGAGTACTTGACTTGTCATTTGTTCGGTGTCTTGTAATGCAGACGTCAATTCTCGATAGGTATTTTTAATGTCCTTTGAAAGAAAAATAACAAATACAATAGTTGTTAAATATAGAGAGTCATGAATAGAACAACTAACCATTAATTTTTTCAATTTGTCTTCAAGTATTTCTTTATCACCATACGTATCTAAAATCGGTGAAAGTTGATTTTGAATAGTTTGAAGAGATTGTTGTAATGATGAACAATCGTTAGTAAACTTTTGAAGTATTTGATAACGACGTTCATTTTCATCAAGATGAATCTAATTAATAAGAAAACAAAAAAAGTATCAAAATTAATTGATTTTTGAAAATTATATTTACTGAAAGTTCTCGACATAAATGATCAAACTGACTAATTAAACGTTTAGCATTGTTTGCTAATTGCAAATCATTTAATTCATTAGCTTCATTTGAAATTGTTTGTAAACGATTTTGTTTCGGTTCAATATCTTGAATAGTTAACTAAAAACAAAAGAATAACACAAATTTTCAACAAAAAAAAATCCTTTTGTTTGTGGTTACTCTTTTTCTTTGACATTCATCTTTATATTCATATTGATCATCTTTAATAATTTCTTCAATATCACGTAAGTTTGTTGTTATAAGTATTAATTCATATTCATGTTCAATATCATTTAATTGTTTATTTAATGCTTGTAAACGTTGTTGTTTAGATTCAATTGTTTGTTTTGATGAACGTAATGTTTGTACAAGATGATTAAATTCATCTTTTGTTTGTTGTAACATTGCTTTCATTGTATGATTATGTACTGATGGTGATAATAATAATGAACTATTAGTATTTGGTGATGTTGTTGTCGTCGTCGTTGTTATTGATGAATGACGTGTACGTAATTGTGTATCAATTGTATTATAAGATGATGCCATAAAATCTAATCGATCACGTAATGAATCACATTCAGATAAAAGTGCACTTAATTCTGCAACACCACTATCCAATTCTAAACTACTTTGATATTTTTCATGAAGACTTTCAATAGATTTTCGAACATCATTATATGTTTCATCAAATGTTGTTTGTTTATTAATAATTTCATCACAAGATATAAGAAGATGCTAGAATAAGAAATAATAAAATTATTTGGTGTTTTAATGTAAGATAAAAAGAAATCCTTTTATGTGAGAATCTTTTTTTTTTGTCATGCATAGACTTGAATTAAAATTGATGTACATACACAGCAGAGCTGCTTTTTGATCTAGCAATAAATACTTGAACTAAACGATAATTTAGTGTCGTAAGACTTACATTGACTGACAGAAGAGTTTTTTTTTTTTATATCCGAAATAATAGGATGATAAGTTTTGCGCTTGTGTTGCTGCGAAAATCGATTGTTAAACGTAAGCGCCCTTGTGTGTTCTTACAAGTATCGCTTATCATCTATATTTTCGTTGCGAATTTTCTTTTATCTCTTCTTTTATAGGTCTAATCAAATGATCAAAAATATTGTTTTAAGTCAAGTCTTTCTTATATGAAAACTTTTTATATTATTTTATCTGTATGAAAATAAATTAAGTAAACAACTGAAACTAGAATGATGCATAAATGTAGAGCTCTAGAATTAAACGTACTCGTAAAATCAGAAACATCAATCAGTCTGATTTGGTCTGTAGGTCAGTTCTGATACACATGAATACATTTGGACAAAGACCTAATTCTATTATTGTTTTTTAGCATTATGCTATTGAAACATATATAGATAATTTGAGTGCAAAACACCATGTTGATATATAAATAAGAATTGATAATGAGATCACAGTGATCTCGGAACAAGCTTTATGCATTGATTTTCTCTACTTAGGGCATACCAAAAGTTCGTGTCCCGCCATTTAAAGGGCCTTGTCGGATGGGGTACATCGGTTCAGAAATAAAAAACAAATATATCATATTGTAGACCTTTTCGAGCCGCATCGAATGGTATATAGTAAATCCTGTTTTCATAGAACTTTGAAGGACCTAGAGTCAATTTACTGATAGATGACTACACATTCACACCCATCATTATTTACACCCGTACCTGAGGACCATAAGTTAATGTTTATTATGGTTCTTGATATTAATTGAAAGCATATGTAAAATATTGTTTCTCGCATGCTACTTTGTAGAGTTTTTGATGGGCTACAACTTCATATACGCACTATCTCCGATCATCTTGTGAATGCGGACGTGAGTATGAATGGGTGTGAATGTGTAGTCGTCCATCAATAAATTGACTCTAGATCGTTCAAAGTTCTAAGAAAACAGAATTTACTATATACCATTCGATGCGGCTCGAAAAGCTCTACAACATGATATATTTGTTTCTTATTTCTAAACTAGTTCACCCCATCCGACAAGGTCCTTTAAATGATGGGACACGAACTTTTGGTACGCCCTAAGTATATATATTTTTGGAAACATATGGTTTCATGTCTTAGAGTAGATAATAATGAAAAGCTCGTGTGAATCATTGAAGAGTTATTGCAGTTTTACTTCATGGTTGACTTTTAGAATATTCTTCAATAAATAAAGTGCTGGAGAAAAGAATTTCTCATCAGAAGATAAAGAATGTCTTCTTATTTTTAGCAAATATTCATAAAGAAATCAATGTAAAAGAAAAGATGAACTCTCTTGATATGAGTGCGCATTTTTTCCACAAAGGAATACTGCGAAATGTTGACTCTATAATCTTTTCGATAAGCAAGTTCAGAGATATAAATTTTTTATTAATTGATAGGAAATGTTCTCATCTTTCGAATTGTATCATATTTGACTAATTCATAAAAACTCAACAAACTACTGTCTTATAATGAATTTAGAAACACCTAATTAACTTCCATCTGCAAGATCTTTTTCATGAGTTCATATAAAAATCGTAATCAACACGTGTTCATCAAAAAGACATAGGGACTGTCATTTTTGCATTATATGAAAATTGTGGATTCATCGTATGCGTACTTCAAGTCATATTCTATTTGAAAGAGGAAAAAATTCTTCATCTTTCTTGTAGATTCTTTTTTTTTATTGATATATAATGAGTAATATTGAATACACTTACTTGAATATTCTTAACAAGTTCATCACATTTTCTCTTTGTTTCACTGGCTATCATTACTATTTGATCATCATCAATATGATTATCAATAAGACGAACATTGATTTGAATTAATCGACTACCACATTCGAGACATTCTTGTTGTAAATGCTAAAACATTGATTATTATAAATATTGATTGAAAAAAGAAAAGTATAAAAATTACTTTAAGTTCTTCTTTCTGTAATAATTTTTCTTCAATTGAATGTTTTAACATAAATCCATCAATTGTTTGTTCAATTGTTATCAATAATTGTTGAATATTTTGTATTGATTCTCTTTGTTCATCAATTAATTCTTGTATATGATGACATTCATTTTCAGTTTGAATTAAATTTATTGAATAACGTTCAGCATCATTCTATGAAAAAAAAAAATCAAAGAAATTATTTTGTAAATATTTCTATTTAATCTTTAAACTTACAATCATTTGATCAATTTTATCTATTAATATTTTAACTAATTCTTTTGAAAGACATTCATCATGTAATTTTGTTTTGAGATCTTTTGCTTTAACAATTAAATCATTTAAACGATTTCGATGATCCTTTAAAGAAAAATATTTATGAAAATAATTTTTGAGAAAATTAGATTTTTTTTTTTTCTTCAAAAAACAAACTTCAAATCCTGTTATGATACGTTTAATATAAATTTCATTTTTTGATTTTTCATTATGAAATGTTTGTAAACGTATTGAACATGTATCAATTAAATTTTGTAATGTTTGTTGACAAGATATAATTTCATTAGAATATTTTTCAATTTGATTTAATTCATTAATTTTTTTCTAAAAAAAAACAAAATGAAAATTTGTATGTGTGTTTTTTTTTTTTTGTTAATGTAAAAAGTTTTATTTTTACTTGTGTCGTTATTTTTAATTGTTCATGAAATGATGATAAATGTTGTGCACGTTCAATAACAGTTGTATCTGTTGATGATGATGGAGATAATAAATGTAAATGAAATTTTTCTACACTTGTTAATGTATTTGTCATATGTTGAAGACGTTGTCGAACTAAATCAGATGTTGTATAATCATGTAAAAATTGTTGATCAAATGTTTGTAATTGTTGTTGAATATTATTTAATGTTTGTTCAATTGTTGCTTGTTCATTTAAAACTAAACGTTGTTCTTCATCTTGTTGAGCTAATTTTTCCTAAGAAAGAAAAAAAAGATTTGATTATTTGAGAAAAACGAAAAAAAAAGAAAAGAAAGAAGATAAATATGTACTTCAAATGATTGAATATCGTTATTCAAAGTTCTCCATTTTGTTTGAAGTTGTTTTAATTTTAATTTAAGATGTTCACTACCTTCAATGGAAGTTTCAGATACGATTTGTTCATTACTATAGGATATACGACGAATTTCTTCTTCGAAATCATCTCGTTCCATTTTAAAATTCTATAAAAAAAAGAAAAATATTTTCAATAAATTTTTTCATGAATACAAATCATTACTTTAAGTTGAAATAAAACATCACTATGATTTTCTTGTTGTCGAATATGATGAAATGTTGTTTGAAGTGTTGATAATGTTTCGAAAAGACTATGTAAACGAAGATCATAATCAGCATGATGATGTCCAGCACGATTTAATGTTTCATAACGATGCTAAAATAAATAAATATTGATTAAGAATATTAATTTAAGATAAATTACTTGAATTTGTTGTTTAAGTGTTGAAAATGTTTGATCAAGATCGTCAAGACTAGCTTGAAGTGGAGCATCGTCAAGTGTTTTAAATAGACTATCAGATCGTTGTTTCATTTGTTCACGATGAGCTTCTTGAATAGCAAAATCATCCAATTTTTCCTAAACAAAAAAATTATTTTATTAAATAAAACAATATTTTCAATAATCTATGGAACTATTCGATGATCGTTTTTCTACAGTCCGGAAAAAGAGTTGAAAATTAAATAAATGATAAGAAGTGTACAATGAACTTTTATAGAATCAGTGTCAAAATATTGAGCAAAATCAAGCGTTTATCATCGATGAGTCAATCAACTAGAGTTAGAGTTCAGAGATATGCATCGCGCCTAAAAAAATGAGGCGGAAGTGGCATAAAGGATGGTAGCAGCCATCCGAAAATGCATCATACTTGTCAAATGGGTGTGGACGGTACACATCTCTGTTATAGTCTGTTTGGTTCAAACTTTTAAGATTTCGGTCTGATTAACTGAATATTTTTCAGACTCTGACTATACTCCAAACACTTTCATTAAGGTTTTTTCTACTTCGAAATTTGATTGTCAATTTGATAATAGAGAATTTTTTTAAAGGTTATTCGTATCTAGTAACTAACATAACCTAACATGTGTCAGGCAATCTTGAAGATGATTCTATAGTAATTAAGTTATAATTGAGGTTTGTTTTTAGAATAGCGCTTGTTGTTGAGTTCTATATCCAGATCCTGCCAAGATGGACTTTTTCGAGTTCGAATCTAATTCAACGGATTCTAACAAGATGTTCAAACAGGTCATCGATTTTGCCATAAGGCAGACAGAACATTTGTCTATTATATGTTTTCAAAATTTTCAATGAAAAACTTCGTTTTTTGAACGAAAATGCAGATAGAAAAGTAGACAGTAGAATATTTTTGCCATTCTGAAATGAGAGATGATCCTTCTAATAATCTCGCCTGAACATTGTAACTATATTATTCATTTGTTTAGTTTATTGATCCACTTGGCGAAGTTACTAATCGCATTTTCTCATCAGTTATTACTATCTTATATAATTCGTAGATGAATTCCTGTTGTTTTCTAATCCATATTTATATTGTGAAAATATCTCATGACTTGATATGTCGTCTTCAACTCGTTCATAGAATTCATTTGAAAACATTCTTATTCAAAAATCATTTTTTTTTGTCTATTTTTGATAGATACATACTGTATTGAAAGTTAATAAATGTTACGTAAAATTATATCTTCTTCAAAGACTTACAAGCATTCGTTTTGCAGCATCATTTTTCTCTTCTGCTGTACTAAGATTAATAATTAAATATTTATTTAATTGTTGATCAGTTAGTTTTAACCAATCATTCATTTGTTTAATATCTGTTACTAATTGTTCACATTCAAATTTAATTGTTGTTATAAATGTAAATGTTTGCATAGCTTTTTCTTGTAATAAAGATGAATTTTGTTCGAGATGCTTTAAACGTTTTTGTACTGATTCTTCTAATGAACTTTTTAAACCAGCTTCATATATTTTACTACGAATATTGGCAAATTGTTTATCAAATTCTTTGATTGATTGAAATAATAACTAAAGAATAATATTCAAAGATAAAAATGAAAAAAAAAAAAAAAATTTTTTTGAAATATTATTTTACTTGATGTTTATCAAGTTTAATGTCTAATTCTCTTCGATTATCTTTTTGTATACTTTCAAATGTTTCATAATTTGTTGTTAAATAATTTAAATGTCGATCTAATTCGACTAAATAAACATCAAGTTCTTGTTGACGTCCATAGAATAATTCATTTTCATTGATAATTGTCTATTAAAATTTATAATTAATATAAGACAAAATTTTAAAAAAAGTAACTTTTGGTTTTTTTTACTTCAAGTTCTTTTCGTGTTACTTGAAATCGGTTTGTCATTGATTCAAATGAGCGCATTAATTCAGTTGTACAATGACTTAAAAATGAATCAACCGTGCGTAAACGTTTTGACTTAATATCAAATTGATCTAATTGATTCTAAATAGGAGAAAAAAAAACAAAGCTGTTAGCACAATCCTTGCGTGATTTAAATATTAAACATCATCGCGTCTTTGTCTTTGGGAAAGAAGAAATTTCACCAAGATAGACTTCATTTTGAATATAGCTAGCTATTGTTAATGTAAAATGATAATCGTAATAAGGTGTTAGCCATAAATAGTACTACGATAAAAGAATTAAATATCTCTGTTTGGATTCACTCAAAACGGCTGTTTTTTTTTTTGGGAATTTTATTCAAAATATTTTGTTTTATACAATAAGATAAACAAATACTACTATTAAGTGTTGCTGTTGGCAGTGTTATGAGGACTGAGGAGGCACAAAGCTTCTTTGAAGATCGGATTTGTCCTCTGGGAATTAGTGGTAATTAAAAACATGTATGATGTGTCGATGCTCCCAAAAATAGATGTTCACCTTTTCGGAAGAAAAAAACTTGCTAAAACACTGATTGTTAGTATTATGAAAGGAATTTTACCTATTATCAAGAAAGAAAAAAACATGTGTAGGGTTTTCTCGAAAACTTTTAGTTTTTATCTAAGAGAATAATACAACGAACTTTATGAATGATCCTAATTGAGCAAATTTTCAAAACTAGTTTGTTTAAAACTCAATGATTACAAAATTTCGAATATTCAAAAATGAAACATTGGTATTTGCAAGGAAGTTAGTGAATAAAAAAAAAACTGCAATGGAGCACGAATTTTAATATTTAAACTATCTGGTTTTGAAAACTTCCTATGTACGTATTCATAAACTTTGTTTTCATTTCTTATTCTTATTCTTTTAGATAACAACTAAAAGTTCTCTATGAAATATTTCATATGTATTTTAATGGCTCACTCTGTATATAATACAGTGAATATGAAAGAAGACCAAAGGATAACTATCTTGAATTCAACAATTGTTTTAGATTAATAGAAACATACACGTAGATTTTGAATCCAAGTTAATGAAAGTATTTGATTATCATTTGATTGTATTTGTAATGAATCAAGAAATAGATTTATTTCATCGATACATGTTTGAACAAGTTCACATGCTTGTGAACGTGTACGTAAATCTTGTTGAATATTTGAAAATAATTCATTAAGTTCATTTAATTGAAGTTTTAATGTTCTAAATTATTCAATTTATGTATAATAAAAGTTAAATATTTGTTCTTTTTTTTAAATATTACCGTATTTGTGTTCGAATAGATTCCTTTTTAGTTGAATGAATAAATCCAGTAGTAGCAAGTGTTTCTAATTGTTTCATATTTTGTTCACATTGTATTCGACTCTGTTGAATATTCTGATTAAATAATATTCGATAGAAACAAAAGAAAATTCAAAATAGGAAATAAATTACTTGAATTGTATTAAGATGAATTAATGATTTTTGTTCTTGACGAATTTCGATTAATTGTTGTTGATAAGTTTCAAATGATGTATGAATTATTGATATTAAAATTTCCCATTGTTGATTGAAATTAACAGCTTGTTGAGTTCGTTCTAACTGACTATTACATTGACCGAGTAGAACAATGATTCTATTGATTAAATAAAAAGAAAAAAATATATTAGACTAGAAAATTATTGCAACAGAATTTTTGGATTATATATATATAGACTGAATGTTTTCGTGTATTTTTACTTTATGTCGCAAGACGAAATATCATGTAAGTAAATAAATAGATATCTGAACAATATATGCGAATACTTTTGTTTTAACATATCAGTCATTTGATGTCCGACAACATTCATATAATGCCTATTTCTACTAGCGAGAGCATAAATCAAACCGTCGGACGTTATTCGACTTCACATTATGGCTATGCAAAGATCCCTGTGACACTAAGACAAGCTTAAAAGGATTTGAGTTCATAACTTACTGATAAAGAGTTACGGCCATTCTCAAATGAAACTTTTACTGAGAGCAAGACACCTCTGAGAAACCCAAAAATAAGAGTTTTGATCTTCGGATTGTAGTATTTGTGTAAATACTAAATAGTGACTCACCAACACAAGGCCTACTGCAGCGCTGACTACACTAATATCCGCACTCGCTGCATATATTAACACACGCACTCTATCAACATATATCCTTTTTATAGTAGTGTGTTCCAATGGTTCAGTGAATATTGATGTCAGTGTGTACTAACTATACTGAAACAGTACTTCCGTATTTTGACATGAAACTTCGTCTATAGACAAATGTGAGAGATATTAGATAACTCTGAAAGTTTCAATGAAAATAAATATATCTTTCACCAAGTCTTCAATTAAAATAACAAAGAAAAGTTTACTGTACCAGGACATGACAAGCAAGTCTAGTTAAGAAATGAATATCTGCAGAAAGACATGTTCATTTTCGTTGAAACTCCCGAATTGTCCAATGACTATCAAAATCAAACTTTGAACAAAATTTCAGATCAAAACTGTTATTATCCATTTCTGAAAATAAGTCGCTTGGGCAGAATTCTTATAACTTTTGAAAGGAAAATGATAGAGACCTGGGATTTTCACCGTTGGATAGAGGAAATCAGGGCACGTAAGGCTAGGTAAAAAAAGATCTGTTATACTAGGTACGTGTTTATAACTTTTTAATAAATTTGTCGAAAACCGCTAAAATAAGCTTCAAATTTAGAAATNATTCCCGATTCGTAGTTCCCTTCAAATCCAGCTCTGAACATCCAATTCCTGGTCATTCCGGGTAATTCCAGAATTCGAAGGATATACTGAATAACGAAATGATCATCTTAAAAGATCTATTCGATATGAAAGCGGAATTCCGGAATTTGTGCATATCCGGCATCACTATGAAATGCAGGAATTCCTGGTCATTCCTGCCTATTCCGGAATTACAAATATCTCATGGATGGCTAAATGATCATTTATCGAGCTTAAATAAATGCAAAGCGGAATTCCGGAATTTGTGCATATCCGGAATCACTAGGAAATACAGGAATTCCTGGCCATTCCACATCGATGCAATTCCGGAGTTCTAAAACGGAATTGCATCTTTATTTCCATAGCAAGGTTTAGTTGAACATGAATACATCAGCCTGTGCAGGAATTGGCAGGAATTCCGTAAAATTCGATGGCATGGGTAGGAATTGGATGTCAGGAATTCCGGAATTGAATGATGATGAGTTTGATGGCCTTATGCGATGCAGGAGTGTGTAACTTTGCGGAACAGGATGACTGCTCGATGAAAAATCATTTAATTATCTCGGCAAGGAAATTTTCAATAGAACTAAAAATTTCGATTTTAAATTTAAAACAACAAAGTTTACATAATAGAAAAGATCGCGCGGAAATTCAAAAACTTATTTGAACATTTCCTCTGTAGCGGTAGGTCAGAGTCTACATGGGATGGCTGTTAATCAAACTTGAGAATTCTATAGGTTGTAGATAAGTTTTTTTTTTAAATAATGATAAAGAATCTTTAAGAGCATTTAATTAACTAATAATAAAAATATGGTTTACATAGATAAGTTATAAAAGATAGAAATAAAATGATTTCAATGGAGCGAAACCTACTCTGACATGAGTTGACCACATTGTTTGACGATATACTTTCTATTACTTCATCAAATGTCTGTTTCTTATTGCAATATTGAACTCAATTTTTTTTCGAAGAAAAATGAGAAGACATACAATCTTCTTTTTTTTTTGATAGTTACATCACTTTCTTTATGCCAACAAATGACTTTAATTTTTTTTTCTTTTCTTTTCACACTGTTCACATCTTTTGTAATATGATGTTAAACTTACTCTATCAGTAATAAGTTGATTAAGTTGATTCCATCTTTTTTCAATTGATAATTGTTCTTCACTAAGTACTCGTTGACCTTCCGATGAACTGTATTGTCTTAAATCATTGAATTGTTTTTGTAAACGATTATAATTTGATGTATGAGTATTAATATTTTCATTAAGTAACTTAATAAAAAAATAGTTTAAAAAAAACTGAGAATGAAATTATTTTTCTTCTTACTCGCAGTTCATTAAGTAATGTATTAATTCGATTAAGATCAAATAATTTATTAATATCTGTTGAACTTATATTATGAGCTCGTTGTTCAAATTCAAATAAAATTTCATCACGAAAAGAATTTAACTCAGACTCAAATGTTGTCCATGCACGATGTTGTGTATTATAAATCGATGCTAATTCATCAGATTTTTGTTCTATATCCATCCAACGTGTTGATAAGGATTTTATTAATGATTTTAATTCATATTGATCAACTACATTATGTTCTTCATCCTGTAAATTATTGTATATGGTTAACATACGACGACGTTCTTCAAGAAGTTCCTGTTGGGGGAAGAAGAAAAAAAACAATACGAATAGCAAACAAAAAAATCTTTTTGTAATTTTTTTACTTTATGTTTATCAAGTAATTGTTTAGCATCATTCGTATTCAAAGCACCAGTTTGATTAAAACGTTTATTAAGATAATATTCTGTTTGTTCAATCCATGGTTGTAATTGTTGAATATAACGTTGTGATGTTTGTACATGTGTTCGAGATTGTGCTACTTGTTCTTCTTCTCGATTTACTTTATTAGATGTTGTTTCAGCTAATGCACGTAATTGATTTAGACGATTTAAGACATTTCGTAAATCTTTTGGCCGAGAACGAAGTGATTCAAGATTTGAACCATCAGAATGTAAGACTGATAATGATTGTAAATGTCCAGAAAGTTCAATACGAATACGCTAAAAAATCGAAATTAATTTTTATTATTTTGTTTTAATTTGTTGGTATCATTCAAAAAGAAATTAAGCATATAGAAATTGATCATATAGGACTAATACGTATTCTTAGATTACAGATGATTCGAAACTTTGTGGTTTGGGCTACATAACGAATGCACCGAAAGTTGTGATTCGTTTGAAAATGTTTCCGAGGAGTCAAAGCCATGGGTTGTGGATAGTATCTATCATGACCGTGGCTATAACCGTAGCTGGCACTTGATTAAGAACAGTCACGGGCACTAATATAGTCATACGCCCAATAGGAAGCTGTGGGTCCGTTTCGAATTTGACTCGAGCCCAAAGTTTTCCTTTTTGTCGAACCCGAACTCACTTTTTTGTGGACTCGTCGTTCCATACATGAAAAAGTGAATAACAAAAATATCTATACGTTGACTTTTCCTGAGAGTAGCCAATAAATAGCTAAAAAAACTTGATCCTTCACTTACTCATGGACACACAATGTGTCAGATATTGATGAGAAAAACCAAAGATCTGGATCCGATCGGATCTGAGTACAAAGTCCTGTTTTTTTGTCGGATTCGGGTACACAAAAACGTGGACCTGCAGCTCCTTAATGTCTAGTGTCTATGTTGACTACATTACTTTTTCCATAATGCAAACAATTTCATATTCTAAACTTATTGCGATAATTTATTCATCTTTTCTAAATCAAAACAACCAGACATCAATCTTACAGGAGAAATTAAAGGTCAGGAAAGTTTTAAATTTTCCTCGAACAAATTACAATTGAGAGTGATAGTCAGTTGAAATTCTTCAATTTCATAATAAAAGTACATATTTTATTACAAATAAAATTAAACAAAATCACGCATGTGTTACTATTTCATTGAACCGAATCGAATTCATTAAAAATATAGCTTTCTTCATCTCGGCTAACAATCTCATCATTTTTATTCACTTTTGTCTTTATCTAAATTTCGTCACAATTAATATCGCTCAAGAAAAGAGATCACGATTCGCGATAGACTGAAAAGAATGACCGTGACGCCATGGGAGCATAAGTGAGACTGAAGTACTTCGCAGTACGAGTGAAGTACGGTACTTCACTTGTACTTCAGAATAATGAAGTCTCGCTTTTTCCTTTTTAGTCATGACTCACACTCACACTCACGACCCGTGACAATGATGTAACCAATGAGATGAGCTTTCGAAAGACCCAAAAAAATAGTTTAGACAGTCAATTTTTTCCTAAAATTTTGTACTTTTATTATTATAACTTGAAAGTAAACGTTGATGCCTTTATTAATATATAAGTTTGTAGAGAAGAAACTACTCTACAGATTACTTCAATTTTTGTTTCTCAATCATTAGACTGTTCTATAATAACTTCTTGAAATATAAAACTTTTTCCTACCTCCAACATTTGTTGTTTTTCTTCTAATGATCTTTCCCCAACCATTTTTGTATCAAACATTGAAGTAATATCTTTAAATAATGCTTCTAAACGTTTAAGTTCATCGTTAAATTGTACCCATTTATCATTATCAGATATTAAATCTTGTAAAATTTCTTCAGTTATTCGTAATTTTTCAAATAAATCTTCTTGCATATTATCATGATCAGTTTTAAGTGTTTGTAAATTTCCGTAAGGTAATAAATTATTTGATGATATTGTTTGTAAAACTTGTCCTGTTTCGTCAAGTAATGGTTTTAAATCAGCATAAGAATTTCGAAGATGCTAAATAAACAAAAAAAAACAATAGAACAGAAGATAGGAGGAGTGTGTGTTGTTTTTGTATACTTTGCAATTATCAATTTCATGTTGAAATGAAGTAATCGAATTTCGATTAGTATTTAATTGTGAAAGTTCATTATTTAATCGTTCAGTTTGTTGTTGGTAACGACGTTTATTCGCATCAAAACGTTCCCAAAGTTCAAGTAAACGCTATATAATAAATAAAACAAACAAAAAGAAATTAAAATAAGAAAATTCATTTGTTTTACTTGAAGTTTTTCTAATAAATCTTGTGCTGATTGAATTTTATCACTATAAATTTTTTGTATATTTTGTACATCTTGTTGAACATATTTTGGTACCATGGGTAATTTCATAAGTTCATTTCCACGTGTAACAAGTTCATTAACTTGTTGTGAAAAATTTTTTAAATTATTATAAATTTGTGTTTGCTCTTGTAATGTAATTCGAACATCAGATACATCACGAAAATTAATTGATACATTCGATATATTTATTAATGATCCATTTAATTGTAAACTATTTTCATGTATCATTTTAGCTGGAATTATAACTGAACAATATTGAGATGTTTCTTCAATAGAAATACATAATTGTTTATAACGTGATAAAAGTAAATCAAGTCGTTGACGATAACGTGTTGGTTCATCAGTAGCTTGTTCTTCGATTAGATCATTTAAGATTAATGGTAAAGATTTTGTATAATCAGATATAGTATCGATTTGTTGAAAATCATTCTAATAAATGACAAAAATTTCATAAATTATATTTTTTTTAAGCGTATAAAGTATGTGCGAGATTAAATAAATCGAACTTAGCATGTTCTAATATGTTTTTTTTTTGCAAATGAGCGAGAAATGTTTGTAAATTAAACTTTTGAAATATTTATTAGTAGTAGAAATACAAAATCAGTTTTATGATCTTGATTATATTTAGTTAAAACAATAGGTTTTTTCTTTTTTCAACATATGAAATATTAAAAAAAAAAAAGAACGCCGACATATTCATCGTGATGGTGCGACCACTTTTTTTTTGCTGGAGAGTATTGCAAAACTGTATCAAGTTGAACCGAATGTTAGTGTCCACAAAAGTAACATTCTAAAGAGGAAACCTTTCTAGATGTTAAATCGCTTTTCGACCCAGACAATATTCATTAGATGAGTAATAGAAAAGTCTAGAATGGTTTAGTTTTCTGGATCTGCATTCTTGAGATATCGAAATTTTTGTTTGTTTTTTTTTTCAACAAAAAACTGTGGTCTCTCTCAAGCTACGTGGAAAACCGAAGTTCATGTTTCGCGATTTCAAACTTTGTATGCCGAACAAACCATCTGTCTATTATGTCTTTTAAGATTGTTAGTAAAAAACTTCATGTTTTGGCCAGAAATGCAGTTATAAAAAAGACTTTCCTACTTCATATTTTTATTGTCATATCTATTCAAAACCTTCTTCATCAAACATAGATGTTTTTTTCTAAATTTTCATATTTCCAATTTATCGATTCTCTATCAACATACAACATACTAAACTAATAAATGCTTCGTCTAATTTTATTTGTATGATTCCTTTATCTTTCTATTAATACACTCTTCTATTTCCATTTAAATCTCGTCATAATATTAGCATAGTAAAAAACATAGAGATCGCTACAGGCATGTCAGTCTAAGAAAAGCACATAACAAGGACAAACAGATAAAAAGGAATCTATAGTCCGTTATTATTTTAAGAAAATTCTATGATAGTCAAACAATCTCTTAAAAAAAAATTTTTAACAAACCTTAAATTTATTAACAAGTGATTTATATTGTTCCAAGGGTATTTCAGTATTTTGTGTATTAGTCATTGATCGTTCAATAGTATTCATCCAAGTTTCAACATGATGAAATCTATAAGAAAAAAAAAGGAATAGAATATTTTATTTTTGTTAATTTTCTTCTATATTAAAATTTACTTTTCTTCAAATTCTTGCCATTTTTTGGGTACAGTTTGAAGTTTTCTTCTAACATTATCAATTTTAGTTTGCATATGTGTCCAATAATTATTTAATTTAATTGTACGTTGATCAATTTGTTCATTATCATGAGTAACTAATGTTTGTTCTTGTTCTTTAATACGAATATCATTTGCATATGTATGTAAATCTTTCATATGTATTTCCATTGTTGGACAAAAATTATTTAATTGAAAACGTTCATTATGACGTCTTAAAATTTCTGTTGTATCATGTTGACGTTCTAATTGTTTAAGTTCATCATTAAGTTCATTTTCAGCTTGTTCTAATTCTTGTACAATAATATGTTCAATACGTTCAAATTGTAAACGTAATAAACGTATTGGAGCATAACATATGATTGTTTTCCATTTTGATTCAAGTGTATCCATTAAAAATTGTATTTCTTTTTGTTCTGTTTTATCTCTTATATGTAATAATTCACGACCAGATTTAATAAAACCATGTAAAATTTCATCATCAAGTGTTTGAAAAAACTCTTTATGTTTACGTATAAGATAGACATAATCATCATGTTTTTCTTTAGCAATATTTTGTGCTTGATCTATCCATTCTTCTAGATGTTTTAAACGTTGATGAAAATCTTTCCATAATTGAGAATGTTGATTAAATTCTTTTTCCCAATAAGATACTTGTTGATTTATTTGCTAAAAGAAAAATTTTAGAAAAAAAAAAAAATAATAATAATTTTCTTTTTAAATTAAAATTACATCAAATGTATCAATTAATTGTCGATATTGTTCATCGACTGGAGAAAAATCTAATGGAATTAAATTTTCATTAGATTTTTTCATGGTTTGAATTAATTTTGCTTTGCTTTCAAGTAATGATTGATAGTAACCAATTTCAGCAAAAAAATTCTATAAAATAATTAAGATAATTAATAATAAGATTATCAATATATTTACTCTATGTTGTTCAAGAAAATCTTCAATACGTTTCACTGGTACTTGAATTGAATATCGACTAAATAATTGTTTAGCTTCATTAAACCATTGTTGACATTTTTGTAGACCATCTTCAAATTTTTGTAAATGTCCAAGCATAATTTTATTTCGTTTTAATGTTGACGGTAAAGATTCTTGTACTCGACGTAATTTATCAAAACATGTTTGTAAAATCGAATTCATATCACTTGTTGCAAATATTTCACCACTTTCACGTGCTATTATTTGACTTAATTTCGAAAGAGCTTGAATATTTTCATTGAGCATATCAATTCCTGATTGTGCTTTCTAATAGAAAACCAAAGAAAAAACTGAAAAAAAAAAAAAAAAAAAATTTTTAACTTACATAAAGACGATTTTCTTGATCTTTAAGTGCTTTTATTGTACATGGTAAATACGCTTGTATTTCGGCATCAATTTTATCTAATGTATCTAATATATTCGAACGACCAGCATAAAATTCATCACGTTTTTTCTTAATTGATTCACCGTGTTCAAATTGTTGAACTCGATCAAATATTTCTTTCCATCGTCGATTAATAAATAACAATTTCTTCTGCAAAGCTGCAGAATTTTCATCATCACATACAGATATTAAACTTTCGATTGATATACATAAGTTTTCATGTATTTCAGTCCAATGATTTATATTTGCAAAATAATTCTATCAATACAAAGAATTATAAAAATTCGAATATTCGACAAAATTTCAAAAGAAAAAACGATAATTTCACTTCTTCAAAGTCTTTTTATGCAATAGTTATATTTTTATTTGAACACTACAATAATACACTTTAAATTCTATAGAATAGAATAGAATACGCGTAAGATTACCATAGACAGCTCTTTTCATAAAAGAGTCCCTGTTACGTAAATACTTTTCGTTAAATTAGCTATCAAAGATATTAATACTTTTAATAGTATTTATTTCATATCTATGAGTGTACCCTTAGGGTATCGACATCATATATGATCTCTTTGGTATGTACCATTTTCTAGATGTGACATGGAACAATGTAGTTTATTCTTCTTTTGGTTGAATTCATTTGTAGTACGTGACATAAACAATACAATAAGTCAGAAGTCTTTTCATAAATATTTATAAAAAGTTTTCTGGTTTCTCTTGAAAGTAAACGTTCATGCAATTCAAATAAGACTATTTGAATGAGCACAAGAATTTTGAAAATTGAAATAAACTTGTAATGGTTTTACAAACTATTAAATAGAGTTTTATAGGATAATATTGGTTCCTAAAATGTCCATTTTATTTATATCATTAAATTTAATATTGATCAAGTGACTGAAATCTATTTTCGAGTTTATGAAAATCGTTTGTACATTTCTGTCTGTCGGCTAGATTCTAATTTGGCTTTGTCCAACCGAATAAATAAATGTTTTCGACAAACTCAAAGAATTCAATGATCGAGGCAAGTCTCCCAACTGATTAATCGCTTGTGAGTTGAGACTGTTTGTATTGTGTCGAAGTAAATGAACTATAAATGCCTTGAAAACAGTTAATATCCTTAGCTTATTGCTACCGAGATACAGCTTGAAATTTTGCGTATAGGCAGGTCTTAGGAAGGCACCGTTTTCAGGGTTTCTGAAGAATAGAATTTAATGAGAATAGTTTCAGACGTTGATATAAACGGTAGATTCAATGTTCTTATATTAGGATCGAAGCAAATCAAAAGATCTGAAACTAAATTCATAAAGTTCTACCCTATACAAAGTTTCAAGTCGAAATTCGAAAATTAGTTTTCACAGTGTTCCTAAAGGAACCAAAACGTTCACTTAAAAACTACCGTAAAAGTATAAAATCTCGGTCAAGGCTCTCAATAGCTTTTAGAAATGGAAAGTGGGTCTGCTGGGCAACAGAGTCCGTTAAGACGGTCCAGATTCGAATAATATTGGACCCAACAGGCTCTACTTCGCAAACATTTTTTTGACTACAGCTCAAAATCTTCGCAAACATGACGTAAAAAATGAGAGAAGACTAGCCCGCCCCAATTCTTCCCACATCGGGATCTATGATTGAAACACTTCTCTCGTCAGATATACGAGTGATTCTTACACATATTTTTTTAGTCTATAGAAAAACACTTTAGAAATTAGATTTTTTACTTTTCCTCATATTCAAAATAAACCTATAATCTGAAAATACAGTTAATTTTCTCTTGAAGACTGTATTTCAAAAAGAAAAGCTATTATATATCAAAGTGTTGTAGTCTTCTTCTTCATCATTTACAGGAATACTTATATTCGATATGAATTCTTTCAAGCACCATTTATTGACATAATTTATTTCAAGGATAGAAAGAAATTGAACTTACAAATTTTTCTTCTGATGAACGTAGAAGCACTTGATCACCTTCAGTTAACCATCTTTCGAATTGATCATAAGAACTAAGATAAATTTTCCAATTATCTATTGTTTCTTGTAACATATGTTCTTTTGTGTTAAGATCAAGAGCTGCACTTTTCAATGTTTTACGAACATATTCACAATATGCATTAAAACCTTTCGATGTTTGATCATCTTTTGATTTAAACACAAAAAAAAAAAATAACAAAAGGAAAACTTCATTTATTAAATTAAACTAAAGTTCGTACCTTTCTTTCGTAATTGACTATAACTTTGTGCTTTACGTGTTAATTCCGGTAAAAGATTTTCAATAGTTACAATCATTTTTTCATCATGAATTTTTCTCTAGAAAATAAATAAATATTTTTTTAAAAAAAATTTGTCTTCTTTTTTTCTTCTTCTTATCATACTTTATATTCATTAAATAATTGTTCTGTTTGATGAAGATTTCCTTGTTTTTTATTTAAAATTTCCATTAAATGTTCTAATTGAGCAAAATATATTTGTACTTTCCAATGTATTTGTTCGAAATCTAAATAATGTCCACGTTCATCACTACTATTCATAATTATATTAAGACGTTCATCTAAATTTGTTAAATGTTCTATTGATACTTGTTGATTAACTATAGATGGATCACGTTTTAAACGTTGAAATTTTGTTGAAACTACTTCTTTATCCGTAAAAATAGCCTTAGAAAAAAAATAAAAAAGATATTTCATTTAAAAAGAACGTGAATAAAGATTCTTACTGTATGTTCTTCATTGAGTTGTTTAAAACGTTGAAGATTTTCTTCAGGTGCTGTATTAGATGAATCAAAATTAATTCCTCGTGCTAAAACATCTTCTGCTCTATAGATCCATTCAGCAATTTGACGAAGATCCCCTGGAAGATTTGTATCTAATTTGTGTCGCCATCGATTCATTCTATATGAATAAAGAATAAAAAAAAAAACTTGTTCGTTTAAATAAAAAACAAAAAAAAGGAAAAAAACGAAAGAATTATAATGTTCTACCTGTGAGTTATGTCGTCAAATTGATCTTTTAATTCTTTTAATTTTTCACCGGGAAAATGTGGAGATTTGGACTCTTTGCGTTCGAATGCTTTCCATTGCTTTTGCTTTTCAACAAATTCTTTAACTTGTTTAACGTATTCCTATTAAGGTCAATGAAGAAATATTTTTTTCTTAATGGATATAATTGTGGTTTGTTTGTAATTCGGTAGCACTTTTTTTTTTTTACTATTACTTCATACAGGCATCCATTCTCTTAGTTGTATACACTTCTTATTCTCTCTCTCTCTCTCTTTTTCTCTGTTGCTCTATATGAACGGTGAAGGCAAACATTCACACATAGAATGAGTAGTTACTTTATATTCAGCTTGAATGTCTATGATGGGTGCTTCAATAACGTGCGTCAAACGTTGTCGAGTGTCTGCTAACCAACGAAGAAGTTCACCATGTTCTTTGTTTATCGATCCGAAAGGCTGAAACGAAGAATAAAAGAGAGAATTTTTTAAACAAACTTTCAGATGAACAAACACACATGACACATACCAAATCAGGGAATCGACGAGAGAATTGAGCTATATAAGTCATAATCGATTTTTCGTCTGGTTTGGTTACATCAACATCTGTAAAAGAAAGACAAAAGAATAACTATGTGATGTTTATTTTATAATATTAAACTTGAACTTTACTCATTATTCGTTCACCTCATTTCTTAAGATATTGAATGAGTTCACTCACAAACGCATCTATTCTCTCTTTTTTTTTTTTTTCAAATTTCTACTTATGTTATTTTAATAGAAGATTTGATTTATATAATAAAAAAGAAAAATGAGACAAACCTTCAGCATCAATTAAACGTGGTACACCAAGGTGTTGTTCAGCAACATTGAATGCATTGTCTAATCGTTCACGAACTTCCATTCTTGAAACACGATGTAGATCAATTAACTCAGGTCGAATTGAATAAATTAATGCATTAAAAGCAAGACCATCACGCCAACTCGACGTAAAATCTCGTACATCCAATCCATCGATTTTGCTAATAAAAAATAAAAAAATAAATATTATTATTTATTCTAAACATTTAGATTTTGTTTTTTAGCAAAAAGAAGAAGAAAGATAGGGCATGTTCATGCATATTAGCATATATATGCTCACCGAAGTAGTTCAGATGATGAAAAACATCTAAATTTGTTTTTATAGAAAAATATTCACATACGAAACAAAAAAAAAACAACATGTTATATAAAAATGATTAATAACATACCCTCTTGTCTTTTTTCGAACCCATTCAAGTAAAGCTTCTTTGGCTTTACTACGATTATCTTTTGAATCTCCATCGAACATATTTGAATCTTCAATCTTAATATATAAAATGACAATTAATCAAACATTAATTTTCTTAAAACACAAAAAAAGTAAATGAATTAAAATTATAAATTATTTAGAATTTGGGTCTCTTTTTAATGTTTTTATTAAACGGAATAGTTTTTGTTTGTTGTATGATTGATCTTGTCAAACATTTTTTTTTCTATTGATTTTAATAAAATAATTCACAAAAGGTTTCATAATTGTATATTATAATTTTTTCAAAACAAAGAAGACTTTGATTTCTTAGTTGGTTTCTAATTATTGAAGACAGAAATTAACTCAGTTCGAACAAGAATAAAATCTTTCGTGTTTAACACGACATTAGTAAACTTTTAGTTCCAATAGAAAAAACATAAAGATTTCTTACAATTAAAGGAGAAAATTGCATGTATGTACCTAGTCAAGGCAACTATGGAAATACGATTGCAATATTCAAATTTTTTTTCGAATAAAATTATCTATGACGAATAATGTCACTGTGAACATTTATGAATATTTGAAAGGGGAAAAGTACTGTAACTGATTAACCGATTTTGAATCGGGACCATGTGCATCATACAGACTCTAATGAGCTATGAATACCCTGAGAAGAGTTCAAATTCTTAGTTTATAGATGTAGTGATACGACATTTTAAGAATTTTTCTGCAACTCAATATCGTGATCGTCCTAAAGGGAAAATGATTTTTTTTTCGAATTTTGACTTGAAATTTTGCATATAGACTGGTCTTAATCCATAATAGTTTATTGCGAAAGTTTCAGATCGTTTCGTTGTTTCTATCCCATAGTTAATTTTCATTAAGACTTGTCTCTATGATAAATTTCAAATTGAAATTCAAAAAAACAACTTTTCTGACATTTGTGATGAGAACCATAGTATTGAGTTAAAAAAAAATAGTCAAACTGTCTTATCATTGCAGCAATAAACTAAAGATCAGAATCCTTCTCCATGTACTTAGAACTCATTAGGGTCTACATAATGCACATAATCTCGACTAAAAAGTGATTAATCAATTAAAGCATTTCCCTATTAACCAATATCGACCAAAATCTTAATTATTATTTTAAATCCAAAAAACATAGCACTATTCATAAATTGAGAAATTCTTTTATTTATTATAAATATATTTCACATTCTTGGAGTAGGCTATGCATTTCATGAAAATAATAGTTCTTCTGAAAAACAAAAAACATCATTGATATCTTTAGTACAAGTAGGCATCCATAGAACTAGAAAAATTCTAAAAAGGTTATGTCCATGGATCATTCTATTGAATTTTCAGTTGAAAAGAATGTTCCTTTGTCGAGATATTGAATTATCATGTACACTTGATTTTGATGGCAAACGACAATTGTTTTTCGTAATGCAATATCTTGATAAAGGATTTTTTTCTTACCTGAAACTTTCAGGATATTTTCAAAACCATCAAATCTATCTATCGACGAAGTTTCAAGTCATAAATTCAATAAAATGGTCATAGCTCGACTATACAGACCCGTGGGCATAAATCCGTTGAGAATTTTTCTAGACTTACTAAAACCTGCTTTTGAATCCAATATGAGTTCAAACGGTGGATACAAGTTCAAATAGTTCCCTCATTAAATTTCATTTGTATATTGTCAGTGCGTGTCATTGTGATAATATTATTCTATATTGTATTAATTGATAATAATAATTTTCAATTATATTAACTAATCTTCTTCAACTCCTATTGATTTGACAATACAAACAAGATTTCAAAGGATATATATATATATAGATAGATCATCGAACATCTCTGAACAACTATTCTTATTGAAACGTCTTACAGATGAAAAATCCAATTAAAACTCTGCAAATGTAAAATGTACTTTTCTTAACGTCATATTTCTTTCCGTGCTCAAATCTTCCAAAAATCTAATTTATTTTAATGACAAAAAATGTTTCGTAAAATTTTTCTGATTCATTTTTTTTTTACCTGATAACATAGAATTAACATCCAAATTAATCCCAAAACAATAGTTGGCTTTCCATCGACAATATCCATTGGACCTATATTGACTAGTTTTATCTATAATCACAATAAAATATGAAATTCAACAATTATTTATTATATAACAAATAATTACTTTTCGACTTCCGAGAAATTTCAATGCATTACTAACATTACTAATATAATGAGCTCGTTTATTACCTCGTTCCATAGGCTACAATTAAAAACACAAAATAATACATTGAAAAAATTCTTTTCTTTTTCTAACTTACTAATGTTTGTCCAGAAAGTACTTCTAATAATGCAATAAGTTTTGTTCCATCTTTAAGATCTTCGAATAGATCACTAATAAAATAAGGTGGTTCATGTAATGATAAATAAATATTAACCCATTTTGTAAAAGTTTTCTTTTGAACACGTTCTTGTTCATCTAATCAAGCAAAAAGAAAAACATATCATATTATATAATATCAACTCAGATTTTATTTCAACAAACTTCTTTACATAATTAAAAAAATACAAAGAACACTCAATCGATTCTCATGCATATCAAATGAAATTGTAATAGATATTATACTACCATTCGATAATCGTTTAAGATAATAACATGCTGATTTTCGAATAATGATAAAAAAAAATTCTTTTCATTTTCTATTTTTTTTTTTTTTGCGAAATAATAAAAGAAAAGTTTTACAAGAGTTTTTGTTTTAAAGCACATGTATGTAATTTATTGTTCGTACGAAATATTAACAAATATAGCTTACTTTGAAGTGTATATATACTAATTTCCAATTCACTACGACTTGAAATTGATCGTGGACTAATGACACTTGTTTCTGGAATAATACCTGTTGTGCGAGATGCCGTTGGGGAAAAAAGTGATCGAGTTGGGCTATTCATTGTGTTTTAGTCTTAAATATAAATTTTAAACATCAATAAAAATTTACGATACAATATGTACTAAAACAAATAACAATGTCAGAAAGAGAATATACACAACATTTGTACATAGAAGAGAATAATAAAATGGAAAAAGAACTGTTGTTTTACAACACAATGAAAGGAATAAACCACATATATTTGTTTGTAACGAACATTCTAGTTGTGCATCAGTGACAACATCTCAAAAAAAAAATGAACATACACATACATACAACATTCTTTCTCATTCTCTTTCTTTTTCTCTCCTCTCTTTACTTGTTACAACTAATTGAAAAAAGTCTCGAAATTGACTTTCGAGGAATATGTAATGTGTAGTGTTCTGTCGTGTACGATCAAAAAAACATATTCAGCATTTGGCTTCTTTATAAGACATGGTGAAAATTTATACACAATATGAGTATTTTAAAGAAGTCGGAGAAGAAAGTGAGAATCGAAGAGAAACAGTCGAACAATATTACGTTTATTGAACTTTCTGTTTCTTTCTTGTTCCATTCTTCATCGTCGTCAATTCTATCATGCACAGTTCACAATCGGTTTTTTTTTCAATGTCACGCAAACTCTATGATTCAATCTCTTACACAGTTTTCTATAAATGTAGCACGCACTTTTCTGACTCATTTGTCTATGATTTATCTCTCAACAGTATCCAATAAGAGACAAGCAATAGTGTATCTTGTTTTTTTATGTATCGTAATTGAAACATGTAGAGAAGATTTTCTTTTTTTTTTTTTCTTATGCTTATGTCTGCTTGCTTCAATCAAATACATATACGAACAAAAAATTCGTTTCTATTACATTCCAACGACAAAGACAAAAGGTAAAACACTTGACAACTCAAGTATATGCATGCGGTTTTTAATGCAGTATCTTCATCTTTTTTTCTTCTCTCTCTCTCTCTTCGTTGCTTGTCCATAATAATGGAAGAAGAAAAGAAAATGAGAGTTACAGTTAAAAGCATTCATACAAGTTTTTTTTTTTCTCACTTTTTCTTCTGTGTATAATAGTTGAAAAGAAAATGAAACAAAATAAAAACTTCATTATTAATTTTCACATAGTTGAAGAAAAAGAAAAAGAAACGAAAATTTTCTTTTTCTTCTTTGAGTCAACAATACAGAAATATGTTTGTATTTGATATTAAATAAAATGTGAAGTATTACTATAAACATGAAATTCAAATTAGAACAATACTTAAAATAGTAATTCATATGAATAACATTAATTTCAAGTTTAGTATAAAAATATTTTTTTAGACAACCTTGTCGAATAAACAAATGTTTGTTAATTGATAAAATGATCATTAAATATAACATGTCGATAAAAGAAGTTTTTTACGATATAAATCAAAAGAAAAATGAAGCATTCAAATAATAAAACAACAAGTGCTTGTCTCTATCGAATTTGTTCGTTAATAGCATTTTCTATATAATGTCTTATGCTCGACCTTGGTTTAAGATTTTAGATGATAAAAAATTCGACACATTACAAACGTTGAAATTTGAATACTGAAGTTTCAAAAAAAAAGAATTCAATGATTTTTTTTTCTTATCTAAATATCTTTTTCTTTGTATCGGTCGTGGCAACTATAAAAGTTGTTCTTTTAGAGACGAATTATCGATAGTTATACTAAATAACGATTATAGAAAAAGGTGATTTTTCACATTTATAATATAAATATTTGTCTAATATTATATTATTGAAATAAAGTATTAAGATCTAGGTAAGTTATTCAGTATGAAACAAGTTTCTGAAAAAGGATTATTGATTACAATAATAACAAATAAAAAGAATTCTTGCTAATCTAAACGAATAATTGGAATATGTTCCTATAGAAATTGAAGAAGTTTATGTACGCGAACATATTATAAATAAAGATATTCGACTGATATCTTCATTGCTAACTTCGTAGGAGTATTCCATCTATTATAAAACATAATAAAAAGAAAAGAAATCATCAAAAAAAATTGATGAACTCCAATAATTTTCAAGTGAAAATGTTGTTTTATGTTATAAATAATTCTACAATGCCCACAAGAAAAACATATTTGTTCCCTATTTTTTCTAAAAATGAACGAATGGATTATAAAGTTATGGTACTCTATAGTACTCTCTATTGGCTATCGATTATAATATAAAACGATTCAAAGACGACATGTATAAAAGATAATACCTATAGAAAAAGATGTGCAAGTTGTTTTATTACGAACATCTATATGTCTGTTTATTACTGAACTCCTCCTCTTCAGAGTAGAAATGTACGGTATGAAAACTCACATCGGCCTTAGTCAGTGAGCGTCTATTGAGTGCTTTTGCTAAATAAGTGCATCAAAATGTATTTGTTGTCAAGAAGCATAAGTTTCGTGTTAGAACTTTAATTGGACAGTAAAGAGAAATCATATTCTTGGCTTGCATATCTCAAAAACTTTGAGTTATAGAAAAATTTTTCTACCATATCATATGATCTTCTAATGCATGATCCTTTGATATAAGATGACGTCTTATTTGAAAGTAGGAAATTTAATAAAGTGTTTCAATAACATTCAAACAAATTTTAGATCTTGCCATAATATCTGTTAATCATATAAAATCTGAGAAATAACTTTCTTAGTGTTTTAAGAAAAATTATCGATGGAATAAGTTTTGAAGTTCACAATGGTTATGTACGATTGATAATGTTACTAACTTATAGATTAAATTAACCCATCATTAGTCTCGTTATGCTTAACGAACTGTTTTAGTCTATGAAATAAAAATGTTTCTCAAGAACTGAATACAATAGGAAAATAAAACTGATAAGATAACAGTTGAAAATATCACACCTGACGTCATCTTACTCTGGTAAGGAATTAAAACATAATCGAACCATTGATATTTATTAAGTGACACATACTGTTTTGTAAAATAGTAAATACTGAATGTTTTAGTAAACAAAATAGGCTTAACCAGACTTAATAAAACAGAAAAAGATGACAAATAACTGCACTATAATTCTTTATAGATTACCTATGAGTACATTTTTTTTATAGTAGAGATATCATCGCAAATTCATAATTCTTAAGAAAGTTGACCACAATTTCATTGACATGAAAATGTTTATTTTTTAATAAGAATGGATATGTACTCTTGAGAATCACAAAATAAATTCAATAACTCAATATAAAGTCATCATCATTCGAATTACAACCTAAATGCCGAAAAAGCAAAATCAAAGCAGAAGTTCTTTTTTTTTTCATGATATATGTTTAGATAGAGTGTGACGAGCTGACTTAGAAGAAAATTTTCAATTTTTTATAATCGACAAAATTTCCAACTTTTTTTCTTTCTTGATATTTTGAAAACTGTTCGTTTCAGATTTAGAATGAAAAAGTGAATTTAGCACACTTATGTGTAAATGAGTTTTCTAAATTCAGTTAAACCTGAAACAAGTTTTAGAAATTTAAAAGGAGTAAAAAAAAAATTGTAAATTTATCTGTTATCAAAAACTGACCTGCTTTTTCATAAGAAGTAGGTCATCTGAAAGACCTGAAAATTCTCACCTAAAATATCATTCGAACACATTGAAGGTTCACATATTCTTGATCAGCTCGTCATGCTCTATCCAACCACATATAAAGACAAAAAGAACTTCGACCTTTAATTTTACATTTCTGACATCTTACCTAGAAATGTCCCATTTAATATGACATAAATTTTATTGTATGACTGAACTATTTTTCTTCTTCAATACTTTGTCCAAGAAAAAAAAAAAAAGCTTTTAACAAGATGAAAATATGCTATTTTATTATCAACTGAAAGGTTGTGGTTTGTAATAAAAAGGAATTGTTCAATGTAATGTATTAGAACACAAAAATCGCTGCATGATAGACTTCAACATTCATTAACAAAATGGTCAATTTATTTCATTTTACTCCAAAGTATTTAATATTGTTCTTATCGTAATTTATTTCCTATCAAATGAAAAAATTCTTTTTCTTTTTACCAACGGTGTTCCATAACAAAACCGGTTAGAGGTTTGTTTTATTTCAAAAAACAAAAAGAAATTAACAAACAATAACAAAAACAATTTTTTTTTTTCAATAATGTTTTCTTATTACTGCTTTTAATTATTGAAATAATCTTGTAATGATTCACCTAATGTTGATTCCATATCAACAATAACACGATGACATGTTTTTTCAACTTCATCATTTGGATCTTAAGAAAAAGACAAAAAAGAAATTAATTAAATTTTTTTTTTTATTCGAAAGTGCTGAATTTCATTCTATACCTTCCATTAATTCAGCCATAAATGGTATAGCTTCTGGTAAAAGACTTTGATAATTCATTCCTAATTTTCTTGAAAGTTCTTGTAAAACATTTAATGTAGCTAAACGAACTTTTGATAAATTTGATCTTGTTTTTAATAAAATTTGATAATGTATTTGACGCCATAATGGTTCTTCTTTTGTTGCTGATGTTAAATTAACAATACATAATGAAACATGTTGTTGTATCCATTGAGAATAATCATCATTTGATGTAAAATTTTCTAACTAAAAATTTAAATAATTTTTATAATTATTAAAAAAAAAAAAAAAAAAAAATACTTGATCAACAATTGGTATCATAAGTGATTGAAAACGTTCATCATTTATAAATCCTACACTATCAAATAAACATAAATTTGATATTGTACCTAATTTTCCATTAATTAATTCAATTTTATTTTCTTCAGCATATTTTTTACGAAAATTTATTTTAAATTCATTTGATATTTCTTCAGTTTTTGATGAATTTAATTGATTAAGAATACTTGATGCATGTTGAATTATATGACCAGCAAATAATGTAAATAAACCTTTTAATTTTTTTGAAAGTCTATATTTTTAACAAACAAAAAAAAAAAATATTATTTTTAAATAGAAATAAAATTTCTTACATAAATGTTAAACGATAAAATGTTAATGTATATTCTGATGGTGGTTCATTATAAACTGCCCATTCATAAATTGTATAAAATAATGGTCGAAATGTTTCTTCTGATAAACGCATAACAAGTTCCGAAAAACAATCAAATATATAATCTTCATATATATTCATTTTATTAGGTTGCATTTTTTTCGTATGTATGTTACGTAATGTAAATAATTTAAGAAATAATTGTTTAAGTAATGTATAATTATTACTTAAATCATCTAATGTTGCTATAGATAATGATTGTTTTAATAATGTCATTAATGGTTCAAGATCATTTAATTGAAATTCATTTTTATCAATAACATCATATAATATTGGAAATAAAAGACGATGTGGAACATGTAATGCTATATGAGACCACATTGTTCGTAAACGTTGATCATTTGTTGATGATGGATGTGTTAATAAAGTACATGTCTTTAATTAAAAGACAAAAAAAAATAAATAAATAATAAAAATTTTTTGAAAATTATTATTTTTATTTTACTCGTTTAATAATATCAGGTAGATATGGTGTAAGATAATTGCATAAAGTTCGAACTAATTTTGATAAACATGCAATAACACTGGTAAGAAGTAATTCATTTCTAAAGTATTTAAATTATATTTATTTTTTTTTTTATTATTAAACTAAGAATATTTTTATTTTAGAATAATATTAAAAGCGTCTAAATTTTTCTAAATTGGAATTTGATCTTTATGATATGGAATATAATAAAACATTTTCAAGTTCTACATGATTTTTTCTTTCAATCGTATTAAACTCTATTTAATTATAAAGAATGATAAGAAAATAATTTTACTATATCGGATTTGATTGAAAAAGAACGTATCTCATCTTATTGATCAATATATATTCTAATGGTTTGTGTAAAAGTTTTCTGAACAACATTTTCCTTCAGTTATCGATCAATTACTGGAGTTGAGTAGAAAATGTAAAGCATTTAGGTTAGGATAAGAATTTTGTGCTCTTTCCGAATATATGTTCATAATTTGTATGAAACTCATAGGTTACGAATTATGAGTGAATGTTTGAAAGTTCTGAAAATAAAGTTTAGACGGGTTTCAATGAGCAAAAAGCCTAATCAGACACTTGGTAAAAGACATACTCATGTTTTCAAAACTTTTTAGTTTCCAGACTTGGAAAATCAGTTCGATTGTTTTCGAAAAATCGCTAAAAGACTTTCGGTTCTTAAATCACTTTGTAGAAAACTATCTCGGTCTTTACGTTATGAAAACAAATTAGTAATAGAATGTATTATTTCTGTATAGGATGTATATTATAGAGTTCAGCAATCTGATCCTTCAGACGGATTCTATGTTTTTCATAACACATATTCCTGTCCTCTATTTTTTCTCTATGTAACATATGAAGAACGGTTAAAAAGAAATCTATAGGTTTGTATTCGAAATAATACGCAAAGACACGTGAAATTTCTTAGTACATAAAATACTTGTTTTTTGCATATTTTTAATATTTTGGTTGTTGTTGGCAGTCTCAAGTAATCGATTTGTTGAAAACAAACGAATGTTATTTCTCGGATCGGATCCGGATTGAAAAAATTGAAATCATGCGAAACTTCGGTATATAGTTTAAATGTTGACAAAGAAAAAAGAACATTTCAGAATAAGATGTAGTCAAGTAGAAAGCAGTGAAAATAATTTGAATTGGGCACATTCCGAACATACCTTCAGAAATAGTAAAATATTTTGATTTTTATCTAATACTTTAAATTTTTTGCTAACCATCATAATCGGTCGAAAGAAAAAACAAGAAAACGTGGGCATCTCTTGTTATATTTAATGGATGCTTTTCAAACTTTTTTTATTACATACTTGATAACATTATCTGATTGATACGTTTGTAAGATATGTGGCATAAAAGATGGTAATTCGGCAATCGAATAAATTTTTAAGGTTGCACATAATTCTGCCAAACATAAGTAAATACTTGCACTTAAATTCGAATGTTGTCCACTATCGATAAGACGTAAATATTGGCAAATAAATGTTAACGACTAAATATATAAAAGAAAAGAACATTGTTTCTTTCATTTACACATCAAAGTTTATTATCTTTTTTGCGTTGACATTTTCTTGTGTAGAAAATGAAAAAAGCAAAACACTGAAATCTCTATCTGTCTATGACGTCAATATTTTTTAGTTATCTATCATGAATCATAATATTTCAATAGAAACAAAAAATCTACGATGAAAAATGTTTCATCATCATATCTAACATTTATGTCTCATTTCTATTACGTAGAGTTCAAATCAGTTCCTTTTACACCGTGAATAAAAGGTGTATCTATTAAAATTAATTGAATTTCTTTTTTTAGATGAAACTCACTTTTTCAATATACAAAAAAGAATATATACACAAGCATAACACAATATAACTTCTCACCTGAATGCAACAAGGTAACTTTTACGAAACAGAGACGTTTTCACCTACTCCCCCCCCCCTCTAAACTATCAAAACGAATAATTTTCATTGGTAAAAATAGTAACCTTCATTAATAGAGAGCCCACTGTAGAAAGATATGCTTTATTTTTCAGGGGTGCCTACTAAACAACTATATATTCTTCAATTTAGATAGAGTAATTTATTCAACAAACAAAACAATCATGGCAAAAGAAGATACAACATCTTTAAAACCTCATCATCATTCTAAACATCCATTTTATCAAACAAAAACATTTCGTTTATTATCAATGCTTTCATTAACATTTACATATTTTATTATTGAACTTGTTGTTGGTCAAATAACAAATTCCGTTGCATTGGTTGCTGATGCATTTCATATGTTATCTGATGTTATATCATTAGTTATTGCTATTGTTGCTGTTAGAATGTCTAAACGTAGTTCACTTAAAAATACATATGGATGGGTACGTGCTGAAGTTGTTGGTGCAAATATAAATACAGTTTTTCTACTTGCATTATGTTTAACTATTGTATTTGATGCTATCAAACGTTTTATTCAACCGGAACCAATTGAAAAAGTTAATTTATTATTAATTGTTGGTTCAATTGGTTTAGGAATTAATATTATTGGTCTTTTCTTATTTCAAGGATTTCATGGACATTCACATGGAGGTGGTTCTCATGGACATTCACATAAAAAAAGTTCTCATGGACATTCACATAAAAAAAGTTCACATGGACATTCAAATGAAAATGATTCACATGGACATTCACATGAGAATGATTCACATGGACATTCACATGAAAATGATTTACATGAACATTCACATGAGAATAATTCAAATGATCAAACAGATAGAAACTCAAGAGAAAATGTCGAAATAAATGATTTTCCGGAATTAGAAGAAATATCTAACAAATTTGACAGACATAGTACACGAGCATTACAAGAAGTAAGATTTAAATTATATTTTATAGAGAATTTTTATATTATATTTTGTTAAAATTTAGGCTATTGCTGAATGTGTACAACAAAATAATGAACAATCAGAAACAGTTATCGAAATGGATGATAATAATAACGGTGATAGCAGTACAAGTAAACCAAAAAATAAAGGATCAATGAATATGCATGGAGTATTTTTACATGTATTAGCTGATGCACTCGGTTCAGTGGTTGTTATAATTAGTGCTTTAATAATTAAATTTGTTCCAAATCCTTCAGATGATAAAAAACATTGGACAATTTATGTTGATCCAACTCTATCAGTTATTATTATTATCATCATAACAATATCTACTGTTCCATTGTTTAGAGAAACCTCTTATATTTTATTACAAGTAATACCAAAACATCTTGAAATTGATACGTTAAAACGTCAATTATTAGATAATGTTCCTGAAGTTCATAGTGTACATGAATTACATATATGGCGTTTAACAGATGATAAAGTTATTGCTAGTGCACATTTAAATCGAAAAAGTTTATCAAACTATATGTCTGTTGCTGATAAAGTTAAAAACTTTTTTCATTCAGTTGGTATACATTCTGTAACAATACAATATGAATTTGACAATCATATGGACATAGATCATCGACAAACAACAACAACGTCAGATACAAACAATCCAACGAGAGTTCCTGGTGATTGTTTACTTCGATGTAAAGCTGATGAATGTGAACCTCAAACATGTTGTACAATAAGTTCTAATAGAGCGAATACGTTATTAAATAATAATCCTATGCAAGTATTTTCTATCACTCAAGCAAATACTAATGAAAACTCTGTACAAACTCAAACATCAGTCAATCAATCTATACAAGATGAAAAACTATGAAAAAGAATTTTTTGTTTTCGTCCTTATATATGTGTATAAATACAGATTTTTTTATTGTTGATAATAATTCTGCGACAACTAGACACGAAGATGATGTTACGATATTAAGGTGATTTTATTTTGAATACTAATACATAAAATAAATCACCATTTTCGCTTTAAAAAAAAAACAACGATAATCCATTCATGATTAAGTCCAGTGTCGTCGAATTTTTTTCCTTCTATTCTCGTTTTGTCGAAAAAATAAGGTTACAAAGAATACAGAAGAGTGGATTATTCTATTTGATTAGATTTTTTGAAACATACTAATGAAAAATAATGTTTTTTTTTTTTTTCAAAAAAGTTTATTAGACAACAGTATTAGGTACACATACAGAAGATATTAGATAAGAAAACATGTTTAGGAAAACAAAACAAAAAATTAATATTATTTTTATACCAATTAATCGAATAACTTTTTCAAGAAATTCTTCTAATGTGTTATTGTATGTTGTTTAGGGTATGTGAATGTGGATTTGAACAAGTAGAATACTCACATCCTTAATCAGTTTCTTTAGAAAAAATCTTGTTTGTGACAATAAAAATAATTAAACTATAGTAGTTACTTTGATTCTGTTTTTTTTTTCATTACAGAATAATTTTTCGACGAACACAATGAATGAAATGTTATGTCGACAAAAATTCATAAAAGTCTTTCGATTAACAAATAGAGATGAGCACGGAACTTTCTGGTCATGGTTGAAGAATCAGATATATTCTATATAAAGAGAAAGTAAGAGAATACTCAATTGTTGGATTTTGCAGAGAAATATTTTTCCTTCGAAATTAGACTAGTGATGAACGGAATTATCTTGTTCATATCTACGCGGTTTCTGTGTGTTTCTTTTGAACACCGGATAGGACAGATAAGCTAGTCTTGTATTTGATCGACTTTTTTAAAAAGTTTTACATCATACGTTCTATCAGTAGTGAAGCTTGATAAGTGTTGACAACGAGAATGTGTATATATGTCAAGGTCTTTCACACGTACATTCTAATTGCTAAAATAGTATGTATTTGAATGATTGAAAATTAAGATAAGTATTTTTGTTGTCCTATGTTCAAATCTGAATCGGTGTCAGAAAGTTTCGTGCATATTTCTATAACTGAAACAAACGTATGCAATGAACTTGTGTAGTACGATGTATGAAATAAAAAATTAATATGAGAAATCGATATTAATAGTAACAATGAGTAAATATAATTGAGTATTAAAATAGAAATATTCAATAAAACATCGACGATGTGAACGAAGAAAAAGAATCATTAGTTATCTCGTAATAATCAAATAATATCGCAATTATTCAATTAATTGCTTTCTTTTTTCAAATGGCGTTTCTTGATAATTACTGTTTACAGCAATCTAATAATACCAAATACATTTGTAACACACAATGCATCAATAAAAATGTTTTATGAATAAAATCTTCAATTAGAATACTNTAAGAATATCAAAGTTGGGTTCAACCATGTCTGGGTGTGGGTGTGTGGTGTAGGTGTCAATTAAAGACAAAATGCATTCCCATTCATACACCCAACTCATCACCCTACTGTGTCGCCATGGAAAAGTTATTTCTCGAGAATAATGGGTTTTTATAAAGAGAAATCAAGATGAAAAATTTTGAAAAACCAATTACAAATTTGGATTCTTTGACCCCAATTATCTTTAATTAAATTTTATAAAAAATCTTTATTTCCTCGAAATACCCCTTCCTGACCCAGAAGTTAGGGTAACGAATTTTGAGAAACTGATTACAAATTCGAAGTTCTCAACCAGAATTCCCTTTGATTAAAGTTTATAGAAAACCATTACTTTCCCAAAATACTGTTCGCTTATCAAGGAATTGCGGTAATGAAGTTTTGAGTTACCCGTTACTTGATAACTGTTATTGTAAAAATAACTGCCTTGCCCTAGTTTTTGTTGTACTAGGAATGCTTGGTTGTCGTATAAAGATTGTATTTTCGTTAATGGTTATCAATAATAGAAAATACATCGTCAAAAACTATTACGCAGGATTTTCTTATTGTTGTAGGATCCCATCACAAGCTTGAATAGTGCACTATATATTATATTTGCTGATTATATACATAGGTTCTATTGGATTAGTATAATTGCAATGTAAGTAGAAAGTTTAACTTGAAAAGAAGCAAAAGTAAAGGATGTGAAATAAATTACCTCGAATTAGATAAACGTATGTTAAAGTATGGTAAAGTACGTTGAAGTATGAAGTATCATGTTTCCACCTTGAGTAAATATCAGCAAGAAATACTCGAATTCACTGCTAACTGTCCTTACGTCATGAAGAAACATGTCAATAATCATTAAAAACACGTATTTATCTTTTCAGTGTTTTCGATTAAATAAATTCTAAATTTTTCGATTTGAACCTATGTTTTTTTTTTTTGTGTTTTAACGTTTTTAAAAATTCAAATAATCTTGTACTAGAAGGTAAATCACTCTCTACAGCTTATTCAAAACGCAGATGCAAATAGCACGTAGATTGTAGGATGACAATCGACTAATAGAAAGATCTGTTACAGACCGTACGTACATTTTGTACATGCTATGGTACGGTATGCATGTAACGTTCAGTACTTGTACGATACTATATAAGTGACACTGGTTACATGCGACGTCACGCATACTACGACGTACAAATCTACATGGAGACTTTGGTTTCATTAAAGAAAAAATATGAATTTTAATTTTTTTTTTTGTTTTTTCAACTTTTCAGAAGATTTTTTTACACTGTAACACATTTTGCTGATGAAAATGAAGTGTATAAATATATATACATTATTTGTAGATGCAATATGTAGAATTCCTATTAGAAAAACTGATCTAATAATTACTGCACTATAATTGTTGCAAATTTAAATTTTGTTTAAACAGCAAAAGTTTTATCATCGAATTTTGATCCTTGTAGACGTTCAACACCTCTTATTTCATAATGACTATTCAATATGTTATTTTAAGCAAAAGTGCGCTAATTTTTATGGTTCTATGTTTAATCTTTGCAATCAAAGCTGAACGAGAAAGTTTTTATTAATTATACAGTATATTTTTTGTAGTTGAGATTTTAGATCATTAATAAATTTCCGAAGTAGATAAATCAAAATAGCAGATAGGTTTGAGTGTAAACATATCCATTTTCACATCAAGGATAATCATAAGTTACAAACAATGAAGTGACATGAACTTGAGGTTTTATAGTGAATTAATATCAAAACATTGTATTTCCTAAAATCACATAATAACAGTGTATATTTGTCATGACAGGCAGGTGTTCACTGTCATTTTCATTAGCTATTATATATCAGATATCTCTATATAATGATTTGAGATACTTGTTTTTTTGTTAATAAGATAAATTTCCCACAGGATCATATTCATAGTAGGCCATCTCTAAAATTAAGTAATTAAACACTTTCTTTTCTTATCATAAACCAATTCTATTTATATTTTTGGTCAAGAATAAAAATCAGTATGTTAATTATTAGTAATTTGATATAATCAAGGGTACTCATTAATGATTTACTTATGCCTGATAGGCCTTGATCATAGGTTAGCTTCTATAACTAGCAAACATGACATCATCACAATACATTGTCAACTATATTTCTCAGAACATTTGACAAAATAAAATACAGGATATCATGATGATGAATCAAACTGTAAAACATAATAGATAGATCAGTAATACGTTCCGATCAATCATAATTCCTTGTTATGTTTAGTCTTCATGTTGAAACTTTCACTTAAAAAAAAACAGGTAATAGCTAAATTAATTTTTTTTAAACTACAAATAAAATTTGCTATGTCAACTTGTTGAGCAAGCCAATAGAACAGGTGTTCGACTTAATAAATCAACTAACTATGCTGAATTTAAAAAAAAATACAAATAATAGATAATCACTAGAAATACACATCTATTGAATGATAATAATAATAATTACAGATCATTACTAATTGATTCAGAGTTGAACTAAAAATGAAAACAATATATTAATTAAAAAGCTTAAATATTATCCGTAAAAACTAGTCACATGTTACTATTTTGAAATTGAATTAAGTTATCTAGAAGCAGGGTCCACAAAAGAAGAGGCGTGTACATCCTCCCAATAATTAATCATTATTTTTGTGATTACTCAGTAAAACTACCACGATTTTTTTAAAATAATTTACCAATCCTATGAGACATTTTCTTAAACACTTGTTCCGTCTTGAGACCGTCGTGCGCTCTCTGTCTACAAGTTTCATTATAGTGTTGTGTCTTTATTTAGACAATAATAATAAAAAAAATTGAATGAATGTGCCTCGATGCAAAAAGAACGTATTCAGTGAATGTATTATAATCTTGATAATACGACATTGAAATAAGAAACATCAAATAGATTCATCTCTTTTTCTTTTGGTGCATTATAGAACATTTCAAATTCAGATTCATCAATAGGTTAATTATAAAACATGATTAAAATCAAAGAGATGAACAAAAGAAAACATGAAAGAAAAGATAATATAATACTGCATATATAATATAATGATAAAGATCGAATAATAGTTCTCATTCATTTGCAAAACTTCTTTCCTAAAGAGAAAAAGGAAAAAACAATTTTGAACTAACTGTAGCTATACAAATTATTTTTACATGTCTAATATATAATTCAATTTTTTAAGCTTAATGAAAAATAAAATAAATCTTTTTAGTCTTTTATAAATAAATATTTTCTAATTTAGATAAATATAATAAAAATATTTTTCAAATAAATCCATAGTTTATTTTAGATAATTTCCTACAAATAGAATATTACAAAATAAGATAGAGTTGTTTTTTGTCGTTCACGTTTCATTTGAATTGGTGCAGTCGGAAATGCGAACCGGAACTTAAACGATGATCGCTGTCATCATCGAAAAATAAAAAAGGAAACAACTAGTCGAGACCATTTCCATGCACGTCAAGATCGGTCTCTAATCGAACTACTGAATTCTCACAACAGCATCGATGTCTATATATGTCTATGTATTAACATGCTGCTTCTTGTTGTTATTCATCCACGACAAACGCCGATAAAAAAAAAAAAAACTATATAAAATTAAATTAAATCATCGTGCATGTCGATAGTCATATTTTCTTGTCCGATGTATTCATATTGCTTATAATGATCATTCTATGCTTTGATTCTAAAATAAGACGACTTATTTTTTCTATTGATAAGATATATAAGTCAAGATTTGCATGTCGTCGAAGTGATGTATGATCGATTCATAAGATCTATTCTTTTTCACAAACGTTATATGATGTTAAGAGAACAAGGTTAGCACGCTTCTTCTAGTGAATGAAAGATTTCATCTGCACTTTACTTCATGCTCATATGTAAGTATTATATTTTTAATAGTGATGTTTTTTTTTGTGAAGAAAAAAGTTTTATCTATAGTTAAATTAAAATTATAATGATGGAGTGAAATTATGATGAGTCGTCTCTTTTTCCCTTATATTTACTTGACAGAAAATAAAAGAATGAGAAATTGGTGTTTGATAGATAATAAATTTCCACAAATGTTCATAACACAATATGTAAATACTTATTTATTCATTTATTGAGTAAAATAATCATTTCTTACAAGGTTGCAATAAATTTTAATTGTCTCATTTAAATCTGCTTAGCATTCAAATATACGTCTACACAATTTTATCATTATTTGAATTATATTTATCAAAGTTGAAGGGAAAAGAATGTGTAATTTTTCTTTTGCTCACAACAATATTTTTTTTTGTTCTATTCTTTTTTTTAAAGCTAAATACATGAACACACGCTCATATAAGCATATAAGGATTCAGAAAGCACTGCCAGCTTAATGCCGTAGAGGTTTTCTTGTCATTTGATTCGTCTTCATATATATATATATGAGAGAGAGAGAGAGAAAGACAAACTATGAAACCCTATAGAGAGAGAAGAAAAAAGACAAGAAAGTGAGAGTAAAGATGAAACTAAGAATGGCTTTGCTTTTAATGACAAATCATTTGATGGATAGTGAATTAAGTTAAGTAACATATCTAACTGAAAAATTTTTTCGTTTCCTTTGTAAATACAAACAACAGAAAAAAAACATGATTGCACGTCTTGTTGGTTTTGCGGCATTAACTATTATAACTGTTCTCGGTAATATTATTATTGTTATTGCTATATGTGTTGAACCACGATTAAAAAGTGTATGTTTATTTAAATAATTAATTTTCTTCTTTAACAACATATTCATTTTTAATTAAGGTTAGCAATTATTTAATAATTAATTTAGCTGTGGCTGATTTTTTTGTTGGTACAACTGTTATACCATTCATATCGCTTTGGGAAATATATGGCGAATGGTATTTTGGTGAACGTTTATGCAATATTTGGTTATGTTGTACATTATTATTTTGTACTGTTTCTTTTTTAACAATGTCTGCTATAGCATTAGATCGTTATTTATATTTAATTGAATCTAAAATGGATCGAAAACGACGTACAGTACGACGAGCTTTTTCATTAATTATTTTAACATGGTTAATACCAGCAATGGTTTGGATACCAGGTATATATATATATATATTTAATTAATGAAAATAATAATAAATCTATTTTATTTTTGTGTATATTTTTAGGTGTTGTTGCACATAGTTATATACTTGAATATTCACCAATTGTTTTACCTGAAAAAGGTTGTTATTTACAAGCACGTGCTATTTATGTTTTAATAGCAACAATATTACTTTTTTTCTTACCAATGATTGGTATGATTGTATTATATATAAAAATTTTTCATGTATTACATGGTCAAATGAGTAAATTATTAGTTTGGTTAACAGAAGTTAAACTTAATAATGGACGACGTACGTCACAAACAATTGTATTTGATCCATTAACAGGTACGGGCAATGAAACAGGTGGAGGACGTGGACCTGTATCAACAGCAAGTAGTACATCAAATTTTCATCAACAAACAGCACGTTGTTCAACAATGGGAAGTATAAATAATATAAATTATATTCATCATCATCATCCACGTATAACAAATAATTATACAACTATTCGTTCAATAAAAAGTCTTTCAACAATGGAAACAAATAAATATCGTTTAACACAACAACAACAGCAACAACAACAACAAGATATATTACAAACGAATTCTGATATACCTATGCGTACAAAACATAAATTTCGTCGTGCTGTTCATGCTATTGTATGGCTTGGACGTACACGGGATTCAGCTGGTATAAATAAAGGTTCATTTAAAGAATATCGTGAAAATTCTCAAGCACGTACAAATAAAAAAGTTTTTTATACATCAGCTTGGTCATCAACAGCAGGTGCAAATAATAATCCATTTCATCGTTCACGTAATTCAACATATAGACGTGCTATATCAACAACTGATTCATTATTACAACGACAAATAAGTGTTGCACGACGCCAACAACAACAAAAAATGCGTTTAGCTAAACAACGTCGTGTAGCACGTACACTTGGTGTACTTATATTTGTTTTTCTTGTTTCGTGGTTACCATTTACAATTCTATGGCCTGTACAAAGATTTTTTGGCGTTAAATATGTATCAAATAGTTTATTACGAAAAACTTTATGGTTAACATATGCAAATACATTTATTAATCCATTTCTTTATTTTTTTTCAAATAATGATTTTCGTTATGCATTAAGACGAATATTAAAATGTTGTTTTCGACAAAATGGTAGTAGTGGTAGTGTACAAATAAAATATTAGGTACAAAAACAAAAGCAAACAATTATCAATTTATTTTTGCTGTTGTTGTTGTTGTGCATAAATTTTATCATTATTCTCAATTGATTCTAATGGTTCATGAACAAATTTTTTTCGAGCTTCACTAAAATCTGCAACTATATCACCGTGACCTTCCACTATCCATTTTGTGGTTAATAAACCTTCAATACCAACAGGACCACGAGCATGTATACGTCCTGTACTTATACCAACTTCAGCACCTATTAAATATTAAATTTCGTCTTTCATTTATAAGAAATCATTTCTTGTGTTTTTACCTAAACCAAATCGATAACCATCTGAAAAACGTGTACTAACATTATGAAAAACACATGCACTATCAACATTACTAAGAAAATCATTGGCTGTATTTTCTATAAACAATAACAAATATATATGATTTTTTTGTCTGTGTAAAAAATAAAATACATACGATTTTCTGTCACAATTGAATCCGTATGATTTGAACTAAATTTATTAATATGTTCAATAGCATCTTGAACATTATCAACAACTTCAATAGCACATTGTAAGTCACCATATTCAACACGTAATGATGTTGCTGATGGTGGTGGAAATGGAATCATTCCGGATAAACGTGGACCTGAATAGACTTTAACCTATGATAAAAAAAGATTGAGCCCATTTTATATCTGTCATAAACATTAATATGATCACAATCTGTTTTAAGCAGTTTGTTTCTTGATAAGAAAATTCTTTTCTTTCATTTCATTATAATAAATGAAATATATGAGTATTTTTTTACCTTATTAAAACCTAAGGAAATATATTTCTATATATATATATATAATATTTGCCCTCAAAGAATTTTATAATTCTTTTTCTCCTCATCTAATGATGGAATAAGGAATAAAAAAGACTACTTAGACCGAACTAACCGACCTTTTCCACACGTAATAAATCAATTAATGATTCAAAAAATGGTGTTCGAATAATATCTTTATGAATAAGTAATGTTTCCATAGCATTACAAGCACTTGGATAATCACATTTAGAATCTCGTACTAAAGAACATCAAAAAATGAAATTAGAAAAAAATATATTTCAAATAAAAAAAATCTTACCAATACGTAAAGCCATATCTAAATTTGCATCTTTATCAACATATACATGGCAAATACCTTCAGCATGACCTAATACAGGTATATGTACACTTTGTTTTTGTACTGAACGAACCAGTTCATTGGAACCACGTGGAATAACAAGATCAATATATTTTCCTAATTGAAGAAGGTCTGACACTTGTTCACGTGTATTAATCTAAAATAAAAACAAATACTTCGAGAAAAAAAAACAAAAAATACCCTAGGAAAATAATATTTACTAGAGCGACTGTTTCACGTGGAACATACGGTTCAAGTGCATCTTGTATTATTTGTGTTAAAATTTCATTTGAATATTTGGCTTCTGAACCACCTTTTAATAGAAGACCATTACCAGAACATATTGATAGAGCAGCTATTTGTGGTAAACTATCTGGACGCGATTCAAATATAACAAGAAGAACACCAATTGGTGTTGTAATTTGTTTTAATATTAAACCATCAGCAAGACGTGTTCGACGAACAACTTGTCCTAAAGAATTTTAATAAAACAAAAAAAGCAAAATAATAATTAAAAAACAATCATTGAACAAACCAAGTACATCAGCTTTTTCAGCTATTTGTTGAAGACCAAGTGATAATGTTTGTAATTTCTTTTCTGATAAACCAAGTCGTCCAATTAATGATGATTTAAGACCTTTAAGTAAACAATTTTTTGTAGTTATCAAATATGAGATTTTTATCGTACCTCCTTTTGTTGCCTCTTCTAAATCATGTTTATTAGCTTGAAGAATATCTTTTGAATATTCATTTAAATTTGATGCAATTTTGTTAATTATTGATTTACGTTGTTCACTTGATAATTTTTGTAAAAGTCGACTACCATCACGAGCTATAAAATTCAATAAAATAATAATTCTTCTTGTTTTTTTTTCTTAAACACGTAGTGTTTTATCAGATATGAGAATCGACGAAGCGGTGCCCTTCTAAAAATCACATTAGCTCTCCCGGAGTTTTAAATTGCTTCTCCAGAAGAGAAAATCTGAATAGAAACAGTGCTTTAACTCTCCAATCGTAAAGTCATAAATATATGCATATATTACTTTCTTATTAAGACTAATGCTATCATACTTCCAACGAGGATTTTAGTAATCAATAAAATATAAGAAAATGTATATATATATAAAGTGGGAATCAAAAGTTTAAGGCACTTTTTGTTTTTCAATTTTTTTTATGAAAGATCACTCGATAATGACATCCAAATAGTGATTTCGATAGCTCTCAGAATGGGCTATAAGACTCATATGCTTAGATTTCTGAAGGATAGTTTTTTCATATTTTTATGAAAGAAATCTTTTTTCTCCATGTGATCAAAAGTTTAAGGCACGTTTAAACCATGTTGAATCTTTTAATACTTTATCGTTATTAAATAATTCTCGAAAGTTCTTTTATATAACATTCGATGCAGAATTAAATGGGCTACATTTCGATGAAAAGTATTTTTTGAAAACTATTAATTATTACTAATTAATGTTAAATTTATTAGTTAAGATTAATTATAACATTTTGTTAATTTAATATAGAAACGTTTGCGTCAAATGTTGA